TAATCATGTTACATGGGCTAAAAAACTTACTGTTGAGCCACCTAATGTACTCCTTCTGTTCCTTGTGGTCTATGTAGTCAGGGATGAAGAGCGCAAGACGGGTGTTGATGGCACGCTCCTCGAGGTACTTCTCAAGGAGAATCTGGAGGTCCTCATCGAGGTTGTTGAAGGGAGGGCCCTGCTCAAGTTAGACATGAAGAAATCACGGGAAAGGATCAACATACGGTGTAAAGAGAGCGTCTTGACCAGTCCTGCTCAGCAGTAGCGGGGTCGGCAAGCTCAGCAGAGGGGAAGTAGTAGAGATCGTCAATGAGGAAATCACCGTCCTGAGCGGTAGCCTCAATGGCCAGAGCGCCCTTTCCGGGACGCTCAATGCGGATGCTAGCGCGTGCGGGGAAACCCTGCTGTTGGCCCTCATCTTCGTAGTCTTCCTCGAGCTCCTCGCGGTCGGCAGGCGCAACGCGGTCCTCGGGTGCTACGCGGACGTTTCCATCCTGAGTCCTACCCTGGTTGATGGAACCCTTGGTGTTGGCGCCTCCAGACTGCACATCCATATCGGCATCGTCATAGATGGCGTTGTCTTCAAGGTCGTCGGCCTGGTTGTTGTTGAGGTCGGAGGTGGAAAAGGTGATGCGGATCTTCTCGTCGTTGTAAGTGCGGCTAAGGACGACTTCCTGGCTGCCGGGTTTGTCTTCAATCTGTAAAACGATGAGTATGGAGTCATTTATATATGGCACTTTGGTTGTATACCTCAAAAGGGCTGTTCTCGAGGTAGTCCTTGATGTTGGCGGAGAGGTCCTCGTCCTCCTTCATGCCCTCCTCCATGGAGATTTCGCTCTGGAGCTTTGCGACCAGCTCTTCACTGACTCCATCATCCTGTCTCCTCACAGCCGACACGTGGAAGGCTGATGTGAGGCGAGGGATTGGGGCAGCCCATGGCTGGAACACTGCCGCCGGTCGCAGCGACTGTGGGCGAACGGCTTTGGTGGATAAGCGGGCGGCAGAGCGCGGGGCACTGCGGGCGAGTGTTCGTAAGGAGAGCATCGTGATGTAGGACTGTGTGTAATTGAGCAGTACTAAATGACGATGTCGGGAAAATGGCAATGCGACAAAGTGGGTGCAATGGCGGGATGGTAACTTTTCGGCGGCCCAAGCTTTGCGGGCTGATGTCAGGCGGGATGCTTGGCACCGATTTGCGGACTCAACTGCTCACCTCCGCGCTGATATCTGACTCTTCAAGGCCCTGGGAGATTGGGGGTCAATTGTGCAAAAGACGTAGTGATTAGTTTCCCACCAATTGCCAATTGCTACTTCTTCCAGCGTCGTGTTTCAGTGTCTTCAGTGCAATTTCAGTACGACGTCACAATTGAGTGGCTGCCAGATTTGGGCAGACAAAAAGTTCGTTTGACACAGCCAATCCTCTTCCGCCAGTCGCACAGATACATCCAATCCAGAATATTATGGCGACTGCAACCGGAGAAAAGAAAAAGAAGCCCAGTGCTATGCGCTCCATCCTAGCGGGTGCGAGTGCTGGCGCTGTGGAAATATGTACCGCATTCCCTCCCGCTACGTACTAGAATGACTACTCACGCGAAACAGCAATCACATATCCCGCCGAGTGTACGTGCCTAATGAACTACCTACCATCTACATGAAGAAGTCGAGCCTGACACAAGATAGTCGCAAAGACACGATCACAACTCAACCGAAGATTACCAGACGGCAAGAAGCTGCCATGGCCACCATTCGGCAAGCAGTGGTATGCCGGGTGCACGACGCTGATAATCGGCAACTCACTGAAGGCTGGAATAAGTAGGTTATATAGAAGCTTGGAGAAACCGCTGTCTGACATAGCCAGGATTCGTCGCATTCGACATGTACAAGAACATGCTGGCTGATGCTGAAGGAAAGGTCTCGGGCCCAGCGACCGTAATAGCTGGTTTTGGTGCAGGAGCCACAGAATCGCTGCTGGCTGTTACTCCTTTCGAGAGCATCAAGACACAACTGTAAGTAGATTCCCCTTTGCTATTCGCCTTTCCTGACCTTCGCAGCATCGATGACCGCAAGTCTGCAAACCCTCGTATGCGCGGGTTCCTTCACGGTTCAAGAATCATTGCACAAGAAAAGGGTATCCGGGGCTTCTTCCAGGGCTTCCTTCCTACTACAGCACGACAAGCTGCCAACTCAGCCGTCCGTTTCTCAAGTTACACGTCGCTCAAGCAACTCGCACAGTCATACGTCAAGCCGGGCGAGAAGCTCGGCGCTTTCAGCACATTCGGACTTGGAGGCCTGGCAGGCATAATTACTGTCTACACGACCATGCCTATTGATACTGTAAAGACGCGCATGCAGTCGATAGAGGCAAGGAGTCAGTACAAGAACAGCTTTGACTGTGTAGCCAAGATATTCAGGGATGAGGGACTCTTCACCTTTTGGTCGGGTGCTCTCCCTCGACTAGGCCGTCTGATCCTAAGTGGTGGTATTGTGTTTACCATGTATGAAAAGTCGATGGACTTCATGGATAAGCTGGACCCTCAAGGACGATACATATAGGCTTATGATGACATGCACCCGTTGAAGCTGGGATAAGCAGGCTACTCAAATACTCGGCCAGTATCTGTAACAACAGGATGCTACTCCCTCGGGTTTATACGGAAATAGCGTTTCTACTGTGTCTATTCCATGCCAAACAAACTAGTTTCATGATCAGTAACCCTGTATCATTCACTGTATCATGCACCATGGATTTCTCTTTACAATATTCTATTCTCGTTATTAGTTGCCAAGGCAATAACAGTACCCTTAGGCGCTAGTTTTGCATCACAAACAACAAAGTATGAAAACGGCAACACAACAGAAATCTCTGACGGTCACCTAGACTTAGAGCACCTAATTCACCAACGGCCTTGCATAACCACAGGCAACCAATCTTCTTTCGTCCTGCCCCGCTATATTCTCTGCTTTCCCACAATCACAACACTTACACATCCTCACTTTTTGGCACTGTGTTTGGAACTCGCAATGACCGTATCACATCAGTATATGTGCGCCATATCCGCCAACATGGCTGCTCCGCAAGAAACTCCAATTGCACCTCGCATGGCCTTCATTTCAACCACTGACGACCTCGCTGACATGCTTGGAACCCTTGCAGACCTACCCACATCACCGCCGAGTCTGTACATCGATCTCGAAGGGAACAGCCTCAGTCGAGCTGGAACACTCTCGCTACTCACGCTCTACGTATGTCCTCAGAATATCGTCTATCTCGTCGACGTACACGGCTTGCAAACAACCGCCTTTTCCACACCTACCAACGAATCTCGCCGCCAGATGCCACTGACCTCAGAGCTGGATACTGTGAAACCGCAGTCCAAGCTTTCCGATTGTGACTCAGGAGAACCACAGCTTACCAACTCAAATCTAGACATCGAAGCAGCACAGTCTGCACCCGCAGGTTTGGGCACTGCGGCAGCACCGGTCACGCTCAAGACCATCCTCGAGTCACCGACCATCCCCAAAGTCTTTTTCGACGTAAGAAACGACTCGGATGCCCTATTCGCCCACTACAAGGTCGCTCTCTCCTGCATCCACGACCTGCAAGTCATGGAGCTCGCCACCCGCCCCATGACAACGGGAAACTCGCGTCAATTTCTCTGCAGCCTCTCCACCTGCATCCGAGACAACGCCCCACTGTCCTCCACCGACCTCGCCGCCTGGACAGCCATAAAAGAGGCGGGAAACGCACTGTTCGACCCAAAGAAGGGCGGCAGCTACTCAGTCTTCGAAACTCGCCCGTTGAGGACAGAGGTACAAGACTACTGCGTTCAGGATGTTGTGTATATGCCGCTTCTGTGGGATATTTTTGAGCATAGGATACAAAAAGATCGTATGGATGAAGCAGAGCTGGCACAGATGGCAGAAGAATACGAGAAAGACAAGAAGAAGATGGGCTTCTGGGAGACCATGGTGAAAGAGGCGGTGGTGCTTCGGATTAGTGTTACTTGGGAAACTTGGTATCGCCCCAATGGAGTACACAAGAGGAAGGGATGTTGGACTTGGGGACAGATTCGAGAGGCGAGGCGGAGGTGGGCTTTGGGCTTCAGGCACGGACTTTGTGATTAGGAGGTGGGTGGAAGGAGGGAGCTTGGTTGGATGAGAGGGTGGTAGAGGTGGTAATGCGGACAGAGTGATGGTGGAATGGTAAAGAGAGTCTGGTAAAGCAAGCGGAAAGAGGTGGTGTACGATCATATAGACTGTTCATCAGGTGAGAAGGCCTTACGTAGAAGGGTGAGAGAGTTCTTTGCTCACTAGTCACCCGAAATTCACATCCATGTAGACATTCACGTTCACATGCAGGCTTAGGCTCATAGTGATGCCTGTCCCCCAAATACAGTTAGTCAGTCAAACCAAACGTTCCATACGCTCCACTCATCTCTACATCACATACCCCAACTCAAACACTCAACCCGCTTTACTCAACTCCACACCGCGTACCTCAACGCACCAGCACATCCCAATAATGTCACCACCCGCCGCCCAGCTCCTAGAAGTCCAACTCTTTGAATCTCTCAAGCCCCAAATCGTCGCCCTTGCAACCGCTCTCTATGGTTCATCCTCCACATCATCCTCCACATTCTACGATGTAGTTCCATACATTACGTCTTCACCAGAGACCACCAACACTCCTTTTACCTTACAAACCACCTACGGCGTCGCCCTCGTCCTCTACACTGGCCCGGCCACGGCCCCCTACACGTCCTTCCACCTAATCTCCCATGTTTCGCACGTGCCAAACATCGTGACGGGAGCGCGACAACTACTGACGGATCTCCAGCGCGGGATGGGTAGTGTAATAGAAATATGTATGGAGAGGGGGAATTGGACGGTGACGCATGAGCGGGTGCCGGATGTGGCTGGTCCTGGTGTTTGTGGAGACGGAGAGGACAGCAAGGATGAGAACAAGGACGAGAGCAAGGACGAGGTGGAAGGGGAAGAAGGGGAATATGAACGCGAACAATATTACAAGGAGGACGTGGATGAAGAGCTTGGAGAAGACTGGTGTCGAATGCGTTGGAGTCCGTCGCTGGAACCCATTACCGAGGAGACGTAAAGGGGGCCTGACATAATCAACACACACACACACATCACTGCAATGTATATAACAGAACCAGGTTTTTAAACAACCAAAAGAACGCAGAATCACATTGGATAGCTACCTAAAGATCAAAAACTAAATCGTGTGCTTTTTCTATCTGCCGCTGCCGATCGGACTCATCAGACCATTGCTACCACTTGTCGAACTTCTCACCATCATTGGCTTAATACTTTGCACAGGACTCAGAGGGTCACGCTGGCTAGAGCTTTGACTGGAGGTACCCGAGCTCAGGCTACCGCTGCCATGACTGCGATTGCGACCATTTACAGGCCCAGGAGTATTGAATGGGTTGCCGAGAACGTAGGTGGAGGAGTAGGAGGGCTCGTCGAAAGCGTCGGTGAAACCAGAGACATTGGAGAGCATGGATGAGGAGCGCCCGCGGCCGCCACGAATGGAGCCAGGAGTGCTGATGCCGTGCGAATTGAGCGAAGGGAACGTGAAGCTGGAGAAGCCGTTGCCATGAGGAGACATGTTGGTGCCTGGAAGGTTACCCTCGGGCGTGGTAGGAACAGACATGTGCTGATGCACTTGCTGGAGAAGGAGCTCCTCGTAGTGCTGGACGGTCTGCAACATTTGACTAGTCAAAGCATTCTGTTCCTCAGTACGCCTCTCATAACCGTTGATGTTACTGCGGTATTGGTGCTCAACCTCGGCACGCTGTGCGCGTAATGCTGTCCGTTCCTGCTCCCTTCGTTGCTTGGCGGTGAAACCCTCAGCGTTGGCTGTAACAAGACGATCGTGCTGCTCGTTAAGCCTAGTTTGACGTTGCTGAAGGCGTTCCCTCTTCTGGAATGCAGTAGAAATGTCCGACTCTACACTCTGCACCTGGCGTTGAATCTCCTCCTTGGTCTTGTCAAACTCGCTAGCAATGGCGTTTTTATTGTCACGCTCCTTCTTCCATTCGGCCTTTCTGGCTGCAGCCTCCTTGGCCTCTTCTTCAGGAATACTACCCAAGTTCTCTGCTTGAACAGCAAAATCGGCGGCCGCATCTTCAGCCTGGCGTATGTTCTGCGTGAATTGAAGGACGCGCTGGCGCTGACGTTCGTCGCTACCTCCGGCATTGGCAAGGCGATTCCCAAGTGCATCCACCTCTTTCTTGATGTTGGTGATGGCTGTCTTGTGATCCTTCTTGTTCCGCTTCAGGCGATTCCGCTGCTCCTGTAGCTGTTGGTCGGCCGCAGCGATCGAATTTTTCAAGGTTGTCGTGGGCGAAGAAGGGCGCAGAGTCTGATGCGCCGGTGGTGAAGCAATGGAAGCTGTAGCTGAGTGTGTTAGCTGGGAAATGCTGGCAAAGCTGTTGTGCTTACCTAGTTCAGTTACGGGGCTCGCCGAGGTAATAAGGCTTGCCGAGTAGAAGACTTCGTTGTCTATGGTTCGGACAAACTCGCAATAGTAGTTCGAAAGAGCCGTCAGACCAAAAATCTCCCCCATCCAATAGCCCGTTCCCTCCTGGCCCTGCAAACCAACCGGCTCGCTTTGGCGGATCCGCGTCGAGCTCCAGTCGGCCCCGTTGACGCGAATGTAGAATGGTTTTGACTTGTCGATACCGGAACCTATGTGGGCAGATTCCTCATCCTCCTCTTGCACTTCAGCTGGCCCAGATAAACTAACACGAAATGAAATGTCGGAAAAGCCGACTTCTGAAATCCAAACACGATCATCCTCCGATCTATAAACAGCATTTCCAATGTGATTTGCGTCTTTTGCATTAGCCTCGTCGGCGTCGTTTGCCACCCGGCTACTTTCCATCTCTTTTAAAACTGTAACTTTTGTGCTGGCAAGCGCAGCCCAGAATGGCTGCTGACTACGCACATGCGTAGCTTGCTTCCTCTTCCTCCTGGAAGTACTCGCTTTATCCTTGTGAGCGTGCGTTGCTGGCGACGGCCCCGGTGGGCGGCCATCTGTACTCGAGGAATTGGGCACGTCGGCCGTGGGTTCGAGGTTGGTGGAGTTTGAGCGTTGAAGAACACCGGACTCAGGGTCGGTCTTCTTGCCAGTAGGCAGGGTTGTGTGTTCTCGTCGAGATAGAGAGCGCCGGATGATGCGAACGACACCTTGGGCCAGAATATGTATCCCCAGGAGGCTACGGGGCCATCCGTGGGGGGTTGAGAAGCTTTCCAAATAGGTCGGAGAACTCGGCGGGCTCGTCAGAAATTCCAGGCCTCCCCGGGCGAGCCCGGTCCAGAGGAATTGTACAATATGTTGCCGGAGAGGCCTGAATCTGAGAAGATGACTTGAAAGGATGATGACAAAGCATATAACGATGCTATTGGTAGTGCCCTTTTTGCCTGCTGCGGCACCGCCGAGGGCAATGGCAATGACAGCCTGGGCCAGGTCCAGGAAGAAGTTTTGAGCAGGCACCCACAGCAGCAGCCATATCAACAATATGACGGTGTCGGCGATGATTGTGGTGAAGAGCGAGGGGGTGCCGCCAGAGCCCTGGAAGATGTCGGTGAAGGAGGGAAAGGCGGAGAGGGCAGACAGGGGAGTACCGGCCTGTGGGGGGACAAAGGTGAGGGTTGCGAACAGGAACTGGACGATGGTGAGGACGGTTGGGGGGAGTTGGAGGAGGATGATGAGGATGGCGAGGACGTCCCGCAGAGGACAGGACGTGAGAATGGTGGCGGGCACAGCGAGCATGCTGGCCATGGAGAGCGAGGCGGGCTTTGAGGCGTTTGTGTCGGCGCGGCGGAGAGTGGAGGGAATAGGGTCAAAAGGCCCATTGGGACCATTGTCGTACGGGCGACATGCCTCAGCTGGGTTGTCCAGCGAGGCATCCGAGGCAGCGCGCGTGCGCTCGTCGACTCTGGCGGGGGTTGCAGCGGTGGCCATGGTGTCCTGGGGCGGAATCTTGGACAGTCGGTCGATGGTCGCGCTTGGCTGCTGGACGCTCTCGCCCTCTACATGGCTGGGGCCTGGCGGCGTCGGCGGGCGAGGCTTCCCATTGACGTTGCCAGCGAGTGCCGGGTTGCTCTTCTGCTTGGTGATGCGTTTGCCGGGGGCCGCAAGGCCATTCTCGTGTCGCTTGTCGTGCGCCGCGTTCCTCTTCGACTTCGCTACCATAGACGGCGGTGCGGGTGACAGCGGGCAAACCTCTCCCCGGCGAGACTCGACTGCTGCACAGGACGAGCCAGACTGGAAGACAGAGAGAGCCGCTGCTCGGTGGGGGTGCTGAGGGGAATGGTTTGTGGTGTAGACGAGTATAAGGAGCGAGGAAGGAGCCCTGCGCTTGCTGTGTCGTGCTTTCCGCCGAGCGAGCGTGGTGCCAAGACTTGCACCTGCTAAACGTCAAATGCAGCGTGCAGCCTGCGGCGTGAACCAAGAAAAGCCGACCACAAGGCTTTGCTGCGTGTGGGTCGTCAAAGGTACCGGACCAAAGACCATTCAAACTGACTCCCCTGCTCTTGATAGGGCCTAGCAATTCCCATGCCCCCCGGATTGGACGGTTACCTCTGTCATGACCACCACCACCTGCGCCGACGTGTTTGATGTTTGCACACGCAGATCAGCCGAACTGTGTCCGACCTGCCATGTTATCGCCGATCCTGGACTGCCATATGCCTGTTTGCATCTCCGGTATGCGGCTTCGTCTACCGTCTACTCGTCTGCCTCATCTTTCTATCTGTATCTACCCGTCCTGCTCTTGTACCATGTACCTGTCGCCTCTCTGGCCACCTCACGCTGCATCGCCAGTTTGCTACTTCGAGGCAGCCAATTAGCCCCCCACGACCTCTCTACTAGACCCTCTAGCTTACCTGTTCATTTGCGTGAGCCAGGACCCCCCTGAGCCACAGCAAGCTGCAGCGCAAATTGATTTTTGATTCGCGCTGAGTCTGTTCACCGCATGCCCTGAAGTCTCTGCAGCGGATGAACCCCGCCGACGCTATTACTCAATGGCTGTCACTCTCCGCCCTGACCACATTTGCTCAAACTGCATGAACATGCTTCTCACGTGCCCACCGACCTCGCATTGCAAACGCGGAATGGGAAACATGCACGCCACACGATACGTATCTAGCAGTCAGCGTGCGAGGCGAGCATAGCGCCCAAGCCTTCCGCCCACCCAATCCATGGCAATTTTCCACCTTCTGCACTGTGCCGGCGCGTCGAAGCTTAACCGGACCACGCCAATCGCAACATGTCCGCTGTGCGAATGAGGTAAGCCGGTTCATCACGCGCTCAACGGGTCTGCACATCTCTGCAGTTCCAACCCAGCAGAGCTCACCAGATGCTGATCACCGCCGCAAGCACGCCATCATCCACTCGCTTCAAGTCAAGTTGCATCGTGTCAGATAGAGTTTTGTCCGTATTCCCCTCATCGTCCAGTGAGATCAACGTCCGCTACATGCGACTAACCCCGCATGTTACTTGCATGATGCATCGTGATCGCAGGGCCCTGGACTGTCATCATGAGGGTGCAGTGATACCTACCCTCTAGCTCACTACAACATCACCTTATCTTAGGCTTACAAGGCTTGCAACCAACACATGTCCGCCAATTTATTGACCGGCCACGCTACCAAAGTCCTCTTTGGCGTCTGTTCTATCCCAGCTACTTCTCTCCAACCCCCTAACCCGATTGAGCAGCGCCCTGACCCTGTTGCTGTTCGTCTCTTTTGCCTGTTCCTGCAGTCTGAATGTTTCCTGGAACTTGCTAATCATAAACGGTGGCAGTGACGACTTCTTTGCTGTCTGGTAGTCGTACACTACTATATCCTCTACGCAGCGTGCTGCCGGGCGACGATGCGCTTCAGAAAGGATCAGGACATCCAAAATGAAGTGGTCCGTGTTCTCTGTGGGGTTGTCTCTAAGCTTGTGGAGCACTGTAATCCTGTTGGCGGAATTTAGCAACGGCAGTGGCAGCGAACTACCACCAACTTCGGTACACATACCTGTCTGGCCACTTCATCGGCTGTTGCTCGTTAGCAGACTGACGTCAACATCGGCGCGAAGGCTTTCAACCTCTATGATCCTGGTACATCTCCACGCTCCTGCCGTATACGGAAAGACTCGTGTGATCCACATCCACGCGGCTGCATGATACAGCCTCAAGGGAGTGGGGAGACTGGAATAAAGCGCAAACTCACAAACTTGTAATCAGTCTTGATGCTTCTCAGAATCAAGCCTATGCTCTTGGGTGTCATGAGCTCCATCCACTCAGCCTTGTGCTGTGGGTCGCTGGCCGCAAAATTAAGCGTCCAGTTGACTCTGGCAGACTCCGCATAGCGATTGTACATGACGTTATTGACGTGGCCTATACATGATTAGGACTCATTGGGATGCGCGCGTGAGAATGATAGTAGTACCCTTTGAGTCTATCAGCAGTGGTCAATGTACAAGTTGTAGGATGTCCTACCATGCTGTCCTGTGCGATCAGTCTATATTAGCCCTTGTACGCAATGCTGGTTAGAATCTTTGGAAGGCTTACCATTTCTCCCCAAACGACTTCCTGTCGGTAGAGACCTCGCCACTGCTTGCTTGTGAGGAACCCTTCGCTTCCGGCCACAAGTTCTCTCCCTTGAAGAAAGACGTGAGTTGATGCTTGTCTGTGGATTTTTTTATCTGATAGCAGTACTCACAACCTGTCGTCGTCTCTTGCAGTATCGAGCCAGCTTCCTCAATCTGGGTAGAATTCATCCCAAAATTGATACATTTTCCAATCCTCGCTCTAACGTCTGAGAGCCAGCGGGGACTCAATGCAGCAGTCGCAGGTGCATTGTCTATATCAAAGGATTATTAGCTACCACATTGTTAGAATTCCCTCAACTACATACCGCTTGCAGTCGACTGATATCGCGCAAGTGGTACCCTCTGTAATCCAGCAAGCGTCAATGTCGGCCTGGAAGACAAGATGCCCGAGCGCACCAGTACACGCATATTGCCTAGAAACCCCAACTATGAAGTGTGGAGAAGGTGCTCTTCTGTGTTACACGAGGTATGATGTGAAGGCTTACTAGTGTCCTTGCTTCCGAGATACGGAAACGAGAGCCGAGGATGCCGTCTCCACCACCCGATAGCGACAGCAGCCCTACGTCAGTAACGCGAGGCCGAGTCCGTACCTCCCCATCACCACTACTTCTCATCCAACTTTCCCGTGAAACGTTGTGCACTGTTTGCTCGTTGTCCCGAATCGTACAAACACCAAACATTACTCTTCTCTGTGTTCAAAATGGCTTCTCTCAACCCATCTCTCCGCCATCAGGTCATTCGGATATACAAGGGTAACGTTGGGCGCTCCGAATCATAACAAAGCACGTATTCATTGTACCACAGATCTGCTCTTCATGGGCCGCGAGTACCCCCAGGGTTACGACTACTTCCGAACCCGCTTGCACAAAGCATTTGCCAGTCAACGACACTTGACCGATGAGGCGAAGATCAAGCAAGGTATCGAGAGGGCAGAATATGTAAAGCGAGGTTAGTCCACATCACTCATAGTCTCACGTTCAACGCTAAACACCAACACCAGAAATCGAAGCACTGTAATTCAACCAGAAAACCATGATAAGAAAGTCCCCTGACTAGTCTAGATACTATCTGAAGCGTTATCGTACTTTACGCCAGCGCTACGACACACTTGCCTAGTTTACTGTAAGACGCCTGTTTCTCACCGCCTATGGCCATTCGTAGACCGGGATATCACAAATAGAAAAGGTACGCTGCTACTTTACACCTTCTTGCACCACCATACTCCCACCTCAAGACACTCACCGCTGGAAGCTCCTTTCTGCTCCAGCAGATCGTTGATCATGGAATTCCAATAGCGCTGCCATTCTTCCTGGTTCTTCCCACTGACTTGTTTGAGTAGGGGCTCTAGACTCTCAATCAGCTGGATGACGATCAACAACGCCGTATGTCGGAGAGCTGCTTGCTCTCTTGTAAGGATGGAACTATCGAACATTGCACCGCCCTTCATGAGATTCCCAGCCTCGCTCCCGCGCCGTTTTATCTTTTCGCCTGCAGCTTCACGTTCCCATCGCGGCTCGCCCAGCGGAATGGCAACTCGACGGTTCTCCACGTCACATAGCGTCTCCGTCTCCTGGAGCAGTATTTGCGATATTCGAGAACACGGTGTTGGCGAGAGCTTGCGCTGATCTAGCGCTTCCTGAATCCATGCGTTGGAGTCTTGAAGGTACTTGTTCTGTACGTCGGTGAATGGTGTGATGTGCGAAATCAAAAATGTCCCTGTCGATACGGCACAGGCATATTCCTGGGGGTTCTTGCCTGGCGGAGGCGGGGGATGCGGCAAGATCGATCGAATAATATGGTCCGTCTCCCAGATTTCCAGGGTCCCGCCAGACTTGAGTATCCGCGTGGCTTCATCGAGTATCTTTTGAGACGGCGGTCCCAGCGGCATGATCATGCTCAGATCTTTCATCACTACGATATCGAATTCCTCATCGTCGAACGGCAGCGGCAACTTGCGCAAGTCGTGCTGCACGAACCTCCAGTCGATGCCCTGGCGCTGTAAATCTCCAGACAGGTTGACAATGTCCAGACCCGTAAAGGCGACGTCTTTGTAACCCTGTTCTGGTCACAGTCAGCACTGAGCGATGGCTGATGCACATGACTACGGTTTCACGTACCACTGAGCCATTCATGGCACACAGCCGACCAGTACCCCGAGCCACATCCGATCTCCAAGACCTTCTTTGGGGGATACGAGGGCGTCGAGCCCAGGGCCCTTCCAAAAACGGCCGTGGCAAGGAGTGTCTGCAGGTTCTGACGATGGAGTTCGGGCAGGTCGCATGGGAGGGGGTAGCTTTGAGCACTCCTGATGTATCGTCGTCCATGGCGCAAGATGAAGGGCTCCGCAGATGGGCCGGTGGTATCGTCCCGAGTGCTTAGGGTGGAATTGCTCGATATTGAGCCCCGCGTTACGTCCATGGTGTGGGTTTGGTGGGATCGCGAACTTGACGCCGCCGGTGCTGAGGAAGCAGATAAAGTTCTACCAAGAGGGTCGGTAGTGGTCAGATCCCATTGCTTTGCCTCGACGGTCTTGGGGCGAATGGGAGGGCTTTGGGTGGAATTGGCGCCGTAATAGCGGTACTGAGACTTGTATTAGCCAGACGGTCGCACGTAGAGTGTCAACAGCCTTCTTGCCAGTTGCCAATCTCCCATCGAAACGGCTGGGAACGTGCTCGAGGATGTCCAGCGTGCCTTGACCCCTGCCCCACTGTTTTAGCGGGAGCGCGATATTGGGCCGGTCTCTAGTGGTAAGATAAGCACGTGTAGGCGAGTCAGCAATTAACGAGTGGGACGGCCGAGTGCATGTGTAGGTGGTGACGGTGACAGTGGCAGTAGCAGTAGCAGTGGCAGTATCAGTAGCCAGCTCGTAGGAGATCAGCACAGAACAGCCTTCCAGCATGGTGTGCGGTGTGAAATCGTGCCCAGGACGGCGCCGGGTGTACGAAGCCGCTCAGGTGAGGAGCTCCAAGGGCCAGCCGAGGGGATATATCCAATCACGTCCTACGGCAGTGCGAATCCCCAGGTTTTTGGTGGTAATTTCTGTCGTAGAATCTGGGCAATGTGGGCGCCGCGTGTGAGCATGTCTACATATGCATGGGCGCGGCTTGAGCCGAGGGCGCTGCAGGTGATGCCGTGTTTGGCGTACAGAGAGAGTTTGGAGTACATGTACCCACCACCTGGAGTACCTACATAGGTACCACGGTTCAGCAGCCACATGGTAGGAGAAAGACACTTCAGTAGGCCAATGCTGCTGCACACATGTTGCTGTTGCACGTAATCGCAGCAACCTGCACATGCATGGGCCGGCGCGAGCCTCGAGTCTCGATTCCGCTGGCGGAGAGAGCGTGCGCGCACATGACTTGGGCTGGCAAAGACACGGTGGACAGTAACTACCTAGCTAAAACGCCAAAGTCGCGCAGTGCATCACAACGCGCTCATACCAAGCTTCAACATGGGCGAGTGGCCATGTATACAACTACAGTTTCAGCCTGGCCCTTGGATCGACGCTTCCACCAGGTCACGTGGTCAGGTTAGCGGCGCTCCCCGTCAATTGGGCAAGGCTCGACTCGGCTTCACGTATCGCATTCACTACTCTCTCTATTCTTCACAGCGCTGCAGTTGGACCCGCACCCATCTGTCTGGCGCAATTGAGACTGACTGTTCCTCCTGCGCGCTCTTTGGCATCCTCTGCTGCCGTACGTGCGCCGCCTCCGCCCGCTTTGTCGACCTCTGCAGCTCCGACGACAACGACCTGGATTCCCCGCTACAGAGCTAACACAGTGGTGGATAGGACGACAGACGGCCACAATATCAATACCAACACAATTCACAGCCTCTTACTGCGAACACGCCTTCTTCACCTCTCACTACCAAGGCCCCAGCTCAATATTACCCTCACTCGCAAACCGCCCGCGGCTTCACAGTACATGGTCTTCAGCTGCCGCCTCTGTTAGCGCGTGCTCATGTCGAAGAGGCTTTCGGGTGCCCATGTTAAAACGAAGAAGATCGCGTGCCCGAGCCCTACCACCGACCTGACGCCCTCCTTCGCCATAGCAACCCGGCGCTTTCATTACCAAGCCGCACGCCCGCCTGCGGGTCCTACACCATCACCCGCTGCCATTCCCTTAGATGGCCGATTACTCGGTCTACTCAAGGGGAACCGGCTCAACCTTCTACCCGCAACACGCACAGAACATTCGCAACCTCCCTGGCCGCCGGTCCCCCACAACTAGCGCCCGCATACCCTTCAACAACCCCGATACTCCCTCTCCAGCACGATCCCCCGGGCGCCAGTCGTCTCCGTCGCAGTTTACCATGTTCAACCAGGGCCATGGGCACCAAGGCCACAATGTAATGATGAATGGACGGAACGGGCAAAACTATAGTATGATGAACCTGGGCAAACCCTTCCAGCACAACCAACACCATCAACACCACAACCAGCATCATCAGCAACACCAGGACATCTCGGGCAATAACCATGTTGGACAGTACAACCACCAGCACAACATCTCAAGCGGGGGCATGTCAAACGTCCAGCCCCACTTCACGCCGAACCACCTCCAAAATGGCACGCCAAACAGCGCCCACAGCGGACTCAGCAAGCCGCAAACCGAACACTGGCAAGAGCAATTGCGGTTGCATCAAACGGCGCGTGAAATGACACAGGCCCACTCGCACGCCAGGATCCACCCGAGCGTTAGCAAGAGCATTGTAGCTGGAACCACAAACGGAATGCAGAAAGAGGCGGACGAGAAAGAGCGCAATAGGCCCGCTGCTCAGCGCGTGGATGATGGCAAGGACCAACATATATGGACCATTCTCGACTTTGGCGGCCAGAACCTCAAAGTAATCACGCCCGCGCTGTTCGCCTACACGTTCCTGACGAAGCTGTACCTCAACTCGAACAAGCTCACCTATGTACACCAAGACATTGGCCAGTTACGGAACCTCACACACCTGGATCTCTCCTTGAACAATCTACAGTACCTGCCCCCGGAGATCGGCATGCTCGTAAACCTGAAGCAGCTGCTACTGTTCGACAATCATATTGAGAACCTTCCGTACGAACTAGGATCCTTGTACCAGTTGGAGATGCTTGGCATCGAGGGCAACCCTATCCCGGACGAGTTAAAGCAAATCATCATGGAACAGGGTACACAGGAACTCATCAAGCACTTCCGTGAGAACGCCCCAGGTCCAGAGGCACCACCAGAGCGCGACTGGATCGTCCTTGATGACGTCCAGGATACTGCACAAGAGACGGTGAGCGCGCTCAGCTACAACATCCTATGCGACAAGTACTGTACGCAGTCACAGTACGGTTACACGCCGAGCTCAGCTCTTGCTTGGGAGAGCCGCAGGGAACTCATCCTCGCCGAGTTGCGGGAGCGCGATGCAGATATAGTGTGTCTGCAGGAGATTGATCAAGATAGCTTCAACGAATTCTTCCGAGCAGCGTTGGCGCATAATGACTACAAGGGCGTTTTCTGGCCAAAGTCGAGGGCGCGTACCATGGCAGAGAGGGAAGCCAAGCTGGTCGATGGGTGTGCCATCTTTTACAAGAACAGCAAGTAAGTAACACTAACATCTAACCTCGGACTGTGCTAATTGGTACAGGTACATATTGCTGGACAAGCAGCTCATCGACTTCGCAAACACTGCCATCAATCGCCCTGACATGAAGGGTGAACACGACATCTTCAACCGTGTCATGCCCCGTGACGATATCGGAGTGGTTGCCTTCCTTGAAAACCGTGCTACAGGTTCGAGGTTCATTGTCGGAAACGTGCACGTCTTCTGGAATCCCGCCTTCACCGACGTCAAACTTGTGCAGGTCGCCATCTTGATGGAAGGGATCACGAAGCTCGCGACTCAGTGGACCAAGACGGCTCCTTGTACAAACAAGGTCGTATATCAGTTCACAAACGGAGACAGCGAAGAAGGAACAGAGCTCGACCCAACACAGGAGCCAGGACCGTCCAAGCAGTACTCTGATCCTGCCGACTTTCCTGTTATATTGTGCGGTGACTTCAACTCGCTGCCGACGTCTGGTGTGTACGATCTCATTACGCACGGTAATGTGTCGAATGTGCACGCGGATCTGGGAACACGCAAGTATGGTAATTTCACACGAGACGGCATATCCCATCCGTTCAGTCTCAAGTCCAGCTACGCATCCATCGGAGAGTTGGCTTTCACCAACTATGTGCCACACTTCCAGGGCGTGCTCGACTACATTTGGTATTCGACGAACACGCTGCAGGTGGTCGGCCTGCTTGGTGACATTGACAAGGGCTACCTCAAGCGCGTGCCTGGGTTCCCCAACTACCACTTCCCAAGTGATCACGTCGCTCTATACGCTCAATACATTGTCAAGAACCGAAAAGAGGCGAAGAAGGTGTCGGAAGTAGACTTTGGGCCAAGTCGGGACCGAAGGAATTGATCGACACGTTAGTTCGCCTCCGGGCATGTCAATAGGCTTGTGGTGTAGCGTTCTCCATCGTTTTCCAGGCGTCATTTGCTCGGTGTTCGGTTGCTGGGGGTATGATGCAAGTTCAGGTTTGGCAATGGCGGGGTGAATCGCTCGATAGACGTGCGCGGTCTGATCATCTTGGGAGGCATGAGCAATGCCGGCGGTTAGTACACGAATCTCACAACACACATGTTGTTCGGTATTTAGAACATGCCTCCTTTTGGCATGCTGACGATGAAAGGACCACTCTCTTTTCAATATGCGAAGCGTTTGGCTGGTTGGGTCGCAGGTGTTTTGCGGCATGGGCTCTGATTGTTTGATCTATTTCTGGGTTTCTTTCGCGTTCTTCTTTTCTGCAATGTATCAACTAGGTAGTCGTTCAAAAAGACCTAGTCGCCTGCTGTAGCAGGGCCGACTGCGGTTTCACCGTTCGAGCATTGAATCACACTAGATGTATGTGAATATGTGAATGGAGTGAGGTTGCAGTTGCGGTGAGATTCTAGTAAACGGCTATGAGTGAGCTTACGGCCATAGATGGCGTCATGGGGCCATCCTAGAGGCCACGATTCGCCCGTGGAAGTGCAAGTCCAGATGATGAGGGGGGGCCTCCGACTCGCCTTGACCGCCGCGGCGACGGGACCCACTTGGGTCAACACCGACCTTCATAGCTCCTCGACCACTTCCCCCAGGCCGCGCAACCACGCAATTCCCTGCAGCGTCCCTGAATCCTTCCAGTCTCTCCTCTCACCTCACATTACCAGACATCATGGCTGCTGCACCCACCAACGAGCTCAAGCTCGACCCCAAGTACGACAACTACGACTATCCTACTACTGCTCCCACCGCTCAGAGTGGACATCCTGGCCATACCACGCCTGAGCAAGATGCCGCTGTTGCCCAGCTGCGGATGAGTTTGGAGCAGGCCGGCCACACTAAGAACCTCGATACCCTGACTCTGGTATGGTCATTCTGATAGTCGATGTGTCCCTTGGCTAAACAATTAATAGCTGCGCTTTCTCCGTGCAAGAAAGTTCGATGTCAAGCTGGCGGAGAAGATGTATGTACCTGTGTATGGAAATGAATAGCAAACTTGACTGACCGTTCTAGGTTTGTCGACTGCGAGAAGTGGAGGGCCGAATACGCTGGCGTAGGTGTCGAGGAACTTGTCCGTACTTTTGACTACAAGGAGCGGCCCGAGGTTTTCAAGTACTACCCTCAGTACTATCACAAGACAGACAAGGTGCGTCTATCACACATCATCTCTAACAAAACATACATCTAACACCACCTAGGATGGCCGCCCGCTCTACATTGAGCAACTCGGTAGCGTCGATCTCACCGCTCTCCACAAGATTACGTCCGAGGAACGCATGATTCAGAACCTGGTCTGCGAATACGAAAAGATGGCCGATCCCCGTCTTCCCGCCTGCTCACGCAAGTCGGGCTATCTCCTTGAGACGTCGTGCACAATTATGGACCTGAAGGGCGTTGGCATCGGCAAGGCATCCTCGGTCTACGGCTACCTTGGGGCTGTTTCCACCATCAGCCAAAACTACTACCCCGAGCGTCTGGGTAAGATGTACGTCATCAACGCCCCCTGGGGCTTCTCTGGCGTCTTCAGCATCGTCAAGAAGTTCCTTGATCCCGTCACAAGCGCCAAGATCCACGTTCTGGGCTCTGGATACCAAAAGGAGTTGCTGGCTCAGGTCCCAGCTGAGAACCTGCCCAAGGCGTTTGGTGGATCGTGTGAGTGCGAGAAGGGCTGTCAATTGAGCGATGCGGGCCCATGGTGGGATCCTCAGTGGGCAAGGGAACCCAAATGGGCCAAGAAGAGCGACGACGCCATTGACAACTCTGCACTTCCTGCGCCTACGGACGGTGCTGCTCCCGCACCTGTTGCGCCTGCTGGTGCTGAGCCTGCCGCTGCGCCTGCTCCCGCACCAGCTACCACTTAGGCAGTTCGTCGTCTGTTACGGAGGAAGCGAACTATCAGGGGAAGCAATTCGGCGTAGGGGCGTGATATTCAGAAGGGAGGCTGTCTAGGCTCTCCAGGCGCTCGCTGATTGTAGTATAGACTAGCATGGCGAACGTAAAATCATCAACATCATCTTAACGGGGATAGCTCGAAACGCTTGCATTATTTTGGTTGTACCTTTATGCTTTTGCACAGTGTTTTATTGTGATCTTGACTCTGTTATAGTGTAGGGATGTATACTGTCAGTCAATATTTGGTATGTCATTATATCATCTTCATTGAATGTTATTGGGCAGGGCAGGGGTTGCAAGCGCTTATTGACTATTATACAGTTGTCTATATAACTCTTTTCGTCTATACGAGCTTTGAGACGCGTAAGGTCACTAGGCCTCGACTATACATGTATGTACCGTATGGACTGCTTCGTTTGGTGCCTACACCAACAGATCTTACAGTGAGTGAATGGACTTCTCAGTGTCAAGCGCACAGGCATATACCAGTATCCCTACGAACACTCTACTCTCTAGCATCATCTTGAAAACTATCCAACTCTTACAAGCCTCCAACCACCTCGGTCGGTCGCAGCCATGAGTACAGCATCCAAGGACGCTCGCATTCGACGGTCACAGGCATTAGGCTATGTCACCTCACCCTCCCTCCGCGTCATCGTCGGCGAAGCGCCAGACCAGAAGGAGTTCTTCGTTCACGAAGGACTCGTCTGCCCACGCAGCGAGTTCTTCCGCAAAGCCATGAGGGGGCCATGGACGGAAGCGCAGGAACGCAAGATCGATCTCGGACAAGAAGAACCCGAAACCTTTGCTCTTTACCTTGAGCTACTGTACGTAAGTGTGAAAGCACCATGAACGAGAATGGGAAAAACACAGCATCTCTTAGCTAACATCTAATCAACGACAGACAGGCACCATACCCACCATAGAAGACACAGAACTCTACGCACCCCTCAGCAAGCTCTATGTCCTAGCCGAAATGCTCATGGACGACACCACAAAGACCATTGTCCTAGACGCCATGAAAGCACAGATTGACGACGGACCTGAAGAAGACCACTATTGCTTCCCGGAACCAGATGCCATCCGTATCATCTACAAGGGAACAACCGAGTCTAGTCCCGCCCGCGAACTCATGGTCAAGTTTTACACAGACTACTCTTGCGGTGAGGAGCTGGAGGAGTTGGCAGATCTTAAAGAGTTTCATTTTGATCTTGCGCGCAGTCTAATCACTAAACGGCTGAGGCCTGGGGAGCACGATTTAGTGAAGGAGGAGCTGGACGACGTGAAGAAGGAGTTGAGCGCCGTAAAGAAGGAGCTGAGCTCTGTGAAGAAGGAATTGGCGAAGAGGACGGATGCGCGCGTGTATCATGGGTGAATATTGTGGGTGTCTATGGAGGTCGGGATTGTGCCACATAACTGAACTTTGAGCTTGGGGAGGTAATCGTGCGTGTGTGAATCTGTGATGAGGGAGTCTGCAGAGCCGCAGAGTGGTTTATCTGCAAGCACTGCGCTGGTGCCACAGAAAAGTGCTCTGCTTAGACCACAGAAAGGAACAAAGACCCGGATTATGATGATTGGTGAGTATGAGCACTGTGCAGAGTAACTGCTATAGGTGGGCGGTGAAACCCTGTTTTGCAGCGGCATTGCAAGACGCCCAACCACACTAATTGAAGTTCGTCTAGAGGAAGTACCTATGCGCATTCTAGGGCTCTAGCATCGCTAGCATAAAACATTCACACATATAAGCTAAATCCTGGGTGATGCCAAGTAACTGTCTGCGGAAACGGATGACAATACCATCTTCGTCGGTTTCTTCACCAGGACGGCTTCACCTCACCGTTCTGGAATAGGCAATTAACTGCTTCTCTTTCACCTGGACGGCTTCTCCTAACCGCTCTGGGATAGACAATGAACTGCTTCTCTCTCACTTTTGCGGGGATCCTATGCTCAGTTCTTGCAGTATACCTTCTCATGCCCTCCAATTAACAACACACTCGGTCCATCATACTACTTTCGCCAACAATGACAGTCATCAAATCTCGAGGCGCGACCAAGAAGCTGGGCCCGATCAGGTACGTCGTATCTCTCCCAATCATCAATACTACAGTACACTAACACAGTAGTACAGGCAGCAAGATCGTCCAATTCAGGATCCCCAGCCTAGATCGCCGCTTCGCCGTCCACGAAGGTACCCAGACCCTTTCATCAAAGTCCCAGTATCCACACTCTCTGACCATAACCCCTCGTCTTCTAGATCTCATCTGTCGAACCTCTTCTTTCTTCAAGTCCCAGGTTCAAAACAAGCGAAAGCCCGTCTCCCCCACCGACAAGTGCTGCTTCTGCCTCGAAGCCCTGGACCCTATTACCAGCGATATTTCTTTCTGCGTACAGTGCGGACAAAACGTTCACGAAGTCTGTATGGAAGACTGGAGGAGATCTTACTATCTCGACCCCAACAAGGAAGCCCCGCTCACATACCTAATGTGCCGAGCCAGCTGGACGAACGATCAACTGCTCAGCTATCTCGCCGTGGAGAAAGAGCTCGACGCCGAAGCCGTACACATCTATCTTGACTGGCCCTATACCTCTACTCTTCACATACGATCTACTCTTTCCCGGGATACCGATGCATTCAACCTTGTCATTCTGAAGCTATGGGCAGTTGCCAGCGCCGTGGAAGATACAACGTTCAAAGCCATTGTCATCACCACGTTCTTCGAGCAATCACGATCTGTTTTCACTACCGAGAGTGTCAAGTGGGCGTTTGTTGAGAGAAAGTGTGACGATGAGATACGCGACTTTGTTCTTACTGTCGCCCTGACGTACCTCTACCCTGGCTGGTTCCGTATATGGGGGGACCTCTGGCCAGACGAGTATGTCAGGGAGCTGGCGGATATGGCAATGACAACCTGGAAAGAGAGAAAGAGTATTGGTGATTTGAGCAAGATGTGGGCGGAGAAACTGGGCACTGAGAGCGACGATGACGAGGAAGAGGGGCTTGTTGCAAAATCGAAGGGGCAGACGTCTACTGATGTGGCTTCCGGTCTTTGACGAGAAGAACATTGATTTACCTCTTGTTCGAATCATGGTCTCATGCTTCTAGGCCTATGAGTAGGTTGCCGGCATTCACGCTATAAGCCGGGAGTGCAGAAACATTTGAACCTGGGGGAGGATTGAGAGATGCAAGATTGGACGCTTCTTGTTGATGTTTCGGATGATGATGATGGGCTGCTCCTTTCTCGTTCGGGATATTAAAACGGGTGCGGTGGAGTGTCAGGCAGTGATGTCCTTTGTGGTATTATTCAATAGCTCCGCACGAGTATCCGAGAGCTTTCAAAAGTCATGCCCCTGTTTTGTACCTTGATCCACATTTCTTGGTATCTCATCTTTCTGTTTGCTGTTCGTTTTGTCTTCCCGATTACCCTCCGACACCACCAAGAGTCTATCGGCGCTGTTGTCATGTTCTCCCTACATGTCGCGGCTCTTTCGAGCGCCATACTTTCAAGCGCCGTACTGGTACGAGCAAAGGTAAAGGATAGTCTCAAGGCAGGGCATGCTTGTCATTTGACTGGCTGCTCCTCACACAACATGCGACCTGTCGCGTGGTAGTCGTCTCCGGACACCCGTTCCCCAATCGCAAGCGCTATGTATGGAATCCAGGGCTTCCTTGTTGTTGCTGGCTCTTAACGATTCGCTTGTGGTTGTGAACAGGCCAGCGACAGTGTTTACCAGAATATCCGGAGTGAGTTCATTTCCGCGGAAATGGGCAAGAGGATCGTTTGACCGACGTATTGAACTGGATGTTGAATTCAAATCGCTTGCTGTCTAGCTGTTGTGATACGCCCCCTGCTTCGATGAAAGGCATGTTGAGTGGCGACCTCAGGATGATGCAGGCAAGAGATTCGTGGACGTCCAGGGCTCACACGCGTTATTTTGGCCGTAATTCGGAGTAGGATACGAATTCATGTTGGTGAAAATATTCCAGATGGGAAGACCTTGGCCTTTATATCGCGGAGTACCTAGTTGTCTACCTAGGTAGTTGTGCCAAGCTCTGTCCGATAACCATGACAGCGAAGAAAGTGGGCATAGCAACGATCCGATTGGATTCCTAGTAAAAATGTGGACTCGATGACACAACTTGAATACAAAGCTAATAAACCCAAAGACACGTAGTAGACTTCATGGATGTCACATAATCGCAACTCGGGGTTTCGGAAGCCTTGGCGTTCCTCACCTAGGCAGGTAACCATCGGACACAGCCTCCTACGCCCCAAGCTCTCCGTACAACCTACCTGACTCCAGACACTTACGGAATGCCAAATTATAACGCCCGTTATTGTTTTAGTTGTGGTTATGATAGATCTTGCCTGACCGAAACACTAGGTACAGTGTAGTAGACTCCGCAACAATCAATTCAATCCGGTCACTCTCCTAGACCCACTTACCTATCTAGGTAGGGCTTAAACTCCTATAGGTAACTACTAGGCTTAAAGCGGTAATCAATCAATCCAATCTGAACCTTCTAGGACCCACTTAATTGATTGTTGCGGACTGTGCAGTGTAGGTTTGCAAAGAGGTTGTATGATATGAAGTACAGACGTTAATAAGCAGTTTGGGAAAGGAGGCCTATACCTATCATCTTAAGACTACTGGAAAAAAATGCATCTAGTACGTTCTTTAATAGACTATAATGTAAGTCGATTGGGAGTTTGATATGAAATCGGACCGGACGCACTTGTTTCCCACATGCGCGGATTGCTGTGCAACTGCGGTTCCGAGGGGCTATGGCCACGCATCACCATGTATGGAAGTCTTACATGGATGACATAGAGTAAGCCCCTTGCGTAGAAGGTAGTGAGAGCTTGGCGTTTGGTGAATTATAAGTATTGGGATATGTCCACCGCCAATAACTTTCGTCATTATCACTACAATTCGACAAAATGCACAGCTCTATCTTAATAGGCCTCTGGGTCAGCATCTCTTTCATCATCTACAGAATCGTTGCTTCGATCATCACTTCACACCGCCATGCCGCTAACGCACGCCGACTGGGGTGTCTACCTGCTCCTAAATTCAATGATCAAATGCCGTTGGACATATTCAATATCAGAACCGCTGCAAGAATAAGCAAGGCCGATAAAGAGCGTCGCGTCCCGCAGTACATTCAGTCACGCGTCCACAATGCTTGCGAGGTAGAAGGCAAAACGGTCAGCACATTCTATGCAAACTTTATGGGTAGCGAGGGTATCTTCACTGTTGAGCCACGGAATATTCAAGCCATCCTAGCGACACAGTTCAAGGACTTTGGACTAGGAGAGCTGAGAAACGAGAGCTTCTCCCCGTTGTTGGGTCGCGGTATCGTAAGTGCCATACCTGTAGCGATGCAACGAAAATATGGAGACACTGACGTTGATTAGTTCTCCTCAGATGGCGAGCAGTGGTCGCATGCCAGAGCGCTTCTTCGGCCTCAGTTTGCGCGAGACCAAGTTGGCGACTTGAACCTTAACGAAAAGCATATGCAACATATGATGCGAGCATTGCCCATCAACTCGAACGGCTGGACCGACGTCACCGACATTCAGCGGCTGTTCTTCCGCCTGACACTGGATTCAGCGACCGAATTTCTATTCGGCGCAAGTGTGGATTCGCAGCTTGCGGCCTTACCTGGGTACACTTCTAGTAAAGCACCAGGGCCCGTGAGTGAAGGGGAATTCGCAGTCTCCTTCGACCAAGCACAAAGCACGATTGCTGCGGGTACCCGACTGGGGATCGGATACTGGTTGACGTACGATAAGCAGTTCAAGAAAAACTGCAAACAGTGTCATACCTTTATCGACTTCCATGTCGAACGTGTGCTTTCTGGGAAGAAGACGAACCAAAAGACGGCGAGTGGAAAAGAAAAGTACGTCTTTCTCGACGCACTTGCAGAGGCTACCCGAGACCCCGCCGAGCTTCGCTTCCAATCCATCTCGATTCTTCTAGCTGGACGCGATACCACGGCATCACTTCTTTCGTATGTCTTCATGCTACTCTCACAACATACCGACATATATCAGAAGCTTCGTGCTGTCGTGACGCAACAATTCGGTACCTACTCCAAACCTCAGAACCTTTCATTCGAGAAGTTGAAGTCATGCAACTATTTGCAGTGGGTTATGAGCGAGACCCTCCGTCTTTATCCCGTCGTTCCGTTTGATACTCGCTGTGCGCTTCGCGACACCACATTACCCGTAGGTGGCGGCCCAGACGGCACAGCTCCTGTCTACCTAAAGAAGGGCATGCACATGGACTACAGCGTTTACGTCATGCATCGCCGCAAGGACCTTTGGGGAGAAGATGCAGGGGAGTTCCGCCCAGAGCGCTTCGAGGGGAGGAAGGGTGGGTGGGAGTTCCTCCCCTTCAACGGAGGACCACGAATCTGCATGGGACAGCAATTTGCTCTGACGGAAGCGGGATTTGTGATTGTAAGAATGGCGCAGAGATTTGACGAGATTGAAGGTGTAGGGAATAGTTGGGAGCCGGTTGAGAGGGGTGGCTGCGGGTATACCAGGCATGCTGCGAGCTTATCTACGTGTCCGGCGGATGGTGTCAAGGTTAGGATGAAGGAAGCCAAACAGTAGTGTTAGTCATGTTTTAGTCTCATTATGCAAATATTGATCTCCATGCAAGTTAGCGTGAAATGCGAGTGTAGTGGACATGTGTGTAGTGTATGGAGGCAGTTCCGATCACGGCGGAGAGAGCTAAGTGTTCCGATGCACTAATTTGGCGAGCAAGGATGTGTCGGCGGGACAATGGCCAAACTTTTGATCATGAATACTTACAATCATCCCTCACCACATCGCCCAATATGCGGAGAGCGCATGGACTTCGGGTAAGAATAAGCAAACACTAGCCTTCAATTGATAGTGCCTCAATTGACAATATCAGTACTCTTCGCCTCGCGATATCTGCATCCTCTGCGCCACTCGACAATTGGCATCGAATACAATCGTTACATCGTCCACGGCTACCCAGCGGAGAGAATTGAACTCATCTACGAGAGCTCCACAGTCGGCCGAAGGAATAATATACAAAGATGCAAACGAAAGGGGGCAAAAGATGTCTCAGGCACAACGAATGCGTGCGGCATTGGCATCCAGCACCCCATTTACACCTCCAGCGCTGGCACAACAGGGAGGATATATGTCGCCAGCAGAGAGGACGAGATTATCATTAGCAGCATCACGGCCGCAGCAGGTTTCGCAACCACCGCGGCAACCGCCACCAGAGCGGCGGGCGATGAACAGAGGGGGTGCCTTTGACAGCCCGGTACGAGGCCAGAACCGGGACAGATTTGCACCTGCTGCTCGGAGAATGGGCGAACGCAGCAACGAATATAGACCAGCTACAACACAGAATCGGTACACGGTCAACATGGACTCAAGACCACCCGTTAACTTGCCGGCATTTGGCTCAGAAAATTTGCGACGGCGCAACGATCTCCAACAAGAACGCGGTCAATTTGGACGAGACCAGTTAACGTCACCCATGGCTTTGAGACCTATGCCACAACGGAAAATGTTAGACCAAGAGGAGATATCAAGATTACTAGGGAATACGTCCGCAGGGAATCGGTCAAGGAAACCATATCAGCCCCTTGTGAGGGACATGAATGCGCAACGTGAGCGACCAGCACAGCGGCCGACACCGTATCAGTCAACTCAACAATTAGAACAACAGGCTTCAACAACACAGTCATCCCGCCAGTCAGAACAACGGACCACAATGTACCGGCCACCTCAGCGCCATGAAGAGTCCATATCAGATGCGGCCGAGGCTTGGGTGCAAAAGTCAAAGGGCAAGTTGGAGGTTGAACCCTCTTATCAGATCCAGAAGGACGAGGAAAACAGACGGCGGAACCGCTTTACAGCAGATGAACCAGAAACAAGGAACCGATACGAAGAGCCTGAGCGACGACAGGGCGGAAACAAGGGCCGGAGCCGGCGCATGCAACGGTACGAAGAGGAAGACGACGATGACCGCCCAACCATTAGCAAACAAGAGCGCAAGCGGTTGAAGGCTGAAGCTAAAAAGGCTGCGCAACTCTCCAAGAACGAGCCGACACCCATCTCTTTGCCCGAATATATCAGCGTAGCCAACCTCGCGGGTGCGCTCAAGCTACGAGTAGAAGATTTTGTGAGGAAGTTGGAGGACCTAGGCTTCGAGGACGTACAGAACGACCATATTCTCAATGCGGAGCATGCCGGACTCATTGCGCAAGAGTACAATTTCGAACCCATCTTCCAGGCTGAGGAACACGACGGCGATCTGTATCCTGCACCACCACTGGACCCCGAAGCCTACGCCGAGCTACCTGCCCGACCACCTGTTGTTACCATCATGGGTCACGTTGATCACGGCAAGACTACAATCCTGGACTACATGCGCTCGACGAGTGTTGCTGCCACCGAGTTTGGTGGCATCACACAACATATCGGTGCTTTCAGTGTGCCCCTGGCCAACGGAAAGAAGATTACTTTCTTGGATACACCTGGCCATTCCGCATTTGAGACCATGCGCGCTCGCGGTGCCAACGTCACCGACATTGTTGTGTTAGTTGTTGCTGCCGATGATTCGGTCATGCCACAAACTGTCGAGGCCATCAAGCATGCGCAGGCCGCCCAGGTTCCCTTAATTGTTGCTATCAACAAGATCGACAAAGCACAAGCAGACCCAGATGCTGTCAAACTTGACCTTGGCCGCCATGGTATTGAGATTGAGGACTTTGGCGGTGACGTTCAGGCGATATGCGTGAGTGGTAAGACGGGACAAGGCATACCAGACCTTGAAGAAGCCATCACCACACTCTCTGAGATGCTGGACCACCGTGCCGACCCCCAAGCTGCGGTCGAAGGATGGGTACTTGAAGGTGCGACCAAGAAGTCTGGGCGTACAGCCACTGTCCTTGTACGGAGCGGTACCCTTCGCCAAGGCACCACTCTTGTCGCAGGTACCACATGGACACGAGTACGTACTCTACGCAACGAAGCTGGTGTAACAGTCGATGAGGTCGGACCTGGCGTAGCTGTCGAAGTCGACGGTTGGCGCGACCAGCCGATTGCGGGCGATGAGGTGCTCCAAGCAGAAGACGAGCAACAAGCCACCGCTGTAACTGAACTGCGTAGCGACAAGATTGACAGGGAGCAGATGGCGCGCGACATGGAAGCCATCAACGAGTCTCGCCGCCTCGCGCGTGCGGAAGCCGAGCGACGCGAAGCTGAAGAAGCCGCTGCCAAGGCTGGCGAGAATGGCGAAGAAGTTGAAGCAGTGGCGCCCGCCGAGCAGAAAGAGTCTGGTCCGGAGATCGTGTCGTTTATCGTCAAGGGAGACGTGTCCGGATCGGTAGAAGCAGTCATCGACTCTGTCTCCGCACTTGGTAATGCGGAAGTAGCAACACGCATCCTACGCCATGGTGTAGGCCCGCCCTCCGAGTTCGACATCTCGCATGCTGCTGACGCGAAGGGACACGTTATCAACTTTAACACTGCGTCACCTGGGCATGTGGTCAAACTAGCAGAGGAGAAGGGTGTGAGGATTCTGGAAAGCAACATCATCTACCGGGTTGTTGAGAATGTCAAGGAGCTCCTGTCCGAGAAACTTGCACCAAAGGTTGTTCACAAGGTCACTGCTGAAGTGGAAGTTGCAGCTTCATTTGAGATTAGCCTTGGTGGCAAGAAGAAGATGACGGTTGCAGGATCAAAGGTTCGCAACGGTGTTGTTCACAGAGGTACAAAGGCAAAAGTGCTACGTGGCGAGACGCTTATCCACGACGGTATGTTTTTGAATCTTTTTCGTGTGGGAAAGACACAAATGCTAATTATGTTGCAGGTATCATCAATACGCTCAAAAACCAGAAGAAGGATGTCGAGCAAATGCGCAAGGACACCGAATGCGGTATCTCGTTTGCAGCATTCAACGACTTCAAGGTCGGCGACCGCATCCAGTGCTACGATGAGCATTTGGAGAAGAGGAGCCTGTAAGATGTTGTATGTGTAACTGTAGCTTTGCCATCTCCGCTGGATGTGTGTACTATAGCTTTTTTGTCTTGCATTTAGCGCCTGGTGTTTTTTTTATTGTGTTTATTAGGGAACTGTATATTGGTCATGTAGATAACCTACCTTGTTCCTGTAGAAAGTATATATAAATATGCCATTCACGAAATAACTCGATCCTTGGAGAGCTACTTAGAACGGAACATTGCTAACAATACTTTGCATGACGGCATAGTACATGGCGAGACTTGGATAGATACCCACATATGTTTGGTATTCACCTATGCTCCCTAAGATGCCAGACTAACTTAACAATACCGGGAATAGCCCAACTCCCAACTCTAGATGTACTGTTCCTACATGCGTCAAGCCGAAGCCCATGAAAACACCCCTTTTGCCACCTAGTTTCTTACACCATCTAGACGTGCTTGCGCAACTTGGCGCCGGTCCATAATACTGGCGCCCAGTGCTGTGACGCATTAAAGCCGAACAAAGACGCAAACCAGAGTATTGCCATGACGGCGACTGGTACAAGGAGGAGCTCCGTGTGATGAAGAAAGGGCAGTTCCTTGTAGCCCAGGAAGGTGATGATGAAGTAGTAGTTCAAGCCGAGCAGATAGAGCGTGTTGGACAGGAAAAGAGAAAACCTGAGACATGTTAGTCGTGTACCAAGCCCATGATATACATATGTCCTACCAATGATGTGTTCCTATCAATGGCATACATAGAAACTGAACGACATAGAGAAAGGCCCAGACGGGCACAAATGCTCTAATGGCAACATCCCAGCAGTATCCAAACTCAAGCTCTTCCTTGGCCGAATCTTCTCCCAGGTTGTACAGGCCTCTCCGTCGGCCTGGTAGCAAGTTGTTGTCCGGCCCCAATAACCGACCGACTAAGAAGAAGAACAGGGTCGCTATCACGAGCGAGAAGAGGAGAAAGTGGCCAAATATGAAGACGAGGGTGATGTGGAGGGTTTGCGTGAAGCCGTCGGCGTATGCAAAACCCCAGGCGAGCGATGTGAGGGTGAGGAAGAAGGAGAGGAGATATGTAAAGGAAGGGTCGGGTCGGTGGTACGATTTAGTGGTTTGTTTCTACGAGACATGGTCAACTACGGACATGGCCCGACAGACGAAGATGGCATACATGGTAGTAGATCTGGCGAAACACCTTCTTGGGCGCTATTATCAAGCTCATAATCTCCCATATGGCCATCTCAAAGTCCATCTGCGGAAACTTGAACATGCGCTTGAAGAAGCGCGGCATTTTGACTTCATTGCGCCGCGACGATGGCGTAGACCCAAAGTTTGAGGGCCCGCCCGTCGGTCTTGGGAGTGATATGTGAGGGTTCATGGCGGGCTATGGGCCGTCGTGACTTGTGCGGGCGCGGAGATTCGGAAGCGGTTCGGAGTCGTCGTGTCACCGGAGATGCCAGATTTCCATCATTGAAGGGCGCACGTGAATTTGCGATTTGCTGCAGTGAGAGTGTTTGTCAAATGCGATGGATGGTGCCTGGGCGATGACATCGGCGTCGGAGCTCGAGCGGTTAGCGCCAAGCACAAGGTTGGCCTGGCCTGAGCCGACCCGTCAGGTTCAATAGCAAGCCTTTGCCCATACACGGCGCGCACTCGACCACTCCACCACGGACGGCGCATCATCTCCCCACGCCGCGCGCATCTCTCATCACCTCTGCGCGCCTTCTTCACCTACCCCAAGCAGAAGCAGAAGAAAGAGCAACGGGTCTAGTGCAGTTGCCGCTCCTTCTCTCGCGCACCTGGGTTGCGACACCAGGTAACCACACGCGACAAAGCGAACAGCATTAACTAGCCCATTGTCTCGAGAAAACCCACGTTCTGCGCATATCGCATATCGTAACAACCACGCCCACCATTACTTTCCCCAGGCCCAATTTCTAAATCCACAGCACAGATCTCCGAGAACCGTTCACATGGCGGACGAGGCCGAGCTCGCCTTCCTCGCAGCGCAGCAGGATGAGTACGACCCTTCAGCCGGCTACACGATGAATGAGGCGTCGACTGGCCAGGACGAATACGACCCCACAACAACATACTCGCCGCACTCGTATCAGTCGGCTTCGATGCAGCCTGAATCTGGCGCCAACTCGCCGCCCCCAGCCGCCGAGGGTGGTGAGAATGGGTTGAAGGCCGTGCCCGTGCCCGCTCAGACTGCCGCAGACGCTTCCGCAGCGCCGACGTCAAAGCGACCGCGCACTGTGGGTGGTTTTGTCGACGAGAGCGAGGACGAGGAAGAGGAGTCCGCTGTACAGCCAGAGGCGAATACCACGCTGCCAAGTGCGACGGGAGCTACAGAGTCTCCTCAGCGGTCTTTTACAAACACTCCAAACAATAATCCCAACCCACATGTACAGTTACATAGTGCACAAGATGAGGCGTCTGCTTCTATTTCTGCTTCTGTCACTGTCAATGAGCCTGCTCCCTCTGTTGCTTCTCTTCCTAACGGCAGTACGCCTGTGCCAGACGCTACTAAGCCAGGTACTCCCGACGTCTTGACTGTTCCTTCAGCGCGCCCGTCTGTGGCTCCCGCTACCCCAGCTCCTTCTGCGTCTGCTTCTGCAACAAAGCCTCGTCTTCCTCAGGACAGAGTCGGTATTCTCGAAGATCGCATTGCTGAAGATCCACGTGGTGACATCGAAGCCTGGCTGAGTCTAATTGAGGAGCACCGTAGGCGACACAAGCACGACGATGCCCGAGCTGTATTTGAGCGTTTCCTCAAGCTTTTCCCTTCAGCGGTAAGGCGAATTGTACATGTTTTAGATGTGACTTGACTAACACTTCCAGGGCGAGACATGGGTCGACTATATCAACTTTGAAACCGAGCTGGATGAGTTGCCAAAGGTTGAGCATCTCTTCGGTCGTTCTATCCCGTCTGCCCAATATCTCGGTATCTACTCTGCTTACATCGACTTCATACGCCGTCGTTTCAACCTCACTACAGACCAGAATGGGCAGAACCGCCAGACCGTCACCCAAGCCTACGAATTTGTGCTCAACTCTGTTGGTCTTGATGTACATGCTGGAAAGTTGTGGCTCGACTACATCGAGATGCTCAAGACTGGACCGGGTGTGCTTGGGGGCAGCAGCTGGCAAGACATGCAGAAGATGGACACGCTACGAAAGGCTTACCAGCGCGCTGTTGCAGTACCCCACAACACGACTCTGGAGCTGTGGCGAGACTACGACAAGTTCGAGATGAGCTTGAGCAAGGCTACTGTAAGTTTTCACTTTTGACTTCGCACATCCACCCACTCGACTAACACCACTGGCAGGGTCGCAAGCAACTCCAAGAGACGTCTCCTGCGTACATGACTGCCAGAAGCGCTATTAACGTTCTAGAAAACAACATTACGAGGGGTATCAACCGAACTACCTTGCCCAAACTACCGCCTGCTGCCGGGTTCGATGGATATGACGACTATATGAACCAAGTCAAGCTATGGAAGAACTGGATCCAGTGGGAGAAGAGCGACCCGCTTGAGTGCTCAACAGACAACCGCGAACTATACAACAAGCGTGTCCTACATTTGTACAGGAACGCCCTCATGGCTCTCCGGTTCTGGCCAGAGCTCTGGTATGAGGCAGCTGAGTGGTGTTTCGAGAACAACTTGCAGGCTGAAGGCGACAAGTTTCTCGTTGATGGCATCGATGCAAACCCCGAGAGCTGCCTCCTCGCCTTCAAAAAGGCCAACCAAGTTGAACAACGCACCGATTTCGAGGATGGCCAGCCAGGTATCATCGCCAAGGGTAAGGCCGTGCGAGAGCCATATCAGAGGCTGCTAGACACCATCTACGATCTCACGGCGCAAGTCAAGAAGCGAGAAGAACACTCCATTGCTCGTGCGAGGGAGCAGTTTGAGGCACAAAAGGCCGCCGATGAGGCTGCCCGGGCAACCGCCCAGCAAAACGCAGATGCCGACGACGAAGATGAAGTCGTAGCCGCACGCCGCCAGAAGGAAAAAGAAGATGCTTTCAATGGCCAGCTACAGGCCATGTCCGCCGGATACAATGCTCAGACTCAGAACCTTAAGAAGACGCTGACATACGCATGGATAGCCCTCATGAGAGCTATGCGACGTGTCCAGGGTAAGGGAGATCCCAAGGCTGATGTCGGTGGCTTCCGTGGCATCTTCACTGAGGCTCGTAAGAAAGGCAAGCTTCTTAGTGAAGCCTATGTCGCCAGCGCCCTCATCGAGCACCATTGCTACCAGGAGCCGGCTGCACAGAAGATCTTTGAGCGGGGTATGAAGTTGTTCCCAGAGGATGAGCAGTTCGCCTTGGAGTACATCAAGCACCTGATCAAGCTTAACGACTCAACCAGTAAGTGCCTCCAGGTTTTGGATGCAGACCTTCCACTAACATGCTCAGATGCTCGCGCCGTCTTCGAGACCGTCGTCGGCAAGCTTACAGCGAAGCCTGAAAATGTCCACCGAGCCAAATCCCTCTTCGCCTTCTTCCATGACTACGAATCCCAGTTTGGCGAGCTGGCTCAAATCACCAAGTTGGAGCAGCGCATGGCAACTCTATTCCCCGAAGACCCTCAGCTGCACCGCTTCTCGCAACGCTTCGCTAGTCCAACCTTCGACCCCATCTCCGTCCGTCACATCATCTCCCCCCGCACACAGATGAGGCCGGTGATGCCCTCTGTCATGCCCTCTGTCATGCCCTCTGTCATGCCCTCAGTAGAAGAGCACCAGCCGATGCCTGCCGTACCAGCCCAAATTATGGCAGAACAGCAGCAACAGCGCTATGTTTCGCCAGGCATAGTAAACCCCCCGCATCTCAACAATCTCCCCATCACCAACTCTCCGAAACGCCCACTTGAGGACGCCGACGAAGTTGCACAACCCCGCAAACTCGCTAGGGGCGAATCTCCACTAAAGGGCGCGGCGGGCCGCCGCCTCGACGCTGCACGCCGCAATCTGGCAACCACCGGTGCTACACCTGTCGGCCAGGCACCAGGTCCGCCACCTCTGCCTCGTGGCGTCAACTTCCTCCTTGGCATAATCCCTCCCGCACATACCTACAAAGAGACACGCTTCAAAGCAGATGTCCTTGTGGCCCTGCTGCGGGACGTCGCCGCTATCCCTGTTCCTCCAGGCCAAGGTCCACCACAACCACAGCGGTGGGGCACAACAGCGACGACCGCACAGCAGTTGCAGAGCATACATGAAAAATACGGCAACGGCGGTCAGATGGCAATGCACTCGCCCCTTGCTGGTGCAAACCCTTGGGGATAGTGATGCTGTCGTAATCTTCTGTATGATAAGTAGATGCTTCATGCACGCAGCAAAGCTTTGTTTCGACATCATCTGGACTGTAGAAAATGAGTTGCCTAGACACTGGTAGCAAAGACACGTTGCATGGAATTGGCGTTTGTTCTTCTCTCTATCTCTCCTCACTTCAGGAATACGGGCATCAGTTGAAAGACTTGAAACGCGGTCAGTTAGAGCTGTCACTAATGGATCCTCGACCTGGTTGCTTTTGTGCAAGCAGAGGTCTTTTATGAGCGAGGCGTTGGGTTTTCATTTGCGTGCCAACTCATAGTGGTTTGCTTCATCATCATCATTCATCATCAAAATAGGATAGTTGAATAAACACTTTGTTAAGTTGTATCTGCTGGATTTGGTGTGGTGAAAATCTGAGCTTAGCTTCTAGGGTTGTGTGGTACGTGATACACGGGTGCTTTCGAACTGCAGAAACCTGCATGCTCGCAGCACATTCCATGTCGCGCATGCTACCTGTCTATCCAAATATCCCAATCCTCCTTCCTGATTCCTACCTGCATCTTCTCCCAACCACATCCAATGCATACATGTCTTCCATTAGCCGTCATCTGTAAGCGAGCAAGTGGGTGTCTCAATGTCTCAGCTTCCCGTCGCCGTCGTGGATATGCACATGCAGCCTTCCGTTGTTCCAATATCCGTCCGCCTTTCTAGATGACGTGTCGATCCAGCCGGAGGAGAGTCTGTGCGGAATGCGGATATGTGGTTTTATGGGTCTGACGGGTAGACTTGCGTGAGACTGAAGTGTGCCATGTGGTTCGGTGTGGTATAGCCTTCAATCCCTCTGTCATGCAGGTGTGAGGGGTTACGAGCGGGGCATGTCTACAAGTCGGTGGGACGTGATGTGACGTGGTGTAGTTGTTCTCAGTAGATGTTTTGGTTCGCAGATGTTCTGTTTGTATGAGTTTCGGGAGCGGGTGTTCTTGGTTAGGTGGTCCTGGTTTGCGATGGGAGAGGAGGGTATTGTGGGACTTGTCGGTGCGGATATCGATGCAGCTGACTGTATTCGGGCTGTGAAGAAGAATGAAGATGAAAATGTTTGGTGTTGGCAAGTGGTGGTGATTATAGACTTGGTTGGGTAGGTTGCTGTTGAGAAGAGACTGGCTACCTAGGTACTTGGTCCTGGTTTTCATGTCTATCATGGCTTACTGCTGCGAGTCGACGCGTGCTAGGAATTTCCCAGATTCTGAATTTTGTCTGTATACTGGCATGGTTGAATCTCAAGGCTCGGCATGCTCGAGACTTTCGTAATATTGCACTGACTTCAAGCATGCGTACATTTCCTGATCATCATGGTCGACTGGACTCTTGCGCGTCTGTGTATTGTCGTGATGTCTAGCCATCTTCCTCAGCTGCTCCATCTAAGTTCGGATAAGAATATTATGTACTCTCTTCTATTGAATCTGATCATGTTGCTTTGTATCTCTGACTGCTTCCCCTATGTGTATCCTCGTTCTCATTCATGGCCTAAGTCTCATCCGAATTCGTCCTGTCACCCTCTCACCCACATACTCTCCCTCTCCATCCTCAACGTCTCTAAACATATCTGGTCATCTTACTGTGTAGCTATATTACGCCATCGTCTGGCTTATCATCCGCAAATTCTCTCTCACCCGAGTCGGGAAAGCGGTCATCCACTGTCAGGGGCCAGGCCAGACCAGGCCAACACGGCCACAACACCATAAATCTCAAGCAACCTCACCTCACAGACCCACATAAACTTTACCTGTATACCGTCTTTTTGAAATTACTTGAGATCCCAAGCTAGACGGCCAGTGCAGCTCCTCCCATATAAGCTTGCTCCCACTGTCTTTCTTTCTCTTCCTCACACTCCACCAACAATTCTTTCTTCAGTGTCTTCACATCCTCACAGTCCCACTACCCTTACGGTTTACAAGACTCTCAGCCTTGTACAACTCTATCCCAATCAGCGTCAGCTTTCCTCAATCTCATCCGAGCCGGTCTCGAGCCAGGGCTTCACTGCAGGCAGTACAGTCAACACAACTGCAGGCAGTCTTCCGCGCTTATCATCGTTGAGTAAGTGTTCTGTCCGACCTGTTTATTTGTTTGAGCATCATTTCCATCCCGATCCTATAATCACCATGAGGCGTCGCACTGTTACTGCTTCAGGTGCAGTTCTTGGCATGTGCCGCCTAGTCGCACTCTTGCCTCGCAGTCACCACAGCACATAGTTCTTTCCCTTTTTGTTTTGACACTACTCCATGGGCTAGCCTTGGCACGCTTTTGCGACTGCCCATAACACTGCTCACCCCGCCTTTTGTTTTCCACCTCACCTCACTCGTATCGACGACGGCCATTTGGTTTCGTACGTCGGCACTGAGTCACCCTGTCCGTTACCCGTATTTTGCCCGTTTTCTCTTTTCTGAGTACATATGTGCGCAGCTTCTTCTTTTGAATAATACTGACATCCCGCAGATCCAATCAGTGATCCGGTTCAAACGCTCACGCCGTCATCGCCCGTCTCCATTGACTCAGATCGAAGGTCAAGGTACGTGCGTGCTGCCGCAGCTGTTTCAGCTCGCAAACGCAGCATCATGCCCGATCACCGCTAACATGCCGCCTAGAGTCAGCCATGGCTGGCCCACCAAAGCCGCGAATGCAGGCCGAGAAGCAGCCCAATAGCTCGTCCGATGGCTCCTCCTCTGCTTCTCGCAATCCGCAGCGTTCCATGACCAAGTCTATTCCTCGTCTCGATGGTAATCGCGATCCCAGCACCAAGATCGCCATCGATTACACACAGCCCAATGACCTCAAGAACTTGTCCGAGTTTCTTGGTATGGCTGGCTGGTATGCGGCACGTGGTGTAAGTACAAACCCTCATATCTCAGCCCGCATGTACATCATGCGACCAACCGCCCATGCAAACACTCCTTCGTGCCCACATCCTGCCGACCATGCAAACACTTGAGGGCTCGCGCTCTGCCGCTGTCGGCATGGCACTGGGCCTCCTTGGGAGCATAAAAGGCGTCCTTTCCCATGCTTTCTCCTGCTTCTCTATCCTCACACACTTCCCATTCTTACCAAAACACATTTCAAATCATCTATTTATTTCTTCAAATACCCCTCAGTTTCATCATGGTCGGCCAAGCCCCTCGGTGCTATGGCGACTCAGCTCTCTACAACCCTCGCCATCATAACCTCATCGTGGAGACTAATGATCCGCAGATGAAGATTCCGGAGTCCCTTCCTCAGCGTCCGAAGAACTTCAACCAGTATGGCAAGGCTGCTACTGTCACCATCAACACCTTCAATGTCCTTCAGATGCCCAAGGCCGTCGTCTATCAATACGATGTAAGTACTCCCCTCTCCCAAGCCTACCTCTATCACTAACTCCTTCAAGGTCGCCTACGCCGGTGATGCTGCGGACTACAGCAAGCGTGTGCTGCTCAAGAAGATCTGGAACTCCCCTAAAGTCAAGGCCGAACTTGGTGAGCCCAATAACCTCTGGATCTGGGATGGCAACAAGCTTGCCTGGTCCACCGCGAGGTTTGAGCGTCCGGAGACCCGCGTCGCTATCGACCTGGACGAGGAAGAGGGCCGTCCCACCAAACCAGGTGCGCGTGGCAACAAGCACATCATCTACATCCGCCGTACTCGTCAAGTCGACTTCGCCAGCATGACCGCTTTCCTTAACGGTCAGATTGGCTGGGACAACACCTGCATCGATACGATCAACTTCCTGGACCACGTCTTGCGGGAATGGCCCTCACAGCAGTACACTCAGATCAAGAAGTCCTTCTTTCAGCGTGGCGAGCAACGCTTCGATCTTGGCGGTGGTGTTGAGGCCTTCAAGGGTGTCTTTGCCTCCTTCCGGCCTGTCCTCGACGACAAGTTCAAGAAGAACCTTTCGATCAACGTCGATGTTGCCAACGGTACCTTCTGGCGCGCTCAAGAGCTCACTCGTGCCATCGCCCAAGTGTTCAACTGCACCCCGCCGCAGTTCTCAGCCATGTTCAAGGCCGCCCTCAAGGACTGGAACAAGTCCCTGTTGAAGCGAGACCTCCGCAAGTTCAAGAAGGTTGGCGTGTCAACTCTCCACACCAAGGAGCCCACCCAGTGGACCATCGATGAGTTTGTCCCCTTGGACGCTACCCAGGCCACCTTCCCGGACCCGGACAACCGTGAGAAGAAGATCTCTGTCGCTCGGTACTTCAAGAAGAAGTACAACGTCGACTGTATCGCCAACGTCCCAGTCGTCAAGATGACGAAGAAGATCCGCAAGGAGGCTGTCTACATGCCCATTGACGTCCTCAAGATTGATGGCAACCAGCGCTACAACACTAAGCTCAGCGACGTCCAGACGTCCCAGATGATCAAGTTCGCTGTCACCCTCCCCAAGGAGCGCTGGGCAGCTGTTCAGCATGGACTCCGCCTCCTCAACTGGACGAACGATCCCTACCTGAAGCACTACGACGTGAAGGTCAGCTCCACCCCTGCCAAGGTCACGGCTCGCATCTTGCCTTCGCCCACTGTCTCATTCGGTGCCGGTTCCAAGGAGATGACTATCAAGCCTGCGGACATGCTCATGGGTCGATGGCGCCTAGATGCTCGCAAGTTCGCCGTCACCAACAAGGACAAGCCAATCAAGGCTTGGGGCATCTGCGCAATCCAGGGTCGTGGTAGTCCTTCTCCTCCGGCTGTTTTAGCATTCATCGAGAAGTTCATCCAGATCTACGAATCCCATGGTGGCGTGATACTCTCCCACCCTGAGCACGGCAAGAAGCCCTGGTTGGGTCCAGGTAACCTTGGAGATGGCGGTGAGATGGTACAGAAGGCTTGGAACCAGACAGGAAACAAGTAAGTGATGCATGAGCCTAGATGCTTGAACAAATCTAACCCTCCTACAGGTACAACCAGCCGCCCAACTTCATGTTCTTCATCGTCAACGATCGCAACGTCGAGGTCTACCGTCGCATCAAGAAGTCGTGTGACATCCGCTTTGGTGTTGCTTCGCAGTGTCTTCAGGCCAAGCACGTCCTGTCTGCCTCACCTCAGTACATCTCCAACGTCTGCATGAAGGTCAACGCTAAGCTCGGCGGTTGCACTTCTGTCGCCAAGTCTCAGCTTATCCCCAAGATTGCGCCGAAGTCAGCCTCTATCCCAACTATGGTTGTTGGTGCCGATGTATCGCATCCCGCTCCTGGTGCCGCCTCTGGTGAAGCTGCCTCGTTCGCTGCCATCACTGTCTCTGCCGACGCCTACTTTGTCAAGTACTGGGCTGAGTGTAACACTAACGGCAACCGCGTCGAGATGGTCACCACTACCAACATCTACGAACACTTTGGAAACATGGCACGTGTCTGGATGCAGCGGATCGGACAGGGCCGGGCTCCTCAGCGCGTTCTCTACATCCGCGACGGCGTCAGCGAGGGACAGTACGCTCAGGTGCTCTCGGATGAGGTTCATGACATGAAGGAGACCTTCAGGAGGGCTGGCTGCAAGATACTTCCCAAGTTCACTGTCGTCATTGCTGGCAAACGCCACCACATCCGCTTCTTCCCTGAGAAGGGCGACCGCAACGGCAACCCTCTGCCTGGTACTCTGGTGGAATCTGGTTGCACCCATCCCTTCGAGTTCGACTTTTACCTCTGCTCCCACGTCGCCATCAAGGGTACGGCTCGCCCTATTCACTACCAGTGCATCCTCAACGAGGGTGAGTGGCAGGCTGCCGAGCTTCAGCAGTTCATTTTTGAGCACTCTTACCACTATGTCCGCTCTACGACCCCGGTTTCCCTGCACCCAGCTGTCTACTATGCCCACTTGGCTGCTGACCGTTCCCGTGCCCATCTGAACGAGAGCCCAGTATCCTCTGGCAAGAAGGAGTCAAAGGCTGAGCAGAAGCCCGCCACTGGCTCGACCGGCTACCGCGCCGTCGAGATCGCCCCTCTGATGCCGCTCATGAACGTGCGTGGTCTCAAGGATGTGATGTGGTACGTCTAGAGTACTGCGGAGTGGACGGGGCTTCTTGAAGCGATGGGATAGCCGGTCTGGCTTCTAACACATGGTGTCCTCTGACGACTCGGTCGATGGATCTTTGGACTGGCTTGGAACACAAGAACCTTGGGTGTGATGATGGCATGAGCTTGTTCATGGTGCATCAAAGGTTGGCGACTTGAGCGTTCCACTTCCCTTCTCCCCCTTCATTTTCTTTTCACGATACTCGACCTTTACGGTCCAGCGAGTAAATCTCATACCATCCTATGTAGTTTGCCCAGCCTATTATCGGCCTGGCACAATAGATATGGTTGCATAATCCTACTCCCTTGCGCGTGATGTTAGATCTAGATTCTGCAACTTCCGGACTTGCTAACAATCTCCAGACATAAGATGAGGTGTTGCCAGCTGGCGGTGTGGCTCATGAGTGTGAGCTGGTAAGCCCTACTTGACTACTCGAACTCGACTACTCAAGCAAGCCAACAAACAGGCAGCAGCTACTTTGGTTGCAGTGTGCATTGCTGGCATAGAGACAAGGGATCACTCTAGCGCAGCACAAACAAGGTATGTACCGTCCAATATATTTACCTTCGCTCCACCAGCGCAGAGCGCAGAAGAGAAGGGGGTAAGCGAACGCATAGTTAATCTAACCTCCATTTTCCCCTCCAAATCTCCATTGAAATGGTGACACAGAGTGAATAATGGGGTATTCAGTTTTAAGGAACAGAAGAGGATGGGGCATCGGGTTGGTTTTGTTGCATGCGAAAATTTCGGATGACTAAGCCGCACTTGGTAGGATGCGGCTTAGGTGGAAAGCAGGGACCAGATGAGCGAATTAAGGCTGGTGCATTGGCTGTGACGAGCATGGTGGGGTTTTTGGGCGGCGCGCGGGGCATGCTGCGTTTTGTGGTTGGGCCTGTAAGGGTGACTCTTTTGCCAACACCAAGCTCGGCTTTTGCATCTTGGGTATAGCAGGTAAAGTATGAATCCATTCGGTGAATGCGCTTGGTAGTCTAACGCAATGTGCTCATGGAATCGGCAGGCTCGTACAAGCTACTTTATTCTCCCTTGCAACCACCAACTTTCTTACACGAACCGAACACACAATACCCACGCCGCACAAGACGCGATAACCGGGCCTACTACTCAACCAACACCCCGATACCCCCCGAGAAACTGCTAGTCTTCTACAATTCAACTGTACACGCAGGCACCTTTCCGACAGCCTTACCACCAAGCACATAGGCTGTATACACACGCTTCAAACGCACAGCATGTCTTCAGCAGGACGCGGCCGCGGCGGCAAATTCAACAAAGTCAAGCGTGGAGGCGGCAAGAAGTTCTCGCGTGACCTACAACCGCTGAACGCAGATGGCGAGGTCGTCGGCATGTGGGGTGTAAGTGATTGGCATTCTGCTAGCGATGGATAATTGTCTAATGTTTTCTGCAGGAACAACCCGACAAGGTCGATGAAGAATCTGATGAAGAGGAAGGATCATCGGAAGAAGAGTCCAGCGATGAGGAGGGCAAGCCTGCAGAAGAAGAGCTGACGCGCGAGCAACGCCGTGAACTCGCAAAGAAGCGCAAGGCTGCCGCGATAGCAAAGAAGTCGCAAAAGGCGCCTGAGGCAGGCGATATGCCTACCGACTCGGAAGAAGACGAGGATGACGACATGCCCGCGAACCCAAACCACACTGCCAAAGCACGCACACAAGCCGCCAAAGCACCTGTTGACCCCGACGCTGAACCGGCTGCTGCTGCCGCCAAGGGCAAAGGAAAGCAGCAAGACCCCTCTCAGCTCTCCCGTCGTGAGCGCGAGGCTCTTCAAGCGCAGGCGAGCAAGGACCGATATGAGAAACTGCATGCCGAGGGCAAGACGGAGCAAGCACGTGCGGACCTCGAACGCTTGAGGCTGGTTCGCGAACGCAGGGATGCTGAAGCTGCGCGCAAAAAGGCCGAGGCCGAGGAGCGCGCTGAGCTGGAGAAGGAGAAGAAGGAGCTCATGGAGCGTGAGAACAGGCGGCGGGAACAGGCCATGGGCAAGGCGAACCGTCTTGCCAAGGGAGGCAAGAAGAAGTGAGCTCAGACTGTGTTGCTGATCCTAGGATTGTGCCGCCTTTCTCGACCACTCTACAACGCTGGTCTGCCTCATTATCGGTAAGAACAGACACGGCTTGATGCTTATGTTTTGCATGGCTTGCGAATGGCTCAGCTTCCTTGAACGATATGATGAAATACAACAGAAGGTGGCATGGCGATTATCTGGCAACATCACACACGGTTCAAACCCCAGATGAATACACCATCTATACCATCTCAGCAGCTTGCCATGGTTTCCTTTCTTATTTTCGCTTCGCTGATGCTCTTCTGCCTAGTCACTATCTCATGCACTAACACAGCACATGCACGCCCTACGATCTCAGACTCCTCATCTCAGCTCCAGGCTACCTTATAACAGGATATACACGTCGACACTCTGACAGCAGATACGAGCTCATATGATGTCGTTGAGCCCTCGGCAACCCCTCACGACGCCCTTGTGCTTGCCCCGCCAGTAGTGCCTCGCCTCAGGAACGCGAAAGTTCACGACTTCGTCATCACTCGTTCCACTAGATAAACATCATCATGGCAGCTTTTCTACATCTCATCATGCGCACACGTGCTCTAAACCCCATACAGTTCAACGCGTTCTCTTTCGCGACGAGTGGACATGGCTGAAGCCATTCCTGATGAAGAGCAATCCAACTACGAAACCTTCCGCGACTGTCTGAGCGAGCCTGTTCTGAAAGCGCTGGCAGCGCCTATTGAAAAGCCAAAACCGAAGAAGAAAAGACATGCAAAGAAGGGATCACAGGGCATTAAGAACGATGTCGTTCAGGAAGAGACATCCCCCGCGGCCGTGAAACCCAGCTCAGAAGCCCAACAAGCAGACGCAGAGGACCTTGGCGAATTCATCGAAGTACGCCCATCTGCTCATCCCTTCTCATCTTCCTAAGCTAACCAAACATGTAGTACCTCAGCACTCTCGTCTTTCCCTCCCTTCCCCCAGACCTCCGCATCCTAACCCACGCACTCTACAAAGACTCGGCCCGCCTCCAAGAAACCTACACACCGCCCCTCTCCGCCTCCACAACAACCCACCTCCTAAACACAATCCCACCCCCCGCAATCGACAGCTTGCAATCCTACGCCCTCCTCCCTCCCATCTCCGACTCAATCGACCAACACAACCTCCTCACCCCCATCCTAACCGCCTACATAACCGCATGCATCGCCCCGCCACCCATCTGGAGCTCCACGCGCACCACGGCATGCGAGCTATGCAGCCGTGATTGGGTGCCGTTGACGTACCACCATTTGATACCCAAGCAGGCGCACGCGCGCGTCTTGAAGCGCGGGTGGCATACAGAGGATAAATTGAACTCGGTGGCGTGGCTGTGTAGGGCGTGTCATAGTTTTGTTCATCGGTTGGCGGGGAATGAGGAGTTGGCAAAGAGTTACTATACGGTTGATCTGATCAAAGATGGAGGCATCGAGGAGGATGCGGACAAGAGGGCGGAGGTGGAGGGGTGGATGCGTTGGGTTGGGGGTGTGAGGTGGAAGAGTCGGTGAGGGAAGTGTGTATAGGGATGAAGAGAGAGGGGGATTTGGGTGCTGTTGGCGAGACGTGTTGGATATGAGACAGACCTTCTTATGATTCATGTATGGGGTCTTTGTTGTATGAAGTTGGAGCTTTGTTTCAATATGCACGTGTTCAATTCTCCACATGAATTTACTTCGTGATGACCACCATAAGCAAAGCATACAGATGTTACATGCAGTCTCTCTCTCTCTCTTTTACCTTGTGATACCATACTCCCAAGTACTATATCCCAAAATGGATAACTTCATGTCACGTGTACATCTACTACCACTCGTTGCCAAGTGTAGACTGCAGAAGGGATGAGGAAGAGGAAGAGGAAGAAGAGAGTATAGTGGTGGTGAGAATAATGTGAATATCGGTATGCAGTAGGCCAGGCCATCAGACCCGTACCTCTGAGAGAGAACTATATACTAAAACAAGGGCGACAAGGAGTCCAGGCCCAGTGAAAATAAAACTCCAGAGCAGGCCCGCTCGATGGTAATGCCAATGCTAATGCCAATGCCAATGCTGATGCTGATGCTAATGCCGATGCTGATGCTGATGCTGATGATAGATCCCAATCCCAGTACCAACCGATGCCCATGGGTATTTCCCTAATAAGCGCCATGTTATGCATTGACCGTAAAAAGGTCCATTACCCAAGAAAATATGCCCAAGGCGCGCGGCGCCATCAATTAAATGCATTCGTTGAATCATTCATTACAACCATATCCAATCTTCAATCGTAATGTGGATCACGTCCTCCTCCTCTTCTTCTTCGAGTCATAAGGGAGCGTCGTCCAAAAAGCCGCGCTCGAATTCGTCGGCGAAGACGGGGTATGTCTGCCAGCAGGTACCCGTCTTTGTCTTTCTTGCTTCCAGGCTGGCACGGATGTGCGTGAGGAAGGCCTCTGTGCACGGATCGCTGGTGGTGCGTCGTAGCTCGCATGGTGGGAGCGGCTGTGCTTCCATGATTGGTGTTTGAACTTTGGTGGTAGTAGGTTGTTCGACCACTGTGTTTGCTCTTGGCTTGGGTTTGTCCATCTTTTCAATCATTTGGAACTCGTCGCGAACGGGCTTTGCTGCCCACTCGGTGGATGGGAATGACTTTCGCCTTTGGGTGGTGGCGAGGTAGTCATGGTAGGCGTCACTGCTCAAGCGGAGTTTGAAGTCGCTTGATGCATCACCACGCGGGATGATGGGCGCAGGGACGGACCAGTCGGGGACAAGAGTGGGCGGAGGGGTTGAGAAGTCGACGGGTTGGCCTGGGTGTGCTTCGCCTGTGGTATCACAGTGTGTGGAGGGTAATTGGACAGAGGTGTTTGTGTCGACATGTGAGCCAAAGATGTTGGTGGAGAAGACCACGTCCATGTCTTCGCTAGTGGAGTCGATCCTTTGCCTCTTGAAGCTGTCTTCCAACTCTTCCCTTGGCGAGCCGGATGGGAATGAGAAGGAAGTCCTAGGGCTGACCTGCGGCGAGTAGTCGGGGCTTCTTCGACGAGAAGAGAAGTTAAAGCCGAAGTTGATGTTGAAGATTTCGCTGCCTCGACGCTTCTTCTTGAGGTGAGGGAAGGTCCAGGTGACGGGCTTTGACTTGAGAGAAGCTTTTGATTTGGGTAGCATGGTGGGTGGGAGTTGCCTGGTAGCGACGTCCATTGTGAAGTTGTTGAAGTTGATGGAATCGGGGGTGGTCGAGGGTGTTATGAGTCGTGGTTTGGTAGTGCTGGGGTGCCGTCTTACCATGGGCGGTAGGGGTAATAGACGTTGGGTGTATTGTTTGGGAGGACAATAGGAAGTGAGAGAGTTTACCACGTCCTTCGCAGCGGCTGTTTCACTAGATAAGTATGCATGGTGTGTGAAGGCATAGTACAAGTCATCTTGCATGCCGTGTTCACGAGGCGGTGGTCGCGGGGTGCGGCGGTCGTGTGAAGGCGGTGTCGGAGTATTACTGGAGGTCTGGACGGGGAATTTCGGAAAAGGTTTGGTAGTCAGTAGCGCGGAAGATGGGGGCGTGGTACGGTCATATGGTGTTGGCGGTGACATGAGATTCGTGATGGCGTGGGATTGGTCGGCGGGGCAGACTACGGAGTTTGCGCCGAACAATACCCGGTTTTTGCGTGGTGTTGCGGTGTGGATTTTGGAGTCGGTGGCCATGTAGGCGTGTTTGGACGTGGGTTGGCGATCCAATAGCAATGGCGGCGAGGCGTGCGCTGGAAAAGACGGTCACGTTAAACCAGGCCCGGCGCGCTGAAACAACGATTGCGATTGTGTGTCTCTCTGACCGCCATGCTACCACGGTCCATTACTTGTTATATACCGCCTTTCTTGCATACAGACGTCTGCCAACACCACGATTTGACGCCTCGCGTGCGCCGACAGTGACATGACCAAGATTTGAACAAAGTGACGTTGTACGTGCTGGGCCTCATGCATCACCATTACAGCTCATGCCAGATTTTGTGTGAATCCAGAAGCAGCTGGAGTTGCAGTCGCAGTGGTACAGCCAACAGGCCAAAATGCGCGAAGCAGACGGATCCCCAGACCAAGGGCTTTGTCGACGGCCGCTGTTGCTGCCGCTGCACATCATGTGTTTGGTGCGGAGCCGTCTGACTCTTTGGCCGACCGGTGGCGTATGAGTTCGGCGGGCCAGGGTGATGCCAGATCTGGATGCCCGTGATCCGCCTAGTACAGCGGACATGTGGGCATCGGTGGCAGGCGCGCTACATCCGGTGAGCGCGCAGAAAGCGGCGTTTGAAACTTTGTCCTTCCCCAGGGCCTCGAATGTGGTTGGGGGGGGGGGGGGGGTTGTTGGGCGCGTGGACATATATACTAAGCCTTTTCCACGTCGCCAGTTGCCAGCACCACATCGCGAGGCATCAAATCACTGCACGCCAGATCAAGAGCAGGGGAGTCAGCTGGAAAGGTTGTTGTACTACGCAAGCAGTGTGTGTGTGCCTGGCTACAGCTACGTCATTCCACTTGGCGCCGACTGCAGCCGCATCAAACAAAGAAAGAGCGGCGGTACTATCGTCGTCGTCTCGGTCGTACCTGGTAACTACCTCGATCTCCAAGACCATCTCTAAGACCCAGCATCATGAACCACGCTATTCCAGATACCCTGCCAGTCCGCCTCCCCGCCCCCGTACCGCGCCTCAAATGCATTCATCGCTATGTTCCCCAGAAATGGCCGTACCAACCGACTAATGAGCTCTCCTCGGGTCATGTCCAGCACAGCTGCACCCTCTTCCTTTTCCAGCGCCTCGATGAGCGGATCAAGTAGTAGAGTCCTCTTGCTTTCCTCCGCATCGGTTCCGTTGAGCCCCGTTAGAGGAGCTGCCAGTGCAGTCGACGATCTAGTGAGAACATCGCTGATTTCATCCGTAAGAGACATCTGTGTCGGTAGGTTGATGGGTTTGTATACAGCGTCAATAGTATCGGAAACGAACAACCACTCCATAAGCTGGAAGTCATCGGGATCGAGCACAACTAGCTCGTCCAACAGCTTGCATATCTGGATAATGCCGGCGTTGTTGTAGTGTTCCTTGTTTGGTGCATCTGGTAGAAGTGCTGAAAGTCCAGACTTCAGCTCGCCGTTCACGACTGGCCACAACGGCGCTAGGTGTACAGGTGACGTCTTCAAAATAACAGCACGCAATAGCACCATGACTTCTGCGCGCGTTACAGAGGACGGCGACGAAGCAGGTGTAGCCGTAAGCAACTCGACCAACTTCTCGACTATTTGTGCTATATTGGACGTGAAAGCGTCTTCGGCGCTACCAAGAATGAGCAGTGCGATGCGTCGCAATGTAAATTGTGTCTTGCGGTCAGCTTCCTGCCGCGCAGATGTAGCGCCGACGCCGAACATGATGCCAGCCGTCGTTGGCGCAGATAAGCGCGATAGTAGTTCTGGGACACGCTCCTTGTCGGATTGAGTCCATTGCTCCAGGATAGGAAGCCACGCGTCCCGGAGTAGAGGAAGCGGCGTATTGAAGAACCTGGCGTCGTTGAAAGCATCGTATGTGTCTTTCTTGAGGATTTTGTTCCCTTGTGCTATTTTTGTGAGACCTTGGAGTAGTTCCAGTATACTTCCCGATACGTTCTCGGGGAAGGCTTTAGCGCGGAAGGTTGGGCCGATGACTGATGTCGAGATGTCTGAGACGACCTTCGCAACTCGGTCGTTCTCCACCAGGATAATTGAAAGCTTTGGCACAATGGTAGTGAGAATAGAGACAACATCGTTCGCCCGTTTCTGTGCACGGTTGCCATTGGTGACCGGGGGAGGCTTCTCGTTAGCAACTTGGTTCGTGTCTTGTAAATAGCTCATCGAGCGGGTTGTGAAGATTGCAGTCAGAACCCTAGCAAATATGTCCTGTTTGAAGAGTCAGTATTGTCCAACCCAAATTCTTAGCCACGTCACTTACCGCAAGTTCTCTCCTCATCTTGCGCTGCTCCCCAAAGTTGGTATTATCAACCTTTTGGCCAATAACAGCAGTAAACTCTAGGAGCATAGGCAGTATCTGACGATGAGGCAATGGATTTGCAAGCACATCTCGCAGGAACAATGTGCAGTCCTGCCAAATCTCGTCCATGGCATCGTCTTCCAGGGAATTAGTGTACTCCACAAGAAAAGCAACCAGTTCTGTGTCAGTAAGATCCGAGGTCAAGGTTGATAGTCGGTTGCTATCCAAAGCACCGGGGTCGGTTCGGCTGTATACCGCGTTGAACATTGCTGGGATGGTGTGTTTAGGTTTGGAGCCATTCAGTACATTCAGAAGACCCGTGACCGCAGAACCCTCGATGGCATCTCTTTTTGCATGTGCCCAAAGTACTGCCAAAGTCTCAAGACATTCCAGCGCTTCAGCATCGAACAAATGCTCCAGTGTACGGCGAGCGCGATTACGCATGCGCAGTGAAGTGTACGCAAAGGACGATGCCGATGTAGCGTCTTGCAATTCTGGTCTGTGCCCATAGCCTCCCCACGACCAGATCGCAAAGCATATGCGAACGGTATCTTGGAAGCAAAGTAGGACTGTAAGCCTGCTGTTGGCGGTTGGCGTACGCGTCTGACCCGTATCGGATGAAAACACTCCAGAAACGACATTACTAAAGAACCCTTGGGGCTGCTCTGGAGACTTGTGCGCAGATACCTTCGTTTCTTGCGATGTCAAACGTTCGTGTGCCTTGGCAAGGATCTGCTCTAAACCATTCATGAGGGATATCAATGTCGACTCAGGCGATATGACAGGCAGAGGTTGACCCTTCACAAAGGTCGACTTCAAGTGCTCGAAAGTGATGTTAATTTCCTTGCACAGGCACTCCACGAGCGGAAGGAGATTCTGGAAGATTGTATCTGCAAAAATCGGTAGGACTTCAACGAGAAAGTGTATCCAGTCGTCGAGAACCAAGCGACTGGTTGGGGATGAGAAGCCGAATTTTAAGCATTCGACGAGTTGCGGAGGGGGCGGTATTGGGGCTGGTGTGTGATCTTCTGATTCTCTGTTAAGTGCCAAAGAGATCCGAGATCGATTCGTGGGAAGTGTGGGCGGTTTTAACTCCGGCTCGGGCTCAGGTGGACGAGTAAGGCGTAGTTTCAAAGCAGCCAATTCTGCATCCAGAAGGAGGCTTTGTAGAGATGGATTTGCTGATCTCAGCCTCGCCATGATGGGCACTTCAAGCTCCAAGTCTCGAAGTGGAGCTGCGAAGGGGCTTCGGTAGATTTGCGATATGATCGAAACTGACAGTCGATGCAGTTCATGTATGTGACAATCAACGTCCGTTTCTATATCGGCGGTATGAAGCGACAATGTCTTCAACGACGTGCGTACGAGCCACTCCTGGACGGAGATACGCATCGTTGGTTGTTCCATCCACGCCACCGTCACCTCGGCAAGTGTTACCCAGGTGAAATGTGAGGGTATCTTGATAATGTTGAGAACGTGCTTGAGATAGTAGAGACACTCCTTGGTGTCATCTCTCTTCACAGGTGGTTGGCGCCTGTGTGTACCCGTATCGGGCGCCAGGCTACTGGAGGCTACCAAACAATTGAGAGATTGAATGTGAATTGCTAGAACTTCAAACACTCTGTTCAAGCTCGGAAGGTCTTGCAGCCAGTTCTGCATAAAGGTAGACGTTTCACATCCTTCTTCTGCGAGAGTGTCGAGAAGCAGAAGTAGCGGCCTTGTTAGGACAGCGTGGAAATCACCTGCAGGTGCTGAGCTTGGGGGTACGTTAGCGCTCAGTCTGCGCGTAAGATTCGCACGTTTTTCCGACTGTAGACTAAGTTCATGCATAACATGGGTCCAGAGCGTTGCAAATCTCCGACCACAATTTGAGGCGCCTGTAGATGTCGTGCCTCGGGACGTCTGGTCTACGATAATAGCGGAGATTGCACTTTCCACCATTCGACGAGCCGGCGCGATCGAGTGCAACTGTAACATGCACCGGGCGGTTTCGACGTGGTACTTTGGTAATGTTGGTGAAAGATACTGCCAGAAATGACCGACAAGTGGATGCACAAGCTCAGAAAGTTGACCGGAGGGAATGCAAGGTTCAGAGGGAATTGCAGTCTGAAGTGCTAACAGAACAGCTGCCATAGCGCTCAGTTGCGGAAACCCAAGTTTTGGCGTGGAGCCAGCTGAGGTCTGGAAAACATCCGCGAAGACAGATGGAAGATTGGTGTCTTTGATGGCATCCAGACGTTGTGTCTTGAATATCAAATTGGCCAGAATCTTGGCAGGTGTCTCGACGGGAATATGAGTGTCCACTGAGTACAATGCCGTCGTGAACATGCGTGAGGCCTCGCGCAGCACGATCTGACCTAGTTGCGGTGGATCAAAGGGAATGTCTGCAGCATCAAGACTTCCTTGAGACTCTTCATAAAAAGTCCGGATTTGCTGAGATACATCGGCTCGAGATATCTTGATGGCTTCGGCTAGTTGGCCGTCCGTTGCCTGATTACCTTGAAACGACCGATCTGGTACAATCTGGACAAGTGAGTCGGTGATTTCGAGAGCGAGACTCAACACTTCGATGTTGGCTGTTGGCTTTCCCGTCTTCTCGATAGTGTCGTTCAAAGAAGTCAGGGTTGATAACACCATCAAAGGCATGTGATGCAACAACATGTCCTCTTCTTTGAGATTGAAGCGCGCCAGAACGAACTTTGCCAGCTTCATTTTTCGCAAGGCTTCGTCATGAGTAGCGCCATCAATCTGCAGGGAAGATGTGATGAGCTCTATAAGCTTACCCCAGATCAGACCGCTATCAACGCCATCGAAAAATGCACTTGCACTTCTCATGACCTCATCGACCTCATCTTTTGAGGCAGTCTCACTGTATGAGTGAACACTTTGTAAAGCTGGGAGGAAGATCTCGGGTACAATCAACCCACCCACTTCCCAGCGATCCATGAGAGAAAGACATAACCTAAAAGGGCGTGCTCTCTCGGTAGGTAGCTTGCTACGTCGGTTTATTATCTTGAGTACACTGTTTGTTAGCGCCTCTAGGCCGTATCGTGAGAAAAAAGCAGCTTGCTGCGAGGCAGGGTCTGCAGTAGCACTTGGGGACGTGATGCCATCAGTACCCTCGGACGCGCTGGGTTCTGGCCCTAGGAACCATGCCCAAAGTCTGCGGTTCAAACTCATATCCCTTCGTGACACAACGCTGGAAGCAGCAGCTACAAGTCGCTCTAAGTCTCCTTTGCCAACACGCTGCTGCAAAACCGGCGAATCGAGAGGCAGATGGCTGACTAATAAGTCAAGGAAGCCGCGTTGGATGAGTATCTGAGGGTCTGAGAGCCCTGACTCGAAGCAACGAATGAGTAGACCTGGCTCTGGAGATGTAGCTGCCTCGGCCTCAACGGAAAGAGTCTCCACGGGCGTAGAAGGATCGGATGGAGAGGCACGGCGAATGGAACGTCCAAACTTTGGTAGACGACGTACGAGGAACGCAAGTGCACCCTGTCTTCTGGATGAATTCGTGATAGTGGCCAAGAAAAAGCATTGCCAGAAGTGCGACGAACCACTGGTGCTCTTGGTGCCGGCGACATGGTCAGAATTTTCCTGAACAGCTTTCCGCAACTTCTCCGTCGCGGAGACCATGCGCTCAAAGTCCTCACTTGTCTCGTCTTCCAGACCAGGCAGAAGCGATAGTATAATGGCCTTCAAGGCCGGTCGGAGGGCAGCTTCGTCGAGCTTCAATATATATCTTTCGAAGATGGACAAATACAATGGGCGAACCGAAAGAGAAGCGAACGAGAGGACGGAGGCAAGGCCGGGGAAGTAGAGGTTGAGGTCACGGGCGAGGGCATCTTTCTGGGCTTTGGTCAGCTTCAGCCAACCGGACATGTGGGATTGGGCATACACCGATGGTGGAGAAGATGTAATCATAGACCTCCAGTGCCTTTTGGTGAACGCCCGAGGGCAATGTTGGATTCAAGCACTGCGCTAATCGCAGTGCGACAGTATCGCTATGTGGGATGACGGGTATGTCTGAAGGTTGCGCTTGCAGGGCCTGGAGGGTACATGGTATAAGCGCTTTGTTTCATGGTCGCGGTAGTATGGCAGTATTGACCTTCAGCAGTCTTCCCAAGAAGGAAATATAGTCGGCCCATTCCTGCTGTGCCGTATCCCAGAGGGCGAGGGCGCGTTCAACACCGGCCGCATATCGTCGGAAGCCTTTATCTTTCTTGTACAGCGCTATACATGCCAGCCTTCCGTCAGTCTTATTGCAGACTTTTACACATAATTGGGTACATACGCTCTTCTGTCGCGTTGCGTGCGGACCACGGCGCAGGACTGGAGCGACCGGAGGCTGTTGGTGAGAAGACGTGCGGGTTAGCAGCCGAATCAGCCGACATGCTGTGCGTGGCAGGTAGTAAGATGTCCGTATAGCAATGACCAATTCCTGGACATGCTGCTATTGAAGGTCGTGTTGGACGTATAACCTGCCTGCGCGTTGTCTTGTACACAAAAGATACGTCGCACGTCGCAATAGTCCGACACGAACGAAGCAGTTGAGCACGGGCCGCACCGCAAGCAACATGGGTTTCACATGCTCCTGTGACGCGACTTCAACCTCACCACCATGAAGCCCGGATAGTTAGTTCTCGTGCACTCTGGGGAATAAGCACCATGCACGATGCAGCGCTGGTATAGTCTGCAGTTGTCCGTCCACAGTGTCGTGGCTAACGTGACCATATAGGTCTCACACGATCCGTCACCAGGCCCACCAGTACGCACCTTCCTCTACAACAACGATGCGCCTTTTTACCCCGCACCCCACGACAGTCTTCTCGACGACGACCCTCCGCCGTCCTATGAAGATACAGTTGGAATGATCGGTGCGCCGCCCGGTTATGGCACCTTTCGACCCTATACAGAAGCGTCCTCAATAGCAAGCAGTGAGGTTGAATCCAGTGATCGCGCACTACCCGAGTGGGTTGGCCAGGGTCTGGTTGTGTTCATCTTCACTTCCATCATCTACGGCTTTTGGAGGTTTATCAACGCTCCCGACGACCTCTCGCCCATCGACGGTTGGCCTGGACCTCCTCCGCCACCGTGAAGCTGCAGGTCGACTTCAGCGCCAACTTCGTATACATGTCACACTCACGCACATATCAATACCACTCTACGCCACCAGAGACTCTAGAAGTAGTGTCGTTAGCGCCCCAATTTCGAGTATGATGGGATATGATACACCCAATGTGGTGTGAGATGATCAGAGGCATATCAAGATATGTGCATTCAATCATAGCAGAGCAAGAAGTGTAAGAAGAGCTGGCAACTGAACCGCATCATCTCCCGAGCCGGGCTACCTACTGGGGTCTCCGACATTTATCTGTCTCCTACTAATGTCATCTGTCAGGGATGGTGATGCCGATGTATCTAAACAGTCCTCATTCGTATTGCAAGGAACATACGATGCTTTGGCTAGCATTAGGTGCATTTTGGATTGACGGTACGGTGAGGCAGTGAGGACGCCACCAATGTGCCATATTGTTGCATCTGCTCCTCACGTCGGCACTATTACATGACCATTTCACCATCGTACGTTCATATTGACATCATAACCGATACCAGGTAGATTCAAAGTAGAACTCCAGAATAATGATGCAGACTTTCTGGTGACGAGCAAGGAAATCCCGGATAGACTTGGGTAATGTCCAGAAGCTGCGAATGGCATCAGGACAACGTAACCTTCATCTCCCAGCTGTACTGAGGACCGAATCACTCACCATGAATCTCGCGTCATCTCCTCTTGGATTTATTCACGCCTTTGCAGCTGCAGCCGCCTCCCTCTCCTCTCTTAGCACATCATCGGCATCTTTCTGTAAACTAATGTCCAATTCCCTCCAGGCTCTCTCCTCCCCAATATACATATCAGTCATTGCAAAATTCTGGCCCCAGTAAGTGCCACAGTCTTCTCGAACCAAGATGTGGTAATAATAATGATCGTCGGTTTCCACCTCAAAGTCATAGACTCGCTTGCCCCAAATGATTTCGCAGTTTGCAATTCTGCGCTCAATTCTGCGCTCAAGTGCGGTGGACATGATACGAGGGGTCGGTGCGGTGTTGTAAATGTGACGTGGTTGTGTTATTTTTGGGCGAGTTGATAGTGTAACAGACAGGAGTTTTTGGATCTTGCTCCCTTCAGTGATTTCGAAGAAGAAAGCGATGATTCCGGCATGCATCCAGCACGCCGTGAGGTCATTTCTATATTGCTCGCATCCTATGCAAGATGACATGGCAGCTGCTGTGTGGCAAACAAACCCTTGGTATCAGCATGTTGAGTGCCGCAATGATGCAGCATCTACAACCACTCGCCCGGTTACCACAATCTCGAAAAGAATTCACAGCCCCCCATGATTGTCAACCACAGTGCAGTACCCTCCATCTCAATCCTTGCCCAAGCCGAAAGCTCTGCACCTCGCCCTCACCACCCAACAACAACAACAACATCAACATAACACATGTACACAAACACGCCCTACTAAAACAACAGCCTCAACCCAACCCTCGGGATCCCGGATCTCGCACCGACCTAGCGGCTAGCGCAGCGCGCGTAGAAAGCGACGACCAGCTCGCATGCGCGCAAAAGAACAACCCCAGCAGCCCCAGCAGCCCCAGCAGCCCCAGCAGCTACCCCTGCCGACGTCAAAGTGGGACATTTTTGCTCTCTTCCCTGCAAACAAGAGTGCGACCCCACTTTACCCAAGTTCCAGCCCACTACCCCCTGCCCCCTCTTGCATGCCGCGAAGATTACCCAAAGAGGACTCATGCTGCGATCTCAATCCAGACCCCTGTCACTGCGAATCCACATGCCCATAAACGACGAGGGCAAAAGGTGCACGCACACACCATTGCCCTCTTCAACATGCAGCAACGGGAACAGGGGTCCTGCAAGCAGCAAGAGGGTACGTTTTTCCTTTGACTCGCCAGGGGTAGGCGCGCGCCGTCGCCGGCGTTGTTGGGGCTTGGGGCCTGTCTTGTTGCCATATAAGGATGTCTTGTGCGCTGCTGCGCTGCTGCGCGTCTTGGCAAACCGACGCGAGTCAAGCGCTAGCCCTGCCTGTGGTCCTGTGCTGGGACCCGAGTTGAGATGGCGGGATGGGGGGAATCGAGGAATGGGGGGACTGCGGACGGACGGTGTGAAGGGAATGAGTGCATCTTGCAGAGACGAGATGGCGATCGGCGGGTGACGACTTTTACGACGGTTTTCGGGAGGTGGAGGGTAGAGACGGAGTCGCCGTTTACCTACGGATTACTCCAATCCTACTTATTCCCCGACTCATTCCACTTGTCTGTGCAAGGCGAAGATTTTCGCGATTTTCAACTTCACAGTCTGGTTTTGGTTCATGTTGTTTTATGAATTATTGATCCCATTACGTAGCGTGCACGTTATGGTGGCACAGCAGCCTCGACTCCTGTCGACTCTTCGGAGAAATTCTGACTTTATCCTTGCTCGTGCGTGCGTGCAAATAGCTGCTGAGGCTGAACTCTACCATGTGTTCGCCGACGAGTTCAAGGGCCGATAGCGATGGAGCACACAAGCTGAGACAATGATTATGTACTCAATGTCTCGTCTGCGATGACCACATCAAGATCTTCGCCAAGGCTGTTATGGCTGCAATAGCTATGAATAGACAGGGCAATCATTATGTGGCTTGGTGATATGTCGGCAGATGCAATGTGCTCGACTTCGTGGAACATTCTCATGCCTGTGTGTCCCCTCGTATCATTCCCTGACCACGTCGACCTCTCTTGGAGCCCCAATAGCCTGTACCGAGCTGCCCTTCGCTTCGACACTGCGGATGTGCGTGGTCCTCGTGTGTTCCCAAAGGCCACATGGGGATAAAGCAGATTTCCTCATCTGTACATCCTCCGCAGTCCTTCCACGTGGTCCACTGCAGATACTCGACAAGTCTGTCGATCAGCTCCATAGCTTGGTTACGCATGTGCGACTGTGGCGGGGAAGTGATTAACAGGGCGGTCAGAAGTGTGTCACAGATGTGATTAGCGAACGTGTAGAGTACGAGGTGCGCGAGAGAGGCTGACGATTGCGAAGTAGAAGGAAGCCTAGGCACAACCTGCGCGACACAACGTTGTGTTTCGAGTGTTGCATTGCGATCGGTAGGGTCAATAAAGGGACGAAGTTGTGACTCGAGATACGCAACAAGTGAGTCCTTGTCATCTCGAACGGCTTTGGAAGTATATAGAAAGTGAAGAGGCTTGCTGTACCGCTGCACCACCATGTCGGCGACAGCCTGCCAATCTCGTGACCTTCTTTCTTTGCTCCAGTCCTTGTGTAGTATCATAGCTGTAACGTCGTCTTTTACGCGGAGACGGTCAGAGTCGCTAACATTTTGCAACCTCGGCATTGCATAGTCTGATTGCACGTCGTTGACGAACAAGCCGTCCATATCGGGGTATGCAAAGACGCTGACAAAATTCTCGTGATCCAGAGTCACTCGATCACCGCCAATACCATGGTAACGGGAAGTCACGGCTTTGAGATACGGCCAGCCTTCTGGCCCAGCTGCAAATCCGTTATGCGGCTCCTCTGCCGATACGGGAATCACATGTATCCGCTGTACATGCCTTGAAAAGTCACAAAGAATGATCTCGAAGCCACCTTCCATGCGTAGTATGCCATCAATCTTGCCTTCCCATAGTGTCGCGGTCAAGTTGCAAAGACCATGGGCACGTTCTAACTCTCTGCCCATGGGGGTTCTAGAGTCGGTGAAGTTCAGGAGAAGCATATCTTGTGTGTCGAGGGTGCCATTAGAGGTCTTACCTGCGGAAAGACCGTCAATGTAGAGTAGGTGGAGAGGACGTTGTGGTGAATACGTGTGAAGGTAGCCATACTTGGCTTCTTCGTCTGCCTTCTGTGGCCCGAGAGGAAGTTGTGAATGGCTGTTTATTGCTTCTTGACCAATAAAAACATTTTCCATCTTCCCGTCCTCGTCCTTTGGAAGGCCATTGCTATCTCTTGATGAACGGTGTGGTTGCGCATGTGCGAAGATCAGTGCATGCTCAGGTTCGAAAGCGAGCCACTCCATTCCGGTAACTGCTTCTGATTTTGATGTCCCATGGTACAATTCTGTCCCAGCTGGTACTGTGGCGAGGAAAAATGACATGCCATTATGGTTCAGCGAAGAGCCCCATTGTCGTAAAGAGGAATGAACGGCATTGAAAAGGTGGTTTTGGTATCGCAGCTCTATATCTTCATATATAGCAAGCGCAGCCGGAAGAAGCAAAAGACAAGAAAACAAAGCCGTCGGTGAGGGAAAATGCATATTGTGCTTTACATATGCCTACAAATCATTACTCGAACCAACAGAAAGACAAGTGTTTGTTCGTAGCTATAGTGCGCTGGACATAGAAGCAGAAACCGTGGATGGTGTCGAAGACCTAGACCTGCATTTACTATGGCATACGCATCTGAGTGTTTCGAGGTAGCAGTGTCTGTCCTCAGTGACGCGGCTTTCGAACTTCACCCCGGTAGCTGAAAGCGACAAAGCGTGATCAGATAAGACGACCGTGGCGTGATTGGCTTAAATGTCTCCGGCCTTTACAACCGTTTGAGCGCTGTGGCTTTCAGCAATAAAATTGACGTGTCGTGCGATTAGTGACTGGAGAGGCTAGGCGGCAAAACTTTGCCGGGTCATGTTGGAACTCGTGGGATCAAGCAGATCCGATTGGCGTGGTGCAGGGGTTGCCAGCTCCAGGCACCCTTGGAGAGGCCATTCAGACGACCGGTTGTAGCGCCTTGAGGTCGGCGACGTTGGGTTGTAATGACTGCGCAAACATGGACTTTTGTGAGACATGCATCATGGGGCGGAGTTGGCGTTTGGGGAGTCACGATTGTACCCTCCTGCATCTTCCGCTGTGGACGAGATGCAGACGTCTGTGCAGATGTTGTCGTGGTGCACTAGGGGACTAGACACTGGCGGAGCTTAGGACGGATGCGAGCATGCGCACATCCAAGGATGTCGTTCGAGCTTGGTTAGCATCCAGGAACAAGTGCGACTCTTGTTCATTTTACGTGCCTATGTCGGGCTATTCCGCAGCCTCAAGCCAACGCCACGAGCCCACTGCAGTCTCGGTAGACTCCAAATTGCGGAATTGAGCACCAGGAGCCGTCGGTTGGACGCGGCGAGTCAAGAAAGTCGTTCGATCGAGTATACCGGAATGCCTTTAAAGGATGGGGCCGCCGGGCTGGATGCGAACTTCTGATCTAGTCTGTAGTCCGAAAGAGCGGAGCTAACTCGCTGGCATCATGTCTGCGGGCATAGCGCAGCTTGTGATTGAATACGGAGAGACAGCCAGCGCGCAACTGTGGGTAGTGGTGCCTTTAGCAGTATCGACCGGCAGTGGCTTTGTCGCTGGCTTCCGATGATCGGTTGGAACGGGGTTTGGACGTCATGGAGCATGCTGCTTGTTGCTGGTGGTTCAAAATAGCATTCAAAACTTGTTTTTCCCCATGACCATTAAAAGTGGCACGTTAAGTGTGCAATGTACCAGTAGCAGTAGCTGGAAACAAGCACGGGTGCAGCCATCGCAATGCTTACCCAAACCCGTTGATCAACGCCAGGGGTTTTGCGGATGCTGGCAACCCCATACTCATGCACGGCCGACATGTGGAATGCTCCGCGGAGGCTGTACCATGACCTACGGGCTGAGAGTCATTCCTCGAGTGCTGATCAGAATAATGTGTTGCGACTGCGACTGAGAATTCAGCACATAGTTGTGCCGTGCGCGGCTTGCAGCTCGCAAGGACAAGGACAAGGACATGGAGCTGGTGACAAACATTGCATGAAACGCGCACTAAGCAGGATAAAACAGAGCAATGTGCATGTATAACAACGATCAAGTCTGAACGGGTCGTGGGGGCCATGTGAGCGTACGAGGGCGCAGAACAGCGCAGCAGTCGAGAAATGAGGGTTTCGACTAGCGCAACCCAGATCTGCTAACCTAGACAGCTCTCCACCCAGCCCACTGGACAAGAGTGGGGTATGCTGAATCCCCGTCGGTGTATGGGCTTAGCCACCTGTCTTGACCGGCGTGTGACAGGGGAAGGCATCGTGTTGGCTGTCTGTAATCAATTCTGGACAAGTGGCCGAGTAACCATGGAGACCGCCACCTCGTGGAGGCACAGTTGAGACTCCGAAGATCTCATCAAGCGAACCCGAAATCACGGTCTACGACCCGTCCAGGCAGGTCATCCTGCGCTGTGCGACCGAGACCCTTGTCCTTCCATGCCGTCGACATGGGCTCGGCGTTGTTGGCTGCTTAACGGCCATCAAACGGCGCGGTGACAGGGCCGCAGGATTGCCGCCCGGAACGCATGCCGTAAGCTCGCATATGGATGGATATGGATGCTCAGGTCATGGCAGTCTGTGCAGCAGTGCAGCAGTGCAGCCGCAAACCTTCAAACACTATTGGACTCTACCGTCGACCATGTTGTGCGCTAGTGCGAGCAGGAGCTGAAAAAAAGCCCCTCTTGAGCCATACGTAGAGTTCTGCTTGATGCAGGCCCGGAGCTCGCGATATTGGCGACCTCATGGCGCTTGATCGACTATCGTATGTAAGCTCGCGGGATGGAACCGCTTGGGCGGCCTGCCATTTCCAACGCATGTGCTACCGCGATTTGGGACACGCCCTCATCTAACGTAATAATACCTCCTATTGATCTGTTGACATGCATGTCTGACTGTATGCCATGCATGTCCCAAACTCTTGAAACAGCTTGGCTTGTTGCTGGACCGTGACGTTGGCAGCACCCATGTGCTCGGGTAGAAGAAGAAGACCATGGCAGACGAGATAACGTTGAGAGTCATGGGATCGTGGGCGGTGCAGCAGCAGCGGCCATGGTGTGCTTGTGCTTGATCGCCGCGCATTTCCATGGCTGCTACCTACCCGATCATCTATTAGATCGGAGCAAGAGCCGCTAGTTGTATACGTAGAGATGCGATTCGTGGAGAGGGTCCAGCCACCTAGTAACAGGGTCCCGAGTACCGACCCACTTGAGTGGATGGGTCTGTCAACTCAGCGTGTCAGCCTTGTCAAGGATGCAAGGCCTCCAACTAGCCATTCGGGGTCGCATACCTTTATCCCCCGACCGGGTGTGGACCTTTAGGCTTTTGGCGCGGCCTTGTGTGTAAACTCCGATCGTGCCATCGAGCTTCCGACATGGAGGACCAAAAACCGAGCGACGTGACGGAAATGGCCGCCGATGCATCAAGTTGGTGCAAAACTGGAACAGAGTTTGGGACTTTGGTGCAAAATATTCTCATACGTGGACATCACGCAAAGTAAGCTAGTCTAGGCAGCAATATGCATCTATTCACACCAAGCCCCAACAAGCGTCTAGGGCTGTTCGTAATGAATCCACCCAACACATGCTCTAAAGTCGGTGAACGCCATAATAATGCAGTTGTGTAAAGTACAGAAGAAGCTGCAATCGCAGAAGATATAAAACGAGACATGCAAAACCAGGGTATCATGAACGAAAGTGAAAGCGACTGTATGCCAGCTAGCCCATGGCATGGCTGGTGGATGTGCTCCCTGTTTCCATGCCTCCCGCAGCAGGCATTGCTTCGCAAACGCCATAACGTCGCCAAGACTAGCCAGAAGCGGGACAAGCTCTTAGGTAGAGATTTTGGTGGACGTGGAAAGTGGACGGACGTGGCGTGGGGCATGTCAACTAAGAAGAAGTCGAGGGCGATTTGCGAGAGGCCTTGAGATGTATTCTCTTGACGTGGTCTCTCTGATTGTACTGTTAGCTTTCTATTCCCGTTGGCGACAAAGCATTCAGGCTTACCATGTTGTCTACGCGACTAAACACCCTATCGCATCCTTCCCAGTCACACAGAACGCCTGGGTTGTGTTTTGCTTCGTGTCTCGCAAGGTCCTTTTTACTCGAGAAGCCGCCTCCAGTGGACTGCGGACAGTCGCCGTGGCGGCAAAAGAACGACTTTGTGTGCCGCTTGTGGTGTTTCCTTAGATCGCATCCCCTAGTGAAGACTGCTCTTGAAGTGCACCCTGGATAAGCGCAACTCCATGTGCCGTTCTTGTTAGGGATGCCATAGGCTCGAAGATCTGGCGATGAAGGAGAGAGAGACCGTGAAAGCGCAGGAGGTGATCTCTCTGAGGGGACACTAGATGGCATACCATGGCCGATGGAGGATGAAGCCGAGTGCGATCTTGACGGCCGAGAGCCGTTGAATGATTGTGAGTATAGAGTAGAGTCGTGCGCGAGCATGGGAGGAGACGCCATGCCCGTGAATGGAGGGTACGAGTACGATGTTACCTGGGGTAACGGTACCGAGGGCGGTGATGACCAGAGTGTGTGAGGTGGGTATGGCGAGTCCATCATGGGTCGGTAGTCTTGTGTGCTGTACATTGATCCGTTTCCAGGCATTATGATAGGCGATCGGTGTCCCATGTGGTGCATTGGTGGTGAGTACATGATGCTTGGAGGCGATTGACATGTGCTGGACGGATACAGATGGCCCATGCCATCATCAGGCGCCATGAGCGCTAGCTCAGCTTCGGTTGAGAAGAAGGTCATCCTTGTGTAACGCGAGTGTGTGTAGAGGGCCAAGGGGGATCGTGGAAGTGATCAAGTGTGGTGAAGAAGTGAGGTGTAGTGGTCTTGAAATGGTCGCAAGTTGCAGCAAACGTGGGTTGTATATCATGCAAGAGAGTAGGCCAGTGCGTACAAGCGGGAAGTTCAAAGGATGGGTGAGGATGACCCAGTCTTAAGGCACAGACCAAATCTAGGGAAGGGTATGGTAAGGCTGCTAGTCCGGGGTGTACAGGATTAGCCCGAGAGTGCACTAGGGGCCTCTCCACAACGGTAAGGCTGGGGCGTGAGACTTGTCGAAATGCAGTGGCGGGTAGTGGCGGTGTTGTGATGTCTTGCAGTGCCTGAAACTCGACTGGGCCCTGGGGGAAGGCCTGATGAGACCAAGTTAGCAATTGGGAGATGGTAAGCGGCTAGCCATGTGGCATATGTGCCTCAATGTAGATCCGGGGCGCAGAATGAAGAAGTTTGTATTGGTGAGAATGCAAGGAAAGACAGTTGCTGGCGTCACACATGCACGATGCGAGAGGAGTAGGCAGATGGTTTTGAGTGACGGTAGGCGAATCGGGCCACACTAGTCTGGCTGGCATCCCAACTTGATACCGCTCCATAGTTCACCGTCTGCGTTCAGAGCCGGTGCACAAGCCCTTCACAATTGCGGTGGAAAGCGAGTGAGCCTCGCGGGCCGGCTTGCTAATCCCTGTGAATGAAGGTACCGCGAGGACGGCGACCGCACTGCGCTCTAGCGTTGGCCTGCGAGGCGGCCAACTGAGGTTAGGCTGCTGTGAAAGCTTGTACCAATTCGCTTGAGAAGGATCCTTTGACGACGTTTTATGCGATATCAGACCAAACGGCCCACAGTGCTTCGGCTACCGATTTGTCGTCTGTCCGCTGTCGTCTCTCCACTTCACTCGCGCCCAGACGACGGTCGCTGGTGGACACGGCCAGGGCCATGGGCGGCGGAGAGGGAGGGGGGTGGGCACACAGACGGTGACGGCCATCAGAGCCACAGTCTAATCTAAGCTAGTGCCGCGGGCTGTGGAGCGACATCAGAGGCGGTAGCAGATGAGGGGCAGGATGCGCTTTTCCATGGGTTTGGCCATGATGGACTGCCGATCGCAGCATGGGAGCAAAAGTGACGAAAGCGGGCTGGGTTGTTGTGTCGCTTACGCCGGCAAAAAATTGGCTTAGCGCGCATGGGGACTCACGCCCCGCGCTACTCTTGGGCCGGGAGCCGTGAGATATTTTTATCCCCTGCCGCCTGCCGCTTGCTGGTGCCAGGTTGAATGTTGCCAGTCTGAGTAAGCGACATTGCAAGCCGTCCGTCGGTCGTCTGCCAAACACTCACTTGCTAGTCCCTACCCTACCGCTACATGGAATTTGTCCGTCCACTAACGGCCTCCCATACTGAATGAGCGACCCGTCTTTGCCAAGACCGTCGCCGTCAACTTGTGAGTCTTTGTGATGGCGCTTTGATTGCATTGGAAATCACGAGTTGCTGTCGTCGACTAGTTGCGTGGCATGCAGCGAGCTGCCTGTATTCGACATGGCCCCGAGGCTGAAGGAAGAAACATGGCCAACAAGCTCGACGGTTGAACAGGCGGGATCCACCTGTTGGTCAAAGCCTACAACCACGGTCGAAGCGCCGGATACTTTGGAGCGCTTAGAGCTTCTCGTAAACGGTCGTGAGATGTTGCACACTGCCGACTTCTGTAGTGACGTGAGAACCGAGACTGCCGCACATCAAATGAATAACGCCTGTGTAATCATAGCATTTTTGTATCTAAACCTTTACTGGGGAAGCCATCGCGAGCAGCGGCCAGCGGACAACGCCCGGCGGTTGGGCTGGATAGCTTGAAATTAATATATGCCTTCATGCAACGCATTCCAATCACAGTATACTAGTCACTGGGCAAAAACTTCTAAATTAGACGTTGAAATTGAACTAGAGTCGACGTAGGCTTGTGAGGCGAAAGGAGAACGGTGTGTGTCCAAAGACTGGACGAGGAAAGAGCCGTTGCCGTCTTCGTCTGGCGACTTCTACACTGCGCCCTCGCTCCTGCACACTGAGCGGGGAACAAGACATGAGCTCACACAATGCTACAAACCTCTCTATTCGTGGCCCTCTCCATCTCTCTGACCCCCCAGCACCATCACGAAGGCTGCAGAGTTTGCTTAACGATACAGCCCCCCCTATCGACAGCATCACAAGCGATGCTAACCATGACCCACGATCAACCCACAATACGTGCATACCCACTTGGCAAGAATCTGCTCTCTGAGCTCTCCATAGGTTCTGCATATCCAACTATCTACACTAGTCGAAAGTGTCTGGTCATACCCGTGACCAACGCGTGGCAGTGACAAGGGCTTCTTTACCCGCTCAAGCTGCGTTGAAACTGATCCTGCATATCGAGAGCTCAACAGTACACTGAGGCGAGGCTGACTTTCATCTCATGAGCGCAGTTTCATCGGTCCTATACATGGGGCGAATGGGGTTTCCAAGACACTGACTAGAATCACCATGATCTAATTCTGACCTGCTTCGTGCTCTAGACCAAGGAACTGTCACACACCACGTCACTCTGACCCACGACCTTCCAGTTGATGATTGCTTCTTTCGGGACGTTTGTCCAGGGGTAATGGGCTGGTTCGCCACAGATGGAAGACGAAGGATGCGAGACGTTGTTGGGCTTCCCATTGTGGCTCCGTCTTGAGAGTCATGAAAGGTCATACCAACGGCCCCGGATACCGTGCTGGTGCTCAGACATCTGACGCTCGGTCCGAAAGTGATTGCGAAACTGGGGCTACTGCAATGTAAACTACTCGTCGGATGCCGTTCAGGTCAATGGCTGTTCTACCAGGCACAAGGTCGAGTCAGTGCCCGTGTCAGTGCCGCTCAAGCCCGCTAAGGCATCCCAGAATACGCAGAATCATCCATGGATCTAGGCATCGAAACAAAATATTCCTTTTCCACTGTACATACGTGCCTACGGGAACTTCCTCAAGTGACAGTGACTGCATAACCCGGTATCACTCAGGGGCGAGCCGCTGCAGCCACCAACATCTTTGTTGGTTTACACGCTTCATCAACGCACCGGAATGCATTGCCCTAAACAAGACTACCATAACGCGCGGTAGACGTGGTTTCCAATCAATGCAACACCGTAGTATAGTGTCCTGTGCCAACTAGTGCATCTCCATCACCTCTCTCCTCCAATCTAGCAACCTTTCCGTTGATATCTAAGAATAGATATCACAACTTCCTGTTATTTACTGATGTATCCTACGGGAGAGGAGAGATATAGCAAAGTAGTTGTGAAACGTGGCGGGGTCGGTCCGTTCATCCACACAGCCTCATTCACAATTCCGGTCAAGGAGCTCAAAATCTTCCAGTATCACCATACACACATCATGTGACACTAGGGAGGTTTTCCACGTGTACTCGGTGAATTTAGTGATTGCTTGCAGCTGCGGTCTGTCGGTGGATGTACCACAACAACAACAGGTGGGTCGGGATGCCTAACGTGGGCGCTACGACATCATACCGCAGGACGCCTAAAGATACTCAGCCCCGGGTCTTGACTCGGACCCCATCAAGACTCTGCACGGGCAGTGATTGTGCAACTATTCCCTACAATACCAAGACAACGTCTCGAGGGATCAACGACAGACGATGTGCGGAACGAAGGTAATTGATCGCGAGCATCTACAGCCTGATAAAGCTGTCGGCAAGTAACACAACAAGCTCCGTACTTACAGTCAATTCTCAGTATAGACATCAAGCTGTATCATCCAGCGTTGGCATACTCTTTGGATAGTATTCACATTTGATTCGCACTTCGAAACTCGATACTTGTCAAAAGCCAATGATAGCTGACACGGACTTCAATAGAAACTTCGTCTACGAGTTGATACGAGTATGAATATACTACTTTCCAACTGTCGTCCACTCCTCCACCTGTCGAAAGTCCATGACCTTCCCATCGGCACCATATCTACCCTGCGCATCCCACCAATCCCTCTCTACCGCAATCTCCGGTCGCCACCTCATCACTTTCCTCAGCCTTTCGTCGACCTTAGCCTCGAACACATCAGCGACGAGTTTGCCAATGGCAGGGCACGCCATAAAGCCGTTGCCGGAACCCCCAACTGCTACAATCAAGTTTGATACCTCTGGGTGCTTGTCAAGAAGAAACATGCGGTCGACGGTGTCTGCATCCCAACATATGCGCGTAAAGCTGAAAGGTCGCTCGGCAAACTGTGGCATAGTTTCTGATAAGAGGCGGCGCATGCGCAATTCTGCTTCTCTGGGTATTTCCTCACGCGAGAATGGAACCGAGTGCAACTCCCCGTCATTGACTTCAGGGTTGATGTATCCAGGATGTTCGTCGCAGAGTTTTATTTCATGCTTTTCAACGTCTGGCTCAATGAAGAAACCTCGATCCACACCGTACAAGACAGGTAAATTTCGGTAACGCGCTGCTTCGTCGGCGGAGAGGGGGAGATGCGCCAGTGTCCAAGCTGTGGGTCGAAGTTGCTTTTTGAAGTCCAACAAACGTTCGCTGTTCGCACCAGCTGAGAGTATGATGTGCTCGGCCGTGTACTCGCCTCCGTTGGCCGTCTTCGCACCACGTATCGTGTTGTTCGAAGTGTACAAGAATTCTTCAGTCTTGCCCTCGGTGCCCGTCACAAAATGCACGCCTAAGTTAACGGCTTCCTGGTGCATGGCTTTCAATGTACCACTTGCAAATACCCATCCAGCGCCTTGTTTTTTCCAAAAGCCCCTCCAGCCTGGTAATTCTCCTTGCAGCACGCCTTCTGGCATCGTCTTCTGAAAGTCTTGTTTTGTATTTAGTGCGACAGGTGTCGTCTTTTCGCCTTTTGCGTAATCTAGGCAACGCGCATATGCTCCATCGCTTACCGCAGCCATGATGAAGCCGGTTTCGTGATATAGTGGCGAGAAGAGGGGATCGTGTTTCCAGGCGTGCATGGCGATTTGGGTCACTTTATTCCAGAAATACTCTTCATCGCTGTCAGATGCTGATGGCTCATTTCCCTCTTCGGCGATTTTGTTGATATCGTTGCCGGCGGAGATGGGAGAGGGGAAGGGACTGCCGTCTAGTACAGTGATGGATGTGTGGCCGCGACGTGCGAGCTCAAGAGCTATGGAGCAGCCCCATGTCCCGGCACCTATGATGAGAAGACTACTGTTACTCGTAGATGACATGGTGAAGATGCTAGGTGATGTGTATTCGCTGCGCTGGAGGCCTCATTGTGCGAATTTTGGAGGTGGAGTCGCCTTCCATTTCGAGATGACGGCATTGTGGTCAAGCGAAAGAATCAGCTGATGGTGCATGCATACAGCTGGGCATGCTCGTCTACGTATAGAGCCTCAACAATGATACGTGTCAGACGTAAGCTTCAGCAACCCGTGTCTACATGTAGGAATCCTTGGGAACGCGTGAGCACGTGCAGATAAGGATAAGCTAACGTTAACTTATCGCAACGCGGCCGGGATCCCCGCGGCGACGCATCAAGTTTGTGCCAATGCCACGACGCTGCCTAAGTGTACAACTTGATTGATATGTTCCGCACACGTCAGTCAATTCCTCGCAATCCATGGAGATGGAGCGCATCTGTCAAATCCTCGAGCCAGATACGACTCGCTACTATCAAACATGGTGGCAAGGCCGGTCGGCCAAAAGGCGCAAGCTACTGGACGGATGAGAAGCTGGCGACGGATGATAGATATCCGTTGAGCAGCGCTATGAAGGCAAGGATTCACCCTGATCTTGAACCCAAACTCAGCAAGAGGAGAATGCCAATTGCAGGTGCCTCGGCAAAGGCTGGGGGTGTCCATGTCCGAGCACAGATTGTAAGTCCCGACCTATGCGGTATGTCTTGATCCTGCCTGATGTGTTCACTTGCTGAGAGTGAGACTGACTCGCGTGTGTGTTGTAGACGACGTGCTCAGTTACATTGGGCACTCATTAGATAAGCACAAAGGTTGCGACATTCTTGACATCAATCCTGGTGCTGGGCTCTGGTCGCGAAAACTCCACGACTACCTCCAACCGAGCAGCCATGTGCTGCTTGAACCGCGACTCGACAAGTTCGACGAATTTCTCCGCCCGCTTCTCGATGCGCCCGGCTCCAAATACAAGCTTGTAGACAAAGACCCGACCGCCCTCCAGACATACAGAGACATGATTACCGACGGTGTCTTCCCACATCAGACTGTGCTGGACCCGGAGGATCCAAAGGCCCAGGAGCCTAACAATTCACTTTTGGTGACAGGCTCGCTGGTATGGGACCCTAGGCTTCCAGGAATGGCATTTGACTCCATGGCTAAGCAGCTCTTCATGCACTTTACCAATGCTATATGGTCCAACGATCTCTTCCATGCTTTTGGTCTAGTGCGCACCCTGTTCTGGGTACAGCAAGACGACTTTAGTTCCACAATAGCCGAATCTGTCAGCAACATGCACAAGGCCAACCGCCTCCTTGAGTTGACCCAGAACTTCAACATCATTGTCAAGTCGACACGCACAGCCCGCAAGCTTGGTAAAGGCTCTACTGGACGGGAGCCGCAATACGAGATCGAGAGCACTGTGCGCGCTCTGCAAGCGGGAAGAGAACGCGGCATGGACATCCCACGACATCGACGGGATTATATTCATGAATTTGCTGCCCATGTCGAAAAGGTTTCGAATGGCACAGGTATAAGCAGTAGCGAACAAATACAAACATACCTCAGAGATCAGCACATTGCAGGCCTGCTGGGCACTGGACTTCTGCAGGAAGGCTTCATGGATTACTACGAACAAGTGGCAGCCCTTGAGAAGAAATATCCTGATATTGATTTCGACCTACTAATATCCAAGGATGGAATTAGGCGCAAGAAACAGGTAAACATAATTGGCCATCCTGGCGAGGAAGAACTGTCCAAAATCGTCAAGACCAGTGCAAACATTTACGCTGGCCGGAGGACCAAGCTTGCCGTTGAAAAGATAGCCAACATCGGAGAAGCCATGTACAACCTGGAATGCAAAATCCTCAGCATGGAAGACGGACCCGAAAAAGACGCAGCAATGGTCGAGCTAGAGAAGCTCAATGCGAATTGGACACAGGGTCTGGAAAGCCTGCCCTCAAACTACTACAAAGCACCCACCAGCGAAGTCGACGAGCGCCTCGCCATACGCGCCCCACCTAGCCCGCGCATTCAATGGGACTCCCGTCCCTTCGAGCCCCTCACCATGCGCGGCAACGAAGTTTGGCCCCAATGTCAACTCTGTCTCATTTCCGCCGAGCCCATTCCCAAACAAGCCGGCCAAACTCCAGACTACCCCGAATGGGTACACGATTTCGTCTTCGGACTTTACACCCAGCCCTCTGAAAGCCTCAACGAGGCGCTCGATAAAATGCAGCACGGGCTCAGCGACATTATCGACGACTGTCCTAGCTTAAAGGACCCGAGCAAGGGTGGACGGCTGCAGATGAACCAGCTCAGAGTAAGGATGTTGACCGCGGAAATGGTGCATGAGCTCATACAGGCCTATCAGAATTGGCCCTTCAAAGCACCTGGGAGCGACAGTAATACATTCTACAGGAATAGGACTGGGCAGTCTTTTGGGATACAGGATAAGCCGAATGGGTTGCGGTAATGGAGAGTAAATAGTTGTGTATGATAGTTGTAAATAGCAATGTGTAATTTACCATACGATAAACCTCGTTTCCTAGTGTTATGCATTTCTGTCAAGGGATGTGCATGATATTCGTTGGTCTTGGTAAACAAACAGAACGTAGTATTAATAAAAGAAATCAACTGTACACAGGGATTTGCGGAGAGACAATCATGTGGTTTCTATGTAGAGTTGTGAATTCTCTACTAGTAGTGATACAATGCATCACTTGCCCTTACTCTGGTTCACTACTGCCTCCTGCATGTTCTCCATGGGAGGGATAGCCAGGCAAAACCCTCATTATGATTAGATGAAAGCCCAAATCCAAGAGTCAAAGTATACACCTATCTACAGAAACGGATAAAGACAAGTCTAAAGGGGGAGAAGGATGATAGATTGATCCACGGAAATGTCCGTCTCATATATAAGAGGTCTTTCTTACTCAATCTGTGGAACCGTTTGAACTAGCGGAGGCCCAAGAAATCTTAATTTTCACATATAATATTCTATGATACCCAGTACTTTTCAATGACTTCTCATCTCTGATTGTGCCCTTGAGTACTGTAGTACTCTCCTACAGGTGACCTAAAGATTTCACTTTTAAACAAAATAAGTTTGAACGATTACGGCTCTAACTCGACCATGACTTTTGCGCCCTGAACCCACCGATTTTCCCATGCCCTCAACCTAGCAAACTCATCGTCGCCGCATGGCCTCCCGCCTTCTCTAACTCGACCCTGATCCGAGATGGAACGCCTGCACCAAGCTTTATAATAACCAAGGTAGCTTCTTCGTTTTCATGAAGAAATGATACATAACAGGTTTGCATTACCTCATCCACTTCCATACCAGTCACAGTAATGACTCTGATAATCGGACACCACGTATACTTTAGATAAACCAAATCGCTGAGCAAGGCAGTGTTCAGGTCATCAAACCGGCAAAAACGCAGGTTCAACGTCTCTAGCGACGCAGGGAGATGGCTAGCTTTGTTAAGCTTCTCGAACTCGATTGACATATGCGAGAGACTCTTAAAGCCGCGGAAGGATGGGTAGGTGTAATTGCAGTCTTCCAAGTCCTCAATCTCGTCTTGAAGATTTGGATCACTGAGATCGTAGATGTGATGAAAATCCAATGTAAGGGACTTTAGATTTTGCCTGTGCGTGTCAAGCAATGCCTTGACAAGTTCTCGCGGTGTGACCACCGGTTGGTGGGCTCTATCGAAATGCCACGCGTAACGACTCTCGTCTGGAATGATCAGCTCAAACGCAGTCAAACGCGGACATGCATCTAGTAGTCGTCGCATTGTATAAAACGCTCCTGACCACCAGGCCAAATCCGCAGCTGTACGCGTCAGAGTATTGATTGCGTAAGGCTCGTCCGGCGTGTCTGGTACATCATTCTCAGAGGAGAACTTTTCGAATGATGGGTATTCCATAAAGGGTATGTAGTCGTGTATGTCGACTGGGCCGTCCTCCCACTGTTTGTTCCTGGTATCATCGAGTTAGCTACGTTTATGCCGAGGCTCACAAGTGCATATGTTAGATCTATAGCCAAATTCATTTAGGATGTCGAAAAATATGGGTATTACTTACAAATGGAACGTTTTCAGCTTGGATAAGAATGTGGGATTGAGGACCCGCAATTCATGAAGACGTCGTACCAAGGCGTGCGGTGGCCCAATTTCAGCTGTATAGTGGAGATGCTGTAGATTCGGGAGCATAGCTAGAACCTGTACAAAGAGTGGGTAGAAACAATGACCCGGATTGGTTTCTCCGGGATGGGCTCCTAAAAGCGCTGATGTCCACATGGAAATTAAATCGTGTTTAAGAGTCGACCACTCATAACATACGCCCCAGTCATCGAGCAAAGCAAGTTTTCGCGTCTTCTGAGCCAGCGGCGGACGTTCAATTATGGTTCGGAAGAAGAGTTTGAGAGGTTTCAGAGGGCCTTCCACTGGTACTGCCATCCGAACACATGTGTAGAGTGCTGGCTGCGCAATCCCACAGAACTGGCGTGAGACACGGCATAGGTGAAGCAGCGCTCTAACGTCGGAAATATGGCCTGTTATGAGAAACCAAGCAATGTTGAAAAGGAGCTCGTTGGGTAAATCGGAGATCTGGGCCATCTGGTTGCGTGTATAAAGGGTGGTGGTTAGAGATGGGATGGATATTTTCAGATGGCAATGGCGATGATTACATATGATAGTACCTCTGCCTCGCTAGCACTATTCCAGTAAGCATTCTGTAGCACAACCGTGGAAGAACATCTACAGAAAGTGACTTTGGTCAGCAATGTAGTGGGTCTCGCCCAAAATGCCGTTCCGTATCATACAGGGGACTGACTGTAATTGGTAGCCAAGTGTAGTCTAAGCAATAAGCGGGATTTTGCTGTTTTAAGGGAACTTTCATCTAACCGCCTCACTTCACAACCTTTCCATAAAATAAGGTTTTGCCAACGTTCTTCTGAATGCACTCCGGAAACCTATAGAAAAACCCACTAGACACCTGCTCTAATTGCGCATCGAAGTATCCTTACGTCAGCTTAGGGTCCGTTAAAGCATTAGGTAAGACTGAAAAAGCTCGGTAGAGCTCTCTTCAAAACCGTGTAATCGATGATTCTCTAGTTTGGTAAGGGTCGGTACCGTGGTACTGTAGAGGATATAAAACTATGGTATACTGATTATAACCCAATCGAGCACCCCCAGTTTTCCTGCTGCTACTCATATCCACCAGTATTTGCACTATATACATCGTTGCTAAATATCATGCAAAATGCGATTATCAGGATCAGCATCATATATTCATACCACAGTATCTGTATAACCTTCACCCTCGTCTGCATGGTGCCACACTCTCAGAGCGCCCTGACATGAACCCAGGCAGATATCATGGCTTCATTCAGTCTTACACAGGCCAAGAAAAATTCAGGTATAGTACAATTTCGAGGCGGCATATGCCCCGAATTTTCTCCAATGTCTATACAGTTAACTGTGGGGTTACTACCTAGCTTACCAGACTACTACTGTGAAAAAATTGTGGGCCAACCAAACCAAAAGTGTGCTGTAGCACGGCGGTTAACTGTGTATGGAGGAAGCTGGTGGAGAGGCGTCCCATCGACTGCAGGTACTGCAGATGCTACAAGACTTCGATGTAAGAGCATTCGTTTTCTTCTTCTTTTGACAGGGCTCCTATGGCTGTTGCCCCAAAGGAGATGGTGTACATGTTGGACCTCATGAACACTCCAGGCTAGAATGGATGTGTTAGTAGTTCTTACATAGCTTACGGGCATGTGCAAGCTCCTCTGCATCCACACTCATTCTTATTTGCCTTTTGTGCCTCCTTTGTGTCGAGACGCGGTGAGAGCCTTCACTAGTATTCACGGTGAATCAGGCTTTCCGTGCTCTGATTGGCCAGGCACTGATTAGTCAGCTGCTCCGTGCGCGCACCATAGATATTCTCCCTCCTCCCGTAGCTCCTATACAACAAGTTCACACACGTTTTTTCCACCTTCATCACTTTGCAGGTCTCGTGCGGACCCGACTTCTGCATCTCCGCGGTACGTGGGGGTACCAGAATGACTTGGTGCTTATGTTTCGGACCTTTGCTTACGAAGATGACCGAGAGCATCGTAAGAACTAGAGAAATGTACATCTCTTGGCCCAAAAGAGTTGAAGGCAGTCCTCTGTATGGGGTTGCTTACCGGCACGTCGGAAGAAAGGCCAAAGCTTTTACCCTGCGTTATACTGACTAAGCCTCGATACTGCGGAAAGTCGTATTAATAGCTCCATAGAGTTAGATATGCTGAGAAGCTTGGATACAACTACGTTGATTAATTGCAGCATGTGGGCATCGTGGGGTAGTAGACGGCCAATAGCTTTTTGTGTCTGTAACAACACTTCGGAGACTCTTTGGTCATATGGCTTTCGTAGACACCTGCCCTTGTGTGGGATTTGTGACCCTGGTTTCCAGTCACTTCTAGAGTAAGTAGAGCGAGGATTCGCTGAAGATCATCTCGAGGTCATCGCCGTCCCCCTTATTACGAAGTACAGGCTTTTCGTGCGAATGCTCGTCCGAAATCTCGACTGGCATACCACGGTATCTTTGCCAATCAACACTAGCTGCTAGCTCCAATTATCCTAGAGAGTTGGAGGCCTCAAAGCAGGAGGCGATGATAGTGGTTGGGGTAAAAGTGGAGCTAGCCTCGACAATCATTTGTCAGGCCACTGGAAACGTGGAGTATGGAGAAAACAAAAGGGCGTGTATTGAAAAGCACCTGTGAGAAGAATACGCAACACACTTCTTGCAGTCGTGAGTCTGCCTCGTCGTAGATGCGTAGACTGATGAGCTCTCAACCCCTGTCTTCTGCATCGGCGTAGCTAAAACCAGCCCGGATATATTACTTCCCTCTTCTTGAAATTTCCATTATGTCAAATCGAGCAGCACGGCTAGATTTCCTAGGTACCGTTCCAGAGTTCGTATATACCGAAATATATACCGTTGTATCAAAAGACGCCGCAGACCAACAAAGCATGAGCCTATACCCGGCCTGCGTGCCTCGGTCTCTAGCGCTGCATGTCGCTGTCGAGTTGGAGATCAAGGGCGGAGATGAGTCCGTCCAACGAAAGTCAGAGCTATCGATGGCCTACACTTTGGAAGAATCGGTGATACCCAACTGGTGGGGAAGCAGTGAGTTATCAGCCCACGCGCAGTAAGAAACAAACACCTGTCAAGAAAAGGCCATGACCATACTCGTATCGTATAGCATCCGTCGACCATCATGATTACGCCGGTACCGCATCTAACACATTAGAAGAGCAAACCCCTAGAGACCATAAGTCATATGAGCATGATAACCATCGTAACTAAGCATATTACTCACTCCTTCGTAAGCACCACAGCCTCATGAGACCCGACACAAAGGACAAATCGACAAAAAGCACCACAAACGCAGCAATATTTGCGAGATACCCGCAATCACACATAAAACCACCGCAAAGAGGCCCCAACCACCAACACCAACGCCCCACATCTCCACCAACGCCGCTTCCGTCATCCCACGCCCCATCCCACATCCACACTCACCATTCCTCCTTCGTCCCTCCCGTCCGCGTGGCGAAAAAAAACATAAAAAAGTCCTACCATGCATATCCCAGACCGCCATGCGCAAATCGACATACTAGTGTGCTATGAAGTCTCACCACCTTACTAAGAGTACCTAGTCGCCATCACGCCGTCGTTGAACCGTCGCCTATCCCTGCCATATGACTAGGCCCAAATGGGGAATTTATAACGAAAGTCACCGAGGATCACGTGGCCCATGGTTGGCGGGGGTACGTTTCCACCCGCCCGTACAGTCGAGAGGCACTTGCTTTGACAATGCTCTTTTCCAGAAAGAACCAGGGGTAGGCGAGAGCGGAGCGAGCGAGCGAGACAAGCACACTACCATGTGTATCGAGCAGGCTAAGGACGGGGAGGTACCGCATGCGCGTGTTTCGGCACCCGGGCGTTGGGTGGCATACGACGCAGGTGATGTGTGTTTTAGTACGTCCGCGGCACATGGACCGGTAGGACTTCGTGCAAAAGCTTGTACGCAGGTGGTGCGGTTGCTGTCGCGCCTTATCGGAGCTACTATACGCATATAGTTGATGGTGTAAGTTTGAGGAAAGAATATCGAGTTGTTGCAAGGCCGATGAATCGTAAATCGTGGGGGTTGACATTCCTTCTTCGCAAAGCATACCGGTTTCGAGGCAAGTGAGATGTGAGAGGGCATACTTATTATTGACTGACTGTACTCTTGTGTTGCTTAGTCGTAACGCAGGGGCTTTCTCAGATTAGAGTTTATAGGTTTGCGTGGGTGTGGTCAACCGCGCTCCGATCTTGCTAGCTGCTAGTGGTGGGATCTAGATTTCTCGCAACGTTCCGACCTTGTGTCGCTTACCCTGGTTCCTCACGCGACTTTTCTGACAGTCTTACATCGATATGACAAAGACAGGAGAAACACTATATCGGTGTTTTCGCGTTTGCCCAATTTCCATTAGGCCGTATGCAAGAAAAGCTATGTACATGATGCCGGTAGATAAAAGCAAGGAAAGGAAAACAGTTACTCCGGTGTCGTGTCAGGAAGCCGACTTCCATACCTTCTATATCATTGCTTCATGTTGGAAATAAGACAAGTGAGAGAAGGAAAAACTCCAGCATGTAACCTTGCAAAAAAAACCCCATCTCCGTCAACCGGTGAACCAAAACTCCGTATGCCCCATCTGTATCCCCGAGCCAGACGCCAGTAAACCAATGCCGTTACACCGCTCGCTACACATGACCGTAAATAGTCGGCTGCACAGCAACGCGTCCGCATGATACCGATATCCTGAAAAATGGGCATGTCTTCCGCATATTCGCCATGTCTCCCCCCCCGCCGCCAAGGCGTAAATCAGAGGATGCCGTACGCCCTGCAATTTCAACCCGTTTCGGAACACGTACACGGTAGGAAAAGATTGTTCTGCGCAAGGCGCCACGCTCACACGTCTGTGCATGGTGGTGCGAGCAGCTGATTCGCTTACTGAAACCAGAACCGAGCAAGGCGATGATGCTATGCGCATACATCGAAGCTCCTATTGATCACATAGCTGCAAGGCCATTGAGTGCCTCGCTCAAGTCACGCCTTGCATCGAGCTCAACAATACCATCATGGGGTCTGTAATGGTGTGCGACGATTCGTACCGTTGCCCTGTAAGTCTTGTACCTGTTGGTGTCAGCATCATGATTTTTTAATTACCTGCAGGCAAGACTTACATCAACAGTCTCACATTCGCGCCCCCAGTCCTCGCCGGGTAGTTTCCTAAGCCTGCAAAAAACGCCTCGCTGCCGTCAGCCATACCGCCGCTCAAGAGCGGATCGCCCCAGATGACGTTTGAGAAGCCAACTAGGCCGGTGACATGCTTGGAGTGTTGGTCGATGAGAATGTTCTCCGGGTCGCAGACATTGAGTGCTACGAGACGCGGCTCGATAACCTCATCCAGATAGTGGGCATGTTTACCAACCCAATAGCGTATACTTTCGAAATGTATGTTGACGAGCATATCTTCTGCATCGCGGAGAGCGGCTTCGAGCAGAGCTAGGAATGCTTCGCGCCAGGAGTTGCTTCCCTTTTTGGCAAACACCCGATGTGTCATACCAAATTGAGTTGCTGACAATGAGGTAAGTGCCCGAACATGGGTGCCCAGTGTCCGATCGATGCAATTTTGTTGACTAGGCGTGAGGTATGGTGCAAGTTCGGAGAGTCTCCGGCCGGGCATGAAGGTCGTCATGAGAAAAGGTGTGCCGAGTGGACCACCATGACTGTCATATTTTATGATTTGAGGGACGGGGATTTGAGTGTATTCATGCAGCGTCTCGAGCGTCTTTCGTTCGGTTTCGAGGAAATGCTTCTCATGGCGAAGAAGTCGGACGTTGGAGGCGGGTGGGCATTTGAGCACTAGACTGCTGCCATCTGCGAGTCTTGCGAGGTAGACCTGGTTGAGACGGCCTTGGAGGACTTCGACCTGCTGAGTCGTGATTTTCGATGAGCGAAAGACGGTTCTGATGACTCTTTGAATACTTGGGAAATCGATTGTAGTGACTGCAGTCCGTGAAGATGTCGATGAAGAGGACGACGACGATGAGGTGGTTGAGGAAGGGCGAGCAGGCTTCACAGTACAAGTGCCACGGCTCATAGTTGCGAAGGGATAGACTGCAACATCTAGTGGGGGAAGGTGCATTATGAAGGATTTGGGTACCGATGTACTTAGTCCAGGCGGGAGGTTTAGCGAGATCTGACAGCTGAGGCTTGAAGCTGGTTAGTTGCAGGATGGTAAGGATGCTAAGGACCGAGCCGGTTGATTAAATATATGTATGTTCTATATGGGCAGGCTTGTGCTGGCTCCATATCCATCTTCAATCTTGTACCTCATACTTATGATTGATGACGATGACAGACATTCCGATGGTGACCATCGGAAGTGAAACCATTAGCCACGACGAGCCCGAGCAAGCCCGCGTGTGCTGAGGTCTTGGACGAAACTGTCGACGACTCCTTGGTTCGGGCATAGCGATCCGCATGCGTCTTCAGACACGATGCCACGTCCTAACGGATCCTAGTCACGATCCAAGCCCAGTTGAGTGGTCTTCCGTGTAGGCAGCGCTGAAGCGAAAAGCAAAAACCATTTATGCGTGCGGTAAGCAAGCGCCGTATTTCTAGGCGACATCGACTAGCGAAGGCGGATGCCTCAGGGTGGAGAGGGACGCGCGAGGCGTCAAGGTGTTGATGTGGCGTGCTCCAGCGTTCGTCAAGGTTACCCAGAAGCGGCTAGTGGCCCCACGAGGGAATCGGCTATTGCAACTCATCATTGGCCGTGTAGCGAAGGGTGCAGGTGAGGATGAGAGCATCCGTCCGACGGTCGTTGATGCCCGTCCATGGCACATGCTGATGGGGACTAGAGAGACTGTAAGTGAACGCGTGGACTTGGTGGGGCTCACGAGAGTGAAGACGATGATCGGCACAGGGTCAGCCTGCTACGGCTTTCTCATTTGTTCGGCCTCCTCGCTTTCAAGCCTAGGGCTGTCGAGCCCTTCCAAACATTTGACGCCCTTTCTTTCTTCACACTGGCGTCCCGTAAACGCGCCCGGTAAGCCGTGAACTGGGTCCCCGGCACATTGGAGACGAGTCGCACCGGAGCGCTGAGCATCTGCATGTTGTGTCGCCTACACGGTTTCACTAAGCTTACTGTCTCCGCCCAAGTGTCACCACACTTGCAAGCCAGAGTGCCCCCGATCGGAGCATTTGTGGAGGTTGGTGCGTTGGCGCTGTGGCCTTGACATTGACACCGGCGACGGAAGGAACAGGCCGAACCAAGTCCGCGTCCGATTAGGCCTCTTCCACATTTGCAATCGCCTCCTTGGCCTCTTCTTTGGCTTCCACTCGAGCGCTGGCTCGTGGCTGCCGGAGCTCGTCGATATTGTACCGTTTGAGCGTGTCAAAATCACGTCCCACAACGCTCATGCCCAAGACATTCTATCGGGTGTAAGCAGCTGTCAAAATCTCACCATGCCATATCGTCGTACCTTGTAAATCTCAACGAGAATGAGCAGATCATACCCCTTAAGGTCGACCTTGTGGTCTGGTCCTACCAGGGCTGCGATCGTGCGGATCACATTGTCTCGCAGAAACACCTTGTTGTTGCGGATCGATGGCCGTATCGCAAACTTTATTACCATGCATTAGCGAGGATCTTTGCACCACAGGGCTGCATCATCTGATGACGGGAGTGCGCTCACTTTTTTCCCCGCTTGATCTGCGCCATGGAAATGGGGTGCAAGGACCTGTTTCGCAACAGCCTCGAGACCCTCGGGCGTGGCCTTGTCGGTTGCCGTGATGGGCGTAAGTCGCTTCACGTAGCTCAGATTTCTCGGCTGAGCGCCATCTGCGATATCTTGACAGATCTTGTGGACAAACGAGACAGGCTCAAGGGGAGATCGTGTCCTGAAAAACATCACTTTGATGCGTCAGCCTTGGCTATCAGGAGGACAAGTAGCTACCCTTACAGCACTGGGTATCAAGTTTGAGCGAAGTGAACAAGGGCTTCGTAGTTGGTTTGCGAATCTCGGCAAGCTCTTTCTTGATCTCGGCTTCGATATCACCTCCCTCATCATCTGAATCGTCGTCTGAAGCTGGCCCATTAGACTCAGCCGACCCATACAACTTAGTAGCGTACTATCACCAACTGTCAGCAGATACAGCATTATCGTTTTTGGATGCTGCGATATCACAGAACGACTAACCTCTTGGAATAGATCTCGCAGGTCATTGACAGATTTTGCTTCTTTCTTCATGGCGCATGTTGCCCATATGCCTGTATCACCAGGCTGAATAGCGCGATCTGCAGTATATCTCCGGGGCATGTCCCGGTTTTTTTTGCCCTAGGAGTTCCATTTAGCACTAAGATGATTACTGCAGCTGCAGAACGAAAACGGTATCGGTATTGCGCGGCCAAGGCGGCAGGGCCGTAGATTTGAAAGTCGTACGAAGAAAAAGAACTTACCTTAGCTCTTTTGTTCCCGCCATCATGTGCTCCACCAGACTCAGCTTTCCGTTTTTTCGGACCATTTTCTGTTCCAGACATTTTGGAAGATCCTGGGTTAAGCGGTGTAGTGAGGGTGGTGTGATGAGAGATGCTCCAAGGTCGTGTCGAAGCTACCTGGTCTGGAAAGAAAAGAAACTAGGCTTGTTTCGTCCACTAAAACGGCTACTCCCGCCTTTACATCTCCACCCTCACTGCTCACGTCCCTCACCCGTGCTCTCTTCCAGCCTCATCCCAACTACCCACCAATCCAATTAAGCAAGGACTTAGTTGGTGTCGTATGCCTTATTTTAGATGCCTGCATTCCTGGTCGCATCTTGGCGCCATCGGAAATCAGGCGCTTCGATGACGCGTGGAAACCACACCTCATACCGCGTTCATACAGTGCTGCAGCAGTCGCGATCCAGATTACTGGGTTCCCTTAACCTCCCACGCAGAATATTGCTAACGTCCTGCAGCTGTCGTGTTAAAGATAAGCAAGATCGTGCCCACTCAGATCGCGGATGCTGTCAGATGCAAGCCCGCTGATTGTGTGGTACAACACTGAGGCCACCCGGAGATGGCTTACGCCGAACGTTCGCTTTGCTTTTCGTGCATTGTTATCACCAAGACGATATTTATAACCATAGTCGGGATGTGGGGGTCAACGTGCCCTGTTATCGTCACTATCCTGGACTGACTAATCACATGAGGTCCTGGTGACAAGACAGGACGGAAAGTTACTTCCGGACTCTGTAACTTCTTTGTCAAGCCATAGACTCATCAAATCACTGAACACACTGAACACACACAATCATCACGAGCGAACATATTGTACCTTGTCGAGAATCAATTAAATCCAAATTAATACCTAGGTACCTAATTACCAAAACTATGTACGTACTTTGCTAAAAAGGAAAATCTGGGTATATAGACGCAATCATAAAGCAAGAAAAGGACATAACCTCATCAAGTCGTTACAGCGTGAGAATCGTAAGCGCGCTTATTACCGGGCTCTCTGAGCCATATGTGAAAAGCAGAGAGAGAGAGAGATGTAGAGAGGAGAGGACACAACTAACAGAAACAAACTAAAGACAAACGCCAGACACCGTTGCAAGAATGACGAGAGCAAAATAAAAAAAAACCGAACAAGAGAGAAGAAGAGATTCACAAGAGGGTATACAAACAAACGAGATGTACCATCATCAAGATGGTGTGGCTATGCCTCATGCGTCCCGACGCATGAAGCCAAAACGCTTCTTTTTCTTCTCCGTCTTATTCTCGGCACCTGTAGGTGCATTGGGATAGCCGTTGATGGCCGCCTCAGCATTCAGACGTTCAGCTTCTTCGTAGTCGAATGGCTTGTACCAATTCCTCTGCGGTATCTCTCCCATCTTTGTGCTATCAGATGCGAACGTGTAGCTCGATGGGGTGACCTTGTCTAGGCGACGACGGAAAGCGAGGGTCGCTGGCGAGGGAAAGACGGGTTCTGGTGAGAGATGTGCGGGCTTCGATGGGACAGGAGGCTTGACTTCGATAGGTGTTGAGGAGCGGCGAGGTGTGGACGTGAAGCTTGGAAGCTTGGGGGTGGGTTCGTGAATGTGCTTCTCTGGTGATGGCTTCGGTGACGATGGCTTTGGCGTTGATGATTTAGGAAGCATGTACGGATATTCGGTCCATGATGGTGATCGAGAATCGTCGAAGGAATCGACCCGTGGCTTGCTACTGCTCTTCTTTGATGCACCGCCTTCCGGCTTGCTCTTTGTAGCACTACCGCGTTCAAGCTCAAAAGGCTCAACTGGTACGTACAAGGGCAGCTGTGGTGCCATCTGGAGCTTCTTGAGTTGAGGAGAGGCCATTGGGGAATTGTCGCGCGAGCTTGAGGGAGACTTGACCGAGTGTGAAGCAGACTTCACCGCGCCCGAACTATTGCCCGATGAGCTGCTCTTACGAGTGGTCTTGGGCCTCATGACGACAAGCTGGGGTTGGTTTGAGCTCCCGTGTCTGATGGGCATGCGTGTTACTACATGGCCAGAGGATCGCTGGCGCGAGGAGCTCGAGTGCTTCCTCTTCACCTTTTCTGGGCTGGCACTCCGAGATGAGCAGTCATGGTGTTTGCTAGTCCCGCATCGGGGACATGGTGGAGCAGCAATGTTAAGTTGTAGCTGCGATTGGCTTAGTCGGTGATATAGCTGCGTGAGGCTGTGTATGGCTTCGCGACGTGATGCATCGGAGAGGTGGGTCAAGGCTTTGTAGTCTAGATCTAGCTGGCCTTTTCCACCTTTGCTGTCATGATTCAGGAAGGTTGCGATGATGGCTACAAGTCCAGTGTTCAACTTGATGAGTGTCTCTGCAAGGGAGGCATGTGCAATTGCTGTTTCGTTGTTAGTATAATCCACATGGTAGTAAGGTATCTCCACTTACAATCGCCCTTTGCGAAGCGCGGCCCTAGACCGCTAAAGTAGTATTCAGCATAGCTCTCGGCAACCTCTTCGGGCCCTCTGCGCAAGCTTTTGGAGAGCTGATGCTCGGCCGTGCCCGTCGGATCAGGCTTGTCAGGCTCTTTGCGCGTCTTGCGCTTTTTTCTTCTCTCGCGCAACCTCCTGAAGATGTTCAATCCATTTGTGAAAGCTTCTATGATGCCGGCGACGCAGCTAGCTACTTCGGCTTCTCCAGCCTTACGCACAACATGCGTACCTGCAGAATCCAACTTGACGGCCATGGCTAGAATGCAACACACTAAAACAAGGAAAGAGGAAATGCAGAATGGAACTGGAGGGAAAGGAAGAGAAAAAGGCGATAGGTATACAATATTCAAGAAGCAAAGTGTGGTCTAAAGCGCCATTAGCGAGGGTGAATGAAGAGTCATCCAAAAGCCAAATCATCAACGTTAACCTCAAGTTGTGTTTAGTCGCCGTGGACACGCCCGCCCAAGACGGGGGCCCTAAGACTTATCCCGTCGCTGGCAGTGCGACCCATGTCGTCGCACACCCTCGAGTGCGCGTGGGTGCGCACCAGGCTTTACGTTCCTGCGTCTTCTACTGGGTATTCCCACCGTCTTTACACCGTCTAGCCTACCGGTTCGACCTGTGCTCCCCGTGGCCTGCACATAGCCGCCTCGGTGTAAGAGGCTTGGAGAGGCCTAGGTATGTGAGTGGATGCCGCTGTTGCACTAGTCGCAAGCGGCAACGGGACAAGTGCAGCCTAGATTGGCTTTCGATAAGCTTCATGGGCCGCGGCGAGTAGAGGCCTTGAGAGCGTGCATGTCCATGTGCAGCATATGCGCATGAAACATTCGTCCAATGCCACTGTGTCGCATTTGCCTCTTGCGATTGAAGAGAGTGTAGGTGTGGGGTGCAGGACGGCATGGCTGAACAAACGTGGTTGGGTGGGCGTGCATGTTCTTTCGCACACCGACAGCGAGGCGGTCAAAACATAGCGGTACAGGCACAAGATGCAGTGGAGAAACAACGCAAAGTGAGGTGAACTGTCATTCGCAGGGATACCCTGCAGTGCTTCATCGAACATGTGTGACTCCCACGCCCATCACAAAAAGTACAGACCAAAACGCCTCGCTATGCATACATACAGAAGCGTAAACCTATCATCATCCATCCACTATCTATTGCTCATTGTCCTCGGCATCTTCTATAGTAACTGTTCTTTTGCTCGTGTTCTGGCCAGACGAGCTGCTTCTAGCCACCGACGAGCTTGACCCTTCAGCCTCATTCCGCTCTCCGACATTACCAAAGCTCCAGCTTGACTCAAGGCTACTAGGCTCTGCTCGTTTCGGTGATGAATTTGGAGGCTGATCGGAACTAGTCGGGTCGGCCGCCGGGGCAGCGGGTTGGACCTGAGGAGTTACAGTAGTAGACGTCAAAGGCGCCGCCTCAGGATCCGCGAATGGTGGTGCTGGTGCTGTCGCTGTCGCTGTCGCTGTCGCTGGTGCTGGTTGCGCTGGTGTCAAATCACTCTCCTGCGCTGGCTGTTCTGGATGCGAGAGTGTTGGCATCGCGACACTTTCCTGACCAAGTCGCGGCGCTAGTGCCATGGGCCTTAGGGTCCACCCCTCTGGCAACGTCAAACCTGCCGGAATACCTGCGTCGCCTTGGCGCAAAACAGATCCTCTGGCAAGGTAAGCCTGTGGCGCAGACATATTCATGTTCGGTGCATCCAATGGCGCAATGGGGGGCAAGTCGGCACCACTCACGCCGGAAGCCTGTTGAAGTCGATGGAGCTCTGCAAGAAGTCTGTGGACAATCTCGAGTTGCTCGTGTTGGGCGTTCAGATGTCGCATCGATTCAATAATGTTTTGCTGTATACGCAAGATGTCCGACTGGATGTCTGACGGATGCAGTGCGACTGCGCCAGGTATTGGGCCCATGGGCAAGTTTGATGTGACGCCTGGCATGATTAGATCCTGGGGACGATGCTGTTGGTTAGGCATTGCATTGTTCGCGGCTTGTTGGCGCAATCGCTGCATGGCGTTTTGCACAGCAGCATCGTCTTGCTGACCCGGCGGTACGCGAATGTTTCCCAAGGCGATCCTAAAGGGACCAAAGTTGAAGACGCGCATATTGTCTGCTGGGGGGTTTGCTTGCGCGCCTTGTGGTGCGGCCTGCTGGCCCTGACCTTGTTGGTTACCAAGACCATCTCGCTGCCCATCAATATCGAGCAAGGCTTCTAGCGCCTGTGCTCTCCTCTGTTGCCCTTGATTCGCTTGGTTTGCTTGATTGTTGCGTTGGGTGCTTTGAGTCGTGGATGAGGTGAGGACTGGCCTTCGGCAGGTGGGGCACACTTGCTGTCTCTCGAGCCAGCTACGTAGACAGCCAAAGTGCAAGATGTGGCCACACGGTAGCTTTTTCGGTCTTTGGCGCTCGTCCATCCTTCGGCCTGGCTGCGCACCATCCGCACCTGGCTGTACCCAAGGCCGCATTTCTTCTCGGCAGACGATGCATGTGTTTTCTCGATCGAGCTCTTCTGCCGTGGCGTCCGGATAGCGTGTGTTCATGTCGCGAGTCGCATTTCGGTACTGTACAAAGTCGTGAATCCTCTTGATTAGGGATCGGATGGTCATGAATAGGTCCCTCATGATGTGGATAGGAATACCGTAGAAGGTCATAAGGATAGCGAAGAAGCCCAGGTAGACGACCGACTTGACAAAGTCAGTTGCCAGGTCTAAATAAAAGACCCAGCGACCCTTTTCTTCCCACCCGGGCACATCTCCATCGTCGTCGTCATCTTCCACTTCGGCAGGCACTTCGGTTCCCTCGGCCGCAGCCCGTTGGCGTGCTTGCTCGGCTATGATGGTACGGGTTTCATCCCGTGTCGTCTCCTGGCGATGTGTTATATACATTTCGACAAGCGAGAGTACGTAGCGTAGAAACGTGGATGACGATGCAATGGCTAGGAGGACGTATTCGAAGCCGAACATGACCATGACGCCGGGGCGCGCCTCGGAGAGGATCGAATCGATGCAATACTGCATCATGAAGATATCGAAAGCGACGGACAGTAGCAAGGAGCTCATCAGGCGTGTGTGGAAGAGCTTTGGGTTCGCGGGCGGTTGCTGTTCCAGAAACTCTACTCTGCCCTCTCCTATCCATTGCCAGACTTTGCCAGCCAGCAAACACAAGAACATGGCGAAGAACCAGATGCCTATATCGTCCCTGAAGATGGTCATGGCTAGCAATGTCTCACTGACAGCGAACCAGGCCTTGTCGTATAGCTGCTCCGTCTCGATGGGGCGGAGAGGGCCGTAGAAGAGTCGCTGCAGTCCATAGCCAAAGCTGGCTGCGACTATGAGCATGAGGTTCACCAGGAACATCAGAGAGCCGGTGCTCTGCGAGATGTAGACGGCGGCCGAGTAGAAGTTTGGTCGCTCATAGTATGCGCGCATTAGCACAACATTGGCCATGACGGCCGAGCCCGCGACGTAGAGTTTGAGTCGACTCATGGTGGTGGATTGAACTTTTGCATCTGCGTCTGGGAGTCTGGGATTGCTGGTTGTGCTTGCATCTGGGACGCGTTCGTGAAGGAAACGTGGTCGGAATGGGACGCCTCATGATTGGCCGCGCCTCCGATGACGTTCGTCTGCCGCCCAATGTTTGTTCCAGTTCCGTGACAGGACCATCTACTGTAACCATCCTAGTCCTACACCTACATATTCACAGGTTTCGACCGTCTGTGAAGAATACAGTAATCACTTGAAGAGCACAGCCATTCTGTGAATGTCATGATACGATTTCGCCCGCCCATCCAAGTCGTGTGCTGTCATCCAACAACGCGCGGACATATCCCATACCTTCCAAGCTTGTCGACTTCTTTTTTTGCTTCTATACCCTCTTCCAATGGGAGTCGGCATGCTTCATTGCTTTGCTCGAGCCTTCATACGCAGAAGCCACCACTCCCCACACTTCTCCAGCAAGCCCCAAGTTTTCCAGCTTCCAAGCTTATGCACGGGCGCCACATCCCGTGACATTCCTGGGCTTCGCGGTATTTTCTGCATCTCGGGAAGATGCTCGGTGTCACGACCACGCGAGGCCCATACTAGGACCGTTGTCGGTAATTGCTAGCCAAGCCACATCGTGAGCACCAGAAAAGTTTTCTCTTGCTATGAGCCAATTGACACAAACTCAAGCATGCCTGCCTAGGTAGTCGGAGGCGCAGCCGCACCATCTCGTTCGCTGCGCAGCTGCCCCAGGTCTGCAAGTGTGTAGAGATGACTTTGTGGCGCAGACCAGCCTTCTCGGAATTGTTCGAGAACGACGCTGTTTTCACGGTTTGTGGGGATTCATGGGGGCTCATGCCGATTTTGCGGGGATCGTCTATAGACTACTGCATCGCAAGTTCGGGATTGCGTTAGCCCATGTCATAAGCACGGTGCTCGTCCTTCTTGGGCTTGGGTGTCATGACCGCATACAACGCCGAATCGGTGGGTCTTCTTTGTGTTTACTTGACTACATAAGCTGGTATTGCTGCTGTTGGAATTCAGTATCGAACGTCCTGCTCGTCATCACGGTACGTCCCAGCCCCATGCTTCCATACTGCTTCATCAACGAGATGGAGCAGATAAGCTATACGACATTATCTTTGGTCCAAGCGTCTGACTAACCTTCCGTAGTATCGACCTCTGACAACCATGTTCCGGTCTGTTCCCCTTCTGAGCGTTGCGCTTGGAACTCTCTCCGCCGTTTGCGCGCAGGAGTTGCCGGCTGTGTTGACTGCCGACTACATCGAGGGCTTGGGCAACAACAGTCTCTTCACGAGATGGCGCCAGACCTACCACTTCACTTCACCCGCCGGGTGGCTGAATGACCCAGCGGGTATGATGTATGATCCCATCAACGACACCTACCATCTCCACTACCAGTGGCATCCCAACCATGTCGCCTGGGGCAATATCTCCTGGGGACATGCCATCTCCAAGGATATGATTACCTGGACCGACGTTGGTGGCTGGGAAAATGACCAGGCTCAATCCATCGGCACTGGTCCCCATCCCGACTCCAGGAACAGCAGTTACTATGGATTGGGTATCTTCTCCGGAACAGCACAACCTTACAACCTGGAAGGTAAGCAGGATGGTACGCTCCTCGCCTTCTACACTTCCGTTCAGCAACTACCCACCAATTGGGCTCTCCCCTACATCCCTGGTACTGAAACCCAAAGCATTGCCATTTCCAAAGATGCTGGTCAAACTTGGCAGCAGTATGAGGGCAACCCAATCATGACTCAGCCACCGCAAGGCTGGAACATCACCGGATGGCGCGATCCATTCGTTGAGCCTTGGCCCGAGATGGACGCAATTCTTGGCCAGAAAGAGCCGCACTTCTACATGGTGCTGGGTTCTGGTATCAAGGGCGAAGAGGGAGGTGGCCGCATCCCCTTCTATAGCGCTCCTGCTAGTAATTTGACCGACTGGACTTTCTTGGGTGCGCTATGGGAGCCCAAGGCAAACGAGACACTGGGATCTTTGGTTGAGACTGGAACCTACGGCTTTAACTTCGAAGTGTAAGTGCGAGAGGTCTCATATGTACACATAAGCGCTGACTCCAATAGCTCCAACTTCTTCTCTCTTACTGACGAAGATGACGACGTTCACTACTACGCGCTCATGGGTACTGAGGGCGGTAATCTGACCTGGCACCCTCGCGCGCAGTGGGGTTTGTGGAACGAAGGACAAGTCACTCGCCGTGAGAATGGCTCTGCCGAATTCACACCCCTTTCCGGTGGTGTCATCGACTCCGGCCTTCTCTACGCTGTTACCAGTTTCTGGGACTCGAAGAACGATCGCCGCGTCCAATGGGGTTGGGCCAACGAGGAGAACAACAACTTCGCAATTACCCAATCCGGTTACCAAGGCGCCATGGCCATCCCGCGCGAGATGTACGTCATGAAGACCAAGGATCTCGTGAACCCACATGGTGGCTTGAGTAGCAAGGGTAACACTCGCCTGGTCGAGCACGGCAATGGTACCTTTACTGGTTACACATTGGGTGCCCGCGCTCTTCCTGAAATTGTCCAGGCCATGCACGGCGGAAAGGATCCCCAAGTCATCGACACTGGTAACAAGAACCTTACTACTGGTTCTGCGTCCGGCAACGGTACCAGCCACATGCACCTCCAGGTCACGCTTTCCGACTTCACTGGCCCCGCCGGTGTCGTCATTGCCCAATCGCCAGGAGGCGAGGAGAAGACCGTTGTCTATTACAACCCGGAGAACTACACCATTAACGTAGACCGCTCGCAGTCTTCTTCGATCAAGGAATTTGCCAACTACACCATGCTTGGCTACTACTACCCATACACATTTTCCAACGGCACACAAGAGTCTTTGCACATGGACATCTTTGTCGATGGGTCGCTTGTTGAGGTTCATGTCAACAACCGCTTCTGGCTGACGACTCGCATCTACCCTGCTCGCACCGACAGCACTGGTTTCAGTCTCTGGGCTGAGAAGGGCGCAAGTGTCAAGGCACAGGACATGAAGTTCTGGAATGTTGACATGAATGCCTTCCCGAAGAGACCTGCCAACACGAGCAGTGAGCTTGTGTTTGACACACCAGAGCAGACTAGCAACTATGTCTGGTGGACTGGGAACTAATCAATGTCATGTTACGGACGTATGGCAAGATTAGAATGCAAATGTTAATGAACAATGTATAATTTATGATTTCAAGAAACTTTGAATGATACGTTTGCTTGGTGTGTTATTTAGGCAGCAGTAGCCACCTCTCTTCCGCCTTCCTTCTCTCGTTCCAAACTACTGTCTTCCTTCAACTTCTTCAATCTCTCCTCCTCTTTGCGCTTCATCTCCGCCTGGATACGCACTCGTGCAGGAACAACCCGCTGTCTCTTGCTTGTAATCTTGAACCCTTCAATTCTATCCTTGCCTAGCGCCTTCATCGTTTTCCGCTCCACCGCACTATAGTCGCCATCCTCCCTATCAAAGCAAAAAGGCTCCTTTACAGAAACCGGGGGATTCGTAATGACGCGAACTTTGCGCAACTGGTTGTTAGACGCAGAGTGCAGCATAAGTGGATGCAGGAGATACACGTCGCCCACCACACCTGTAGCTTCCACAAACGCCTCATCGGGCATACTATGCGCAAGCTCGTTGAACCAACGAAGACCTTGTTCCTCGAAAAAGTCTGGGTTCTGAGCTCGCGGCGTCATGCGCGGGCTTACGCCGTCAGGATTCTCGTACAAATGCTTGGCTACGGTTGGTATGGCGCCGGGGCAGATATATGTGCCGCCGCCACCGGGGACGATGTCGGTCCAGAGTGGGATGACAAGGAGGGCTTGTTCGGGGCTGTCAAGGTAGTGGACAAAAAAGTCGCCGTCCACGTGCCAGCCGGGAAGGTCTTGGGGACGCACGACGGTATTGTGGCCCTCCGGAGTGCCTAGGTTGACGATGAAGGCGTCTCTCCAGGTCGAGGCGGCAGAGTCAACGCGCTGCGAGCCGCCGAGGAGAGAACAGATTCCAGCCCAGGCTTTGGGGGCGAACTCAGAGACGGAAAATTCGTTGAAGAAGGGCATGTTTGTTCGTTCAGTGTGCCTGGCGCGGTGTTGGTTAAGGTCACATTGGTCGTGCGCAAATGTACCTTGGGTACACATGAAATAAATGATGCTTACCATGTCGATATGTCGTTTGGATCCATGCCCAATCTCGTCCATAATGTCTCCTGCAAACCATCGGCTTGCTCCTGGGTAAAGCAGTTGCTCAGCTTCAACCAGCCATTCTCCAGGAAGAAGTCAATTTGCTCTTGTGAAAGCTTGTACTGGTCCTCTGCGTTCGCCATGGTGATGTATAAAGACAATATATATCTTAACCTTTACTCGACCTTTGGGGTGCAGACAAGCTTTTATATCGTGTGATCAAAGATGTAACGGAGATCTTCGTACAGCAACGCTTTCCCTCTTATCGCCTACTAACCACGCCGCCGACGGTACGGTTATCTTACGCAACGAAGTCTTACCGTAGGCAGCTGGACACTTCTGCCACTTTATCCGGTGGACGATGCATCAAATGGCCATTGACATTCCACGCGTGCCATCCCCAAGACTGCTCTGCGGGCTGCGGGGCGAACAATTTGGGGAAGCCGGCGGGACACCTGGTCCGCGGCGAACACGACCGACCCATTGGTTGGCGCGCTCACCTGGTGGGTATGAGGCGTCTGAACTACGGTACGACGGGTATTTTCCTACGAGAGTGGATGACAAAGCTGGATGGTGATGGCGAATTGGTGAAGGAGAGATGGTGTTCTTGGTAGCTTTCTCTCGGTGTTCTCAATTGGCCCTACAATCACCGCGACATCATGGCAACATCCTGCCTCTGTGCCTGTACAAGAGGAAAACACGAGTGTAGGAGAACGGGGCGCTTTCGTATTGGTATGAAAGCAGAGCGTACTAACACGTGCCTCACCTTGTGTTCGACGGTGATCATACTACGTATATTGTCTTTTCAGCAGTCTACAGTGCATCCAACCCTACCGGAACATGCGTCATTGTGAGCCTATGACATAGGAAGCAGTAATGAACACGTAGAAAAGATTGAGCAATGGTCATGTCGCATACGATGATCTAGCACAATTTCGTGCCAGCGGACTGTCTACCTTAACTAACGGCTCGTGACATATACTGGTATCTAAGAAAGTTATGTAACAACTCTGTGCTCATCTCAATGATAAATGTCGTGTCAAGTTCGGTTGCACACCTTGTTTGTTTGAGTTGGAACAAGATGCAAGCGGAATGATTCCGCGCCTAGACTAGTATCTGTACACGTTGTGCAAAGCCCTCGAACTGAAACGTCGGGCTTATACTGTACTGTGCGGAGATTTTTGATGCCGCTGTCTTGCCTTAGCATCATATGTGACAGGCCTAGCGTCGACGTGCATTATATTGGTAGCACCGGTGCTATGTCGCTGAGCACTAACTGACCGAATACATTGACGACGACGATAACCATCCTAAAGGACAGGTCGCGTTTTTGTGGAGACGTTGCTTCGGATCAACTTCAAACAGATACTCAGTGTTGCAATCTCAATGTGGTAAAGTGTCTTGCAGGATCCTCGGTCTTTAGGTGGCAAACTCCGGGACCTGATGCTTGAGAGACGGAGAAAGCCAGACCTATGATACGCGCTGTTCCTGTGATCCGATATTCATCAACTAATCAGCTTTCACTCTCAACGGGCATGGCGGTGGCAGCTTTCAAGGGCACAACGAGACACCTGGCCTCTCAGGTAAAACGTGCCAGCCTACTTAGAGTGAAGGCTTGCTTGTAAATTGGTCGTATACGGCGATAATCAGCAGGCTAACCGCGAGAGGAGTGAGGACAAGGAAGTTCCAGGGGACGAAGGCGAATAAAGAGGGGTAAATCAGTGGAGTTCTCGGCAAAGTTGGGTAAAAAGTCTTGTTCGGCGGTTGTGGTTGCAGGCTCAACGTGGTCTTACTGTGATGATAGTGGAAGCAGGGCCGCAGCATGGTCACGCTAGGCCTTTTTAGGAATATCTTAGGAACTGGCAAGGTGTTCACAGCAAGTACCGCCACGACCTCCACTTGAAATAAAAGCCCACCTCACCGCTCTCTCTTTCTACATCTCCACACTCGCCGTGCAGAGGATAATCAACTTACCCTTCCTCTTCACAATCAACTTCATACACAAACACACAAAATGAAGTACGCGACAGTTTGCGCCACTCTCTTTGCGGCCCTTGCGGGTGCGTCCGATGTCAAGCAGCTCAAGACGGACAACTTCAAGAGCTTCATTGAGGAGAATGACCTTGTCCTTGCTGAGTGTAAGTACTCTACCAGCCCCCCAGACTCTTTCTCTCTCTTTTTGGTCAAAAATATAAGAAAAATTAAATTCCTGTACTAACATTTGGCTTAGTCTTCGCACCATGGTGCGGCCACTGCAAGGCTCTTGCCCCCGAGTACGAGACGGCTGCTACTACACTTAAGGAGAAGGACATCGCTCTTGTCAAGGTTGACTGCACCGAAGAGCAGGACCTGTGCCAGGAGTATGGTGTAGAGGGTTACCCCACTCTCAAGGTCTTCCGCGGCCTCGAGAACATATCGCCATACGGCGGTCAGCGCAAGGCCGACAGCTTGATCTCCTACATGACCAAGCAGTCCCTGCCCGCTGTCTCCGAAATCACAAAGGACACCCTCGAGGAGTTCAAGACTGCCGACAAGGTTGTCCTCGTCGCCTACTTCGCCGCCGACGACAAAGCCGCCAACGAGACCTTCACATCGGTCGCCAACGGCCTCCGTGACAACTACCTCTTCGGTGCCACCAACGACGCTGCGCTCGCCAAGGCTGAGGGCGTCAAGCAGCCCGGTCTCGTTCTCTACAAGTCCTTCGACTCCGGCAAGGATATCTTCAAGGAGAAGTTCGAGGCGGACGCTATCCGCGACTTCGCCAAGATCGCCTCTACCCCGCTCATCGGCGAGGTTGGCCCCGAGACCTACGCTGGATACATGGACGCTGGCCTTCCTCTTGCATACATCTTCGCCGAGACTCAAGAGGAGCGTGATGCGTTTGCCAAGGAGCTGAAGCCTCTCGCTCTTAAGCACAAGGGCAAGATCAACTTCGCTACCATTGACGCCAAGTCTTTCGGCCAGCACGCTGGTAACCTCAACCTCAAGGTCGGCACATGGCCCGCCTTCGCTATCCAGACCACCACGAAGAACCAGAAGTTCCCCTATGACCAAGAGGCCAAGATCACCGAGAAGGAGATTGGCAAGTTCGTCGACCAATACCTCGCCGGCAAGCTCGAGCCCAGCATCAAGTCTGAGCCCATCCCCGAGAAGAACGACGGTCCCGTCACCACCATCGTTGCCCACAACTACAAGGACGTCGTTCTTGACAACGACAAGGACGTCCTCGTTGAGTTTTACGCTCCTTGGTGCGGTCACTGCAAGGCTCTTGCTCCCAAGTACGAGGAGCTCGGCCAGCTTTACCAGACCCCTGAGTTCTCCAAGCTTGTAACCATCGCCAAGGTTGATGCTACTGCCAACGACGTTCCCGATGAGATTCAGGGCTTCCCTACCATCAAGCTCTTTGCCGCTGGCAAGAAGGATGCTCCCGTCGACTACTCCGGTTCCCGCACCATCGAGGACCTCATTGAGTTCGTCAAGGAGAACGGTTCACACAAGGTGTCGGTTACTTACACACCCAGCGAAGAAGGTATGGCTGATAAACTTGCTCACCAGGCTCCAGCCGCAACCAAGAAGGGTGCTAATTCTGCCACAGACGCTACCAAGGACGCCGAGGCTAGCGCTTCGTCCGCTACCGACAAGGCTGCCTCTGCCGCATCAGAGGCTACCGATTCTGCCAAGTCTGGTGCCGCAGCGGCGACCGACTCTGTCAAGTCCGCTGCGTCAGATGTCAAGGATGAGTTGTAGATAGCGGACTCTTGGTTTCTTTGGTTATGCCGGCGCTTTCATGTGTACCATTACCCCCTTTCAGCATTCGAGAAGTATTCGTATTTGCTGAGGTATATGAGTATAAAAACAGTCATGGTTATATGAGAGGAATGATTAGGTCCTTTCTTTATTATGGCTTGGGTAGCACTTAGCTAATGGAGTTCCGGATTGTTACTTCATCATACTGTACTTTGCATATGCTGTGACTCCAATGTTCCAACATCTCCGTGAAGACGACAAACACAAAGGAATACAATGCTTATATATATCCTAGAGGCTTTCAATTGGACACGTATGTAGATCGATCTGTATGTATATCCGATTCATACTTGACGTATCAGAAAGAGTAGTTGCCGCAGGTAGGGGTTTGTGCTTTTTCAGCCAAGCTCAGCGTTGACCTTGGAAAAGTCTCTGGAAAGTTAGCCGGTAGCGTTGTGTACTTAGTTTCATTCTTGGAAGTGGGTCTTGGACAGCATCACCTCGGACAGTTCGTACGAAGACGTGTAGTTGGCGAGTATTGCAAATTCTCGATGTAGCGCTTTCGGTTCCAGAAAGCTGCCTGACACCTTTCTTCTGCCTGGTTCCCATGACTGCATGAAGTTTGTGGGCATGATCGGCTTAGTTCTGCGTATGCATATGCTTGCGGCCTTTGCAGAGGCTTCGAGATTGACGTTCTTCAGGGTACACCCATCGTCATTCATGCACGCACGTCCGTTGTCACTTCTGGCAAGCTTTCCGACTCGTCGCGTCTCAACCCCCACTTCCCGTGGCCTCGCCCCAACTCATCACTTTTTCCAAACGTACACAATAGTTCCTGACTTTGTGATGAATGACTAACCTTTGTCTTCTATACGTCCATGGATGCAGTCAGTTTCGACATAGACGTCACTTGTTGATGCGTGGTGATGCCAAAGCCTTTCGCTGCTAGTGGTTACATCTGTAGCTTTGAGTGCGAGCACAATTTCTTAACCACCAAAGCAATTGCAAGGTGAAGAATGAGTCCGGAAGAACAATACCCTTATTTTATCTGAGCCAGCTGAGAGTGTATGTGGTCCTCTTCGTCCCCATCTTCCTCCATCATTATGTCGCAAGCGTGCGAGGTATCCTCAGTTAGCCATTCATGCGCGCCAGTGATAGCGCGACATCACGTTTCAGCCTTGCCAACACTTTCAGAAGATGCTGCGTTGTAGACGAGACAAGATATACCCTTGCGGAGAAGCCAAGCGGACGAAGTTCGCATATCACTTGCATGCAGGGCGAATGAACGCGTTTCAGGCATGGTGCCAAGTCCATGTATTCACAACTCCCAAGTAGCCCTGAGTAGGTTCCCTAATGCTTGATACAAAGTAAGCAAATACCTCAGATTGATGATAGATGAAGGACCAGGAACGATAAAATGTCCGCAAAGGTGCGAGGAAATAAAGAGAGAACATCTGTAGGCCTTCTCTCAATGGCGCAATCTCAGATCGAATTCGATATGACACAATCATGCGTTTTCCAAGGCCTTGGAGTAAACGAGAATAGGTGCTCCTTTATACCTCAGAACGGAGAGCTGAACCACATTCCGCCGTCAGAACGCAAGTACCAATAAATGGCTCGCTACCTACCATGCACCGATCGATACACATAAGTCTCCCGACATGCTGTGCTTTCTGGCTCGCCTTACCTAGGATACACCCTAGGCTCAAGCGAATCGTCTGCTGCGTCTGTTCGACCAGTGTATATATGCCAAGGGTAGCACGGGTGCACTCACTTTTTGGGCTGTATCGTACGTATGTGTTATGTGCAAAGGACATTCGATTTTGTCCGTGCCGTAAAGGCGGAGTCATGTACGTGGTGAGCCCGATTCGCAGTGCACAATCGCTTGGCCCGTTGATTTATTTCTTTTCCTCTTTCCTTTCTTTTTCGCTTTACATGGCAATCGGGCGCTGGTAGCCATCTATACACCCGTTCCTGACAATGACCGACAAGCAACCCTCACCAGAATTCCTGGCAGCGGATATTAGCCCTGTTGTCCTACTGACAGCCTTTTCAATGATCGTCTCTTGTACGATTTTTGTCATCTTGCGATACTATTCTCGTTACTTATCAGGCACTGCCTTCAGTACCGAAGATGTCATTATACCGTTTGCTTGGCTGGCGGAGGTGATTCTATGTCTCTCCGGTATATGTAAGTAATCCCTTATGAATCCACATTGTTTGTACTGACATGACAAATAGACATGGTTGAGGAAAGCGGGCTGGGACGTCATGAAGACTACCTTGACTCTACTGAACCAGGCAAGATACAGAAACACTACAAGGCCCTTTTGCTCCAGGAATTTTTGCATCCATCGGCCGTGGCCTTGCCAAAGCTCGCTGTTGTTATCATTTATCTACGTATATTGACCAACAAGTACGAGCGTTTTGCTGCAAAGGTACTCACCTTCCTCATCATTGCGACATGGATCTCCTACACGGTTGCACCTGTGTTTCAATGCACCCCGTTTGCTTTTAACTGGAAAAGCGACATTCCAGGCGGGAAATGTTTCAATTTCCAGCTCTTCGCGCAAAGCTCGAGTGTGCCGAACATTGCCACCGACGTTGGTGTGTTACTACTGCCTTTGAGAATGGTCTGGCGCCTGAAGATCAGTATTCACAGACGGATAGGGCTGTTGTTGATCTTCCTCACGGGGAGCGTGTAAGTTCTGGTCCATCCGATTTAATTAATTTAGGCCTGACAGCTAATGTGTTACAGCGGCCTCATCTCATCTATTCTCCGTGCTTACGTTTTCGTTGATGTATTTTCCGACGTCACCGCCATTACGGACGTGACGTGGACCCATGTGTCGCTCGTAGATACGACGCTGATAGAGCCTGGTATCTATCTTCTAAGTGCCTGTGCGATTTCCTTCAAGCCTCTACTCCGCATGTTCGTCAGGGCTTTGCATTTCCAGAACACGACGCAGACGACGCCCATGAAGGATACAGTGGGTGGGAGGAGAAGCCACACAAACCCATCGCTTGCCCATACCAAAGTCGCAGCTTATGAGTCTGTGTATGATATGGGGCCTGCCAGGAAGGTATCGGAAGCAGGCATTTCCCGTGGATTGAGCGATATCAGCGAGGATGCGGGTCAGGAGTCTAAAGGCAACGAGAAAAGCGAAATGACAACAAAAACTCTTGATAAGGGATGAAGAGAGAATGAACAAAATAAAATAAACGATTGGATCTTTATGGGTTTATGAGCAATGACTTGAGGCAAATGGTTTGATACGCAGGCCTATCGGATGTAACTATGACGACAGAATCCAAGAATTGGCAAACCCATACAAGACATATCAGCCGATATTTTTCGATAAAAGGCATATGTGAATTGGCGAATGACATGAAATGCTTCGCTATAGGTGAGATTGTTCGATATAGTTGGGTGGTGCGGAACATGGCCGCTATTGCTCCAACCCCACTCGTATAACTATACCAGGGACTCGTATCAAAGTATCTCCGCATCAGCAAAGAGCATACTTTTACAGAGACACAAACTATACGGGACTTCTTTTCGGACTCCGCGCATACCGGCCCCAGCGGACAGATCCGAGTTGAGCAGATCGATCGCACGCGCTCTTAGCGTGGCGCGCCCAAGACGCGAATTAACAACGTCGTCATGGATTCTCCCTGACGTCTTCACCTCCACAAACAGTGACACATGTTATTGAAAGCACCCCATATCGACGTCATGTTGCTTATGAGGTGCCTCTCAACGAGCCACATGCATATGTGCTTGCATCGGCCTGTATCATCCGCCGTTACTTGATCCTCTGATCTCACCGTTACGTTCACGTATATAAAAGAACTCTTATACCAACATGTCTAGTGGTCCCAGATTACTACGCTCAGCAAGAAGTTTTTTACCACGACTTCAATACGCAACTCGCACTACAACATCCTTTCAAGCTACTCCTAGATACATCTCAACTACACCCATATTTAGAATGCCAGACCAACTCAAGGCAAGCGAGGTCAACTCAAAGACCGACCCCTCTGTCGCGAAGCAGTACGACGATGAGACGCCCAAGGACCAGCAGATTGAGGAGTTTTACAAGATGGTAGACAGCAAGAAGATCTGCATGCTCAACACCTACCGTAACGGTGTCGGTACGTCATTCCTTTCCTAGAATGTTGTACGCAATCCTAACGAACATGTCACCACAGGCCCCGTCGGACGCTCCATGGCCCTCGCCCGCCGCGACGGCCCCGACTTCCTCTTCCTCAGCAACGCACACTCATCCAAATTCTCCGATCTCTCTCAAAACAAAGAAGTTCAAATCACCTTCCAAGACATCCGAAGTCAAGACTGGGCCTCCATCACCGGAACCGCCACAACAACCGACAACAGCGACCCCCGCATCAAGGAAGTTTGGAGCCGGGGCGCCGCAGCCTGGTTTGGTGACCTTGGCGACGGCAAGCACACTGGCGGCCCTGAGGACCCGCGTATGACGCTGATTGAGATTAAGAGCAAGTATGTCAGTTACTATGCGACGGATGTGAGTGTACTGGGTTACGCAAAGGAGGTTATTGGAGCGAATATCACGGGTGGTGTTGCGAATACAGGCAAGTTGAGGGAGTTGAAGGAGGCGGATTTGGAGAAGGCGAGGAAGATGTAAGTCTGGATGTAGTCACTATTCTGAAATAAATGTTCATGTATTGAGATGTAGTAGATCTCCTTCGAAGCTCTGAGCTCGCATTATTCGCAGTGAAATTACGGGTCGGACTGTATGTCGCAAGCACGCGCGTATAATGTTACGCATAGCGAGATTTTGCCTGTATTGTTGTAGACAATCAAAACTCGAGAGTATTGTAGTATCATATATCTCGATGCACACCAGAATGCGCTCAAAGTCGTAAATATAAATAAATATTCCTTATACACGTGCTGTTACATAGACCCCCACAACAAAGTCCAATGCGTACTACCAAAACTTGAGATTCTTCTGATACCAATAACTCCATGTCTTCCTCCTCTCTTCCTCTGCCTTTCGCTCTTGTTCCAAACGATCTTGTTCCTCCCTTGCCCTCCGCCTGGCAGCCTTTTTCGCCTCTATAGTCACGCGCTTCGCCTCCATGAGCTCTTGTGCTTGCTTTATACCGGCCTTTTCCTTGGAACGGTAGTATTGGCATACTTGGTAGGAGACGACAGAGACACCGCACCATGTTGCTACGGCCCAGTTGGAGGCTGTGATTACGGGTCCTGTGGATGTGATTAGTATGGCAATGTGATGATGGAGTTGCCAAAAAGTTCGTTCGCCCTCGCAATGGCGCGATGGTATGGATATGGCGATTGCGGTCACGTACTTCCTATTATAGCTGCTAGACTTCCTCCTGCAAAACCGGCTGCTAGTCCTTGCAATTGGCTGTCGCGTACGCATGGTCGCTTATGAAAGTTCAGATAGTACTCTGGTCCGAGACTGCGTACGGCGTCGAAATATGATGGGCCTCCGTCTGTTGTCTTTTCTCCACCTGCTGTATGTGCTGTACCACCGGGCATTATATTTGCGGGAGCGCGCGGCTTTGGAGGGAGCGCATTTGCGTCGACGGATTCTCGAGTGTCGTCGGCCATGGTGATGTGAGGGCGGAGTGAATTACTGGGGATCGATGGGCGGTAGGTGATGAGTATGCCAGCAGCTGAATAGATTCGCGATAGAGTTACAGCATGGGTGTACTCTCTTGTGGCTGGGATTGGGTTTGGTGTGCGATGAGTGGTAGTGAACAGTCAATTCACTTTCTGATGGTGCGGAATAGGGCCGAAAATATGCAGCATGTATGATCCCACCATTCAGCACCGCCACAAAGTGTGGCTGAAAATCAATTTGCCCAAACAGGAAAGGCGTGCAACACGCTACAGCGCGTCGCGTCGGGGCTAACATTTGCAGATCCGCCCTGAAGACTTATGGACAATAACTGCAAGTGCCTCCATACTTCAGCTGTCAATGCCAATTGTCGATACCCCAGTCTCTTCCACTCGTTGCGCTGCTCACATGATACCCTGATTTTACATACCTCGCACTTAATACCCTCTTACTTTTATATACGGCATAATGGCGCCACGACGCGCGGGACAGCCCTTTCGCCGAGTGGGCAAGAATGGCAACACATCGTATGGTCCGCGGAAACCACAAACAGTCGATGCCTCGTCGCTACGAAGCACAGAAGCCACATCGAATAATGAGAAAGTTGAATCCACACGCCTCGCCAACCGCATCGATGAGTCCATGGGCTTTGCACGCTTCGACTCGGGCAAGAAGAGAGTGGGGTGGCTCGTCAACATGCACTCGACCACTGTTGAGGATGGAGATGTTCCAGGTGGCAAGGCTGGTGTCGACTTCTACTTTATCGGCGAGGACGGCGACACATTCAAAGCGACGCTCGAGTACGATCCATATTTCCTGTTGGCGGTGAAGAAGGGCAGAGAGCATGAGGTGGAGGAGTACTGTAAGCGGGCATATGAGGGGCTCATCAAGAACATAAAGACCATAGAGAAGGAGGACCTGAGCATGCCAAATCATCTTACTGGGTACCGGAGGAAATTCCTCCAACTCTCCTTCGCCAACGTCAACGACCTGCTGGCTGTCAGGAAGGCGGTCAACCCCGTGGTCGAGAAGAACAAGAAGAATGTCAATGCCATGGACACCTACGCAGAGGTTGCAAAGTAAGTCTCACCCCTTCCTCTTGCATCAAGCATGCTAACACTATGTAGCGGCAATGGCGCTTTTGACTTCTTCGATAACGACGAATACGAATACGAGAAACGATTTACGACTACTGTTGATGCCAGCGATTTCATTTTGGATATTCGGGAATACGATGTTCCCTACCACGTACGAGTAGCCATTGACAAGGACGTGCGAATTGGAAACTGGTATACTGTCGAGGCCAAGCATGGCGTAATATCAATCAAATGTATAGAGGACCGCCTCACGCCTGCCGATCCCGTCGTCATGGCGTACGATATCGAAACGACAAAGTTACCACTCAAGTTCCCCGACGCTGCCATCGATCAGATCATGATGATATCATATATGATTGACGGCCAGGGTTTTCTAATCACCAACCGCGAAATCGTATCAGAAGACATCCAGGATTTCGAATACACGCCGAAGCCGGAATACCAAGGTCCTTTTATGATCTTCAACGAGCCGGACGAGAAGGCCCTGCTGGAACGATTCTTTGAGCACATCAAGATAGCTAAGCCAACAGTCATAGTCACGTACAACGGAGACTTCTTCGATTGGCCATTCGTCGAAGCAAGGTCTAGTGTACAGGGCATCGACATGTACCAAGAGATTGGCTTCAGGAAGAACAGCGAGGACGTATATCAGTCGGACTACTGTGCGCATATGGATGCTTTCTGCTGGGTCAGCCGAGACAGTTATCTTCCACAAGGAAGTCGTGGTCTGAAAGCTGTCTGCTTGGCTAAGCTCGGCTACGACCCAGACGAACTCGACCCCGAGTTGATGACACCGTATGCTGCTGAGCGGCCCCAGACCCTTGCAGAGTACTCCGTTTCCGACGCTGTTGCGACTTACTATCTGTACATGAAATATGTGCACCCCTTCATCTTCGCTCTGTGTAAGATTCTCCCATTAGGTCCGGATGATGCGCTACGGAAGGGTACAGGTACCCTATGTGAGATGCTGTTGATGGTGCAGGCATATCAAAAGGGCATCGTATTGCCTAACAAACATCAAGCACCGAAGGAAGCCTTTTGGGAAGGTCACCTACTGGAATCGGAGACCTATGTCGGAGGTCACGTCGAGGCGCTGGAAGCTGGCGTGTTCAGAAGCGACATTGCCTATAACTTCGCTGTCGATCCTACGGCCATCGATGAATTACTGAACGATCTCGACGCGGCACTCAAGTTCAGCATCGAAGTGGAAGAGAAGAAGAAGATGGAGGATGTTACCAACTATGACGAGATCAAAGCTGAAATCGTCGAAAAGTTGTTGCAGCTCAGGGAAACGCCTAACCGCAGTGAACGACCGCTGATTTACCATTTGGATGTCGCATCTATGTACCCGAACATTATGACAACATATCGGTTACAACCAGATTCTATGATCAATGAAGGCAACTGCGCAGCCTGCGACTTTAACCGCCCGGGCAAGACCTGCGATCGCCGGATGCCGTGGGCCTGGAGAGGTGAATACCTACCTGCCAAGCGTGACGAATACAACATGGTTCGCAACGCCTTGGAAAACGAGCAGTTTCCGGGCAGGTTCCCCAATTCGCCAAAGCGCACCTTTCAAGACCTCTCGGCGGATGAACAGGCCACCTTGATCAGGAAACGTCTAACGGACTACTCCAAGAAGATTTACCACAAGGTGCACGACGCTACTACAATCGAACGCGAAGCCATCATCTGCCAGCGTGAGAACCCATTCTACGTTGACACCGTCAGTGGCTTCCGTGACCGCCGATACGACTTCAAGGGCAAGCAGAAGGTGTGGAAGGGAAAGACCGAGGCTTTGAAAGCAGCTGGCGCTCCTGCGAGCGAGATTGAGGACGCAAAGAAGATGATCATTCTGTTCGACTCTATGCAGTTGGCTCACAAAGTCATTCTGAACTCCTTCTACGGATACGTCATGCGAAAGGGATCTCGTTGGTACTCACTCGAAATGGCTGGTGTTACTTGCTTGACTGGTGCTCGTATCATTCAGTTGGCTCGCTCTCTGGTAGAGCGCATTGGACGACCCCTAGAGCTGGATACTGACGGTATTTGGGCCATTTTACCTGCGACGTTCCCGGAAAACTTCTCTTTCAAACTCAGCAACGGCAAGAAACTGACCATCTCGTATCCCTGTACGATGTTGAACCACTTGGTTCACGCACAATATACCAATCACGACTACGAGACACTAGTAGACCCCGAGACGTTTCGTTACGAGAAACACAGCGACAACTCCATCTTCTTCGAAGTCGACGGCCCGTACAAGGCTATGATTCTCCCTACATCGAAAGAGGAAGACAAGAACTTGAAGAAGCGCTATGCAGTTTTCAATCACGATGGCAGCTTGGCAGAGCTGAAGGGTTTCGAGGTCAAGCGTCGTGGTGAGTTGAAGCTCATCAAGAACTTCCAAGCCCAGATTTTCAAGTTCTTCTTGGAGGGTACAACGCTAGAAGAGACGTACGGTGCAGTTGCCAAGGTAGCGAACCGATGGCTTGATATTCTGGACACTCGCGGCGCCACCTTGGCCGATGAAGAGCTGATTGATCTCATTGTTGAGAACAAGAACATGACGAAGACGCTGGAGGAATACGGAACGCAAAAGTCGACTGCCATTACGACTGCTAAGCGTCTTGCTGAATTTTTGGGCGAGCAGATGGTAAAAGACAAGGGCTTGAACTGCAAGTACATCATCTCAAAGACGCCGCGAAACGCACCGGTCACTGAGCGTGCCGTTCCACTGGCAATTTTCTCAGCCGAAGAGTCAGTAAAACGATACTTCTTGAGGAAATGGTTACGCGAAGACCCTGGAGAGATGGACATTCGGACAATATTGGACTGGGACTACTACCGCGAGCGCCTGGCATCCGTCATTCAGAAGCTCATCACCATTCCGGCAGCCTACCAGAAAGTTCGAAACCCTGTTCCTAGGGTACCGCACCCAGACTGGCTCAACCGCAGGATCCGGCAGAAGGAAGACAAGCTCCAACAGACCAAGATGACGGACATGTTCAGTAAGAAAGTGCTGACCAATGGTGACGCCAACGTCGCGAACAATAAGGGGTCTGGAGACTTGGAAGACTTTGGCTCTTCCAAGTTGACGCAGAATCAGTCGCAGATGAAGAAAGGTATCGTCACCAAGATGGTTGCGAAACGTAAGGAGCCCGAGCCGGCCGTACCCATTGTCGACCCATATGCAGCGCTACCTAAGGTCATGCCGAGCATTGACAAAGACTACTCCGGTTGGTTGATGTACCAGAAACAAAAGTGGAAGATTCAGAAAGAGGCACGGAAGCGAAGACGGCAGTTGTTCGGAGAGAAGGCCGTTGATTCGTCGGATGCGATTGGCACCTTCTTCAGGAACCAGGCTCAATCTCTGTACATCAGCACATGGCAGCTTGTACAACTACGACCGACGGAGACACCAGGAGAAGTCCGCGCTTTCGTGTTGATCGACAAGAAAATCCACGCCCTCAAGATTATCGTACCACGACAACTATACCTCAACTTAAGAAGCGAGGATCTTCCTGATGTTTCTATTAGCGGGTGCTCGGTCGAAAAGGTCGTCAATCATACCTTGCCAAACGGACATCCTTCTATCCATCTTTTCAAGCTCCAGATGTCCGAGGAAACTTACGTCAACGAAGCAAAAACCATTTCGGCTCTCTTCAATCACTCTAGCGTCGAAGGTGTCTACGAGAAGCAGGTACCACTCAACATCCGGGCCATCCTTGAGCTCGGTAGCACATGTACATTCGATGAAACACAAAAGGGTGTTCTCGGGAAGGGTCTCGAGCAAGGTTTCGACCTATCTTCGCTGCACAAAGTACGAACCAAGGAGCCATACCTGGCTGAGGCGCCCTTCAACTACCTGTACCTCTACCATGTCAGTAGTGGAGACCGCAATATATATGCCATCTTCTCGACCTCTAAGAGTGATGCGCATATCATCATCCAGAATAAGTCAAAGGACTCTCAGGGTATGCCCAATGTGGATCGGATCTACCGCGATGCTCTGCAGCGACGGTTGGAAGACAACAACGGCGAGCCATGGCAAGCCATGATTGAGTACCAAGACGATATCCACTTCAAGACTACAATGGTCACTACCAAGCGCAAGGCTCTACTGGAAATTGGGGACGTCATCAAGAGGATGAAGGCAGACGAATCTGGGCCGGTCATTGTCGTTATGCAATCACCAAACCACGCTCTTCTTTCACACGACGTACCTATCCTCAAGGATATGCCCATCCTACCACTCCATCCCGATGAGTCTGACAAGCAACTACCGCCACTCGGTTGGCAAGCGTTCATTGCCAGACGGTTGGTAGGCCATTACCTTGATCTCGGATCCTGGGTTGCACATCTACTGGAGCTTGCCCGTTACGGAGATGTCCCGCTCTGCAATCTCGAGAGCAACGACCCCCGCTTCCTCATTGATGTGGCGTATGCAAGACGCTTGCAGAAGGACCGAGTGATTCTATGGTGGTCTGGTCAGGCGAAGCCGGATCACGCTGGTTATGAGAAGGACGATGTCCTTGCACCTCTGGAAACGGTGGAGATGCCGTCCATCAACAACCCGGGTACCTACTCGTCTGTATGCATCGACATCAATGTGCGCAATCTCGCCATCAACACTATCCTGTCATCGTCTCTAGTCAATGAGCTTAAGGGCGCAGACTCCGTTTCTTTCAATCCTGCTCCGTCTTATGACTCTACAAACGATGGCTCCAATGTCTTTCACTCTGACAACGCCTTTGCAAGCGCGGGTATCACTGTTCTTAGAGAGATGGTAAAGGACTGGTGGGTTGAGGCTGTCCAAGCCAATCACGGTTTTAGTATGGCAGATGTGATGGTACAACACCTCGTCCGCTGGGTCAGCAGTCCAGGATCGTTCCTCTACGATCGTTCTCTGCACTATTACGTGCAAATGATGTCTAAGAAGACGCTACAACAACTGATGACGGACTTTAAGCGCGTAGGCTCACACATCGTCTTCGCTAGTCCGAACCGCCTTCTGCTACAGACCACCAAAGCCGAAGTTGGCAACGCATACTCGTACAGTCAATACATTATCAAGACAATCAAGTTGAAGCCGCTGTTCCAGTTCATGGAGCTCGAAATCAAAGAGTACTGGGACTACCTAGTCTGGTACGATGAGTTCAACTACGGAGGCAAGGGCTGCAGCGAGGTGACGGAAGACGAGAACCAACCTGTCGAGAATATTATGTGCTGGCAGCTAGCACAGTTCTTGCCACCAAAGTTCCAGCCCACGTTCAACGACTGGGTCGTCGAGTTCATCGAGCTCATGCACGCGCGGAAACGCCCTCAGATCACAGAAGACGGCTCAACGCCGCGGGTCACTCAAATTCCACTGCGTCCGCTGACCGTGGATCCGAACGAGCAAACACAGTTGCTTCCCAAGACGTTTACCAAGCCACTGTCAAAACAGATGAATGTGTTTGCCAAGAAGCAACACGCAGAGATTCTGGACCCTCTCTTCGCATCCGATTACGTCTTCCCCGAACTCCCAGGCTCGCATCTCAAATTCAACAATGCAGTCCTGCAGCTCGTCAAAAGTATCATGCAAGTCCTCTCCCTCGACCGCGCCATATCTCTCGAAGCACGCGCGCTGCGAAAAGAGCTCCTCAACCTCTTCGACATCAAAGAGTTCAGCGCAGAAGCAACCTTTGTAAACCCCAGCGCCGCCCTCGTAGTCCGAGGCGTCATCTGCGACGAATGCACCTCGTCTCGCGACCTAGACCTCTGCCGCGACTCCTCGCTGCTCCCCGTAGTCGTCTCCAACAATAGCGACGCCGCTCCCGTGCTGCCAAAGTGGAAATGCGACAACTGCGAATCCAGCTACGACAAACGCCGCATCGAAGAGCAACTCGTGGGCGAGGTCCAGAAAATGGTTCTCGAATGGTGCACACAGGATCTCAAATGCGCAAAATGTAAGAGACTACGGTCAAACGAGTTCATGGAACATTGTGCTTGTGCGGGCGAGTGGGTGGCAACGAAGAACAGGCAAGATATGAAGAAGAGGGCTATGGTATATGGGAACGTGGCGAAGTTTTATGCTCTGGGTATGTTGGAGGCTGTGGTGGAGGAGTGTTTAGAGGCCTTCTAGAATAGCCCATGGGTGTTTTGTCGGATTTGGGGGTATCCCTTGAAAGGAAAAGGGCGGAATTACGGCGCACTTAGATGGCGGGATATCTGTTTTTGTTCAATCAAATCTTTAGTATCCTGTATATGCCATTCATGCATGCTTGCTTTAGCGTTTACAGCGACTAAGTGGGGGTTGGAGAAGAGAGGAGGGGCAATCATGCCACCCCTTGTTCCACTTCGCGTCTTGTTTATCCCGACGTCGCTTGATCAATCTACACTTCTTATCAGCCAGCCAGCAAGCAAAGAAAGGTCTTGGAACCTGCTAACCCCAGTCAATCAAATCAGCCCATGATAAGTCTGCCACTCGATGTATTTTACCGAGGATGAGCACATGTATGTATGACGGCGGTTTGAGGCGGGGTCGTGTCGGTCGGCTCGCGTCAATGTCGTCTGGGGATACGTGCGAGCACGCAATTCGGCCCAACTATTCGCAACGACCACCAAGACATGACGGCCACCCTGGACTTAAACGGGTTGCTGATAGCAGCAATGGGCGAGCGATCGAGATGAGGGGAATAAGACGAGTTGTGATTAATTGCGTAGTAGGCAAGGATCGGAGGGTACTGTGATTACGTATATATAGCTTCTGTGCCCATTCTGGTATACCTTTTGTGAACCACTTGCTGCTGCTGCTGCTCCGACTCGAATTTGAAGCAAGATATCACACCACTTGCTTTTAAACTCCTCAATTACATACTTCCTAGAGAAGTCCTCCTCTTTCCTTCCTGCAGCAAGTTGTTCTTGTTCTAGTATCTTGACCCCATCATCCACAATGGCACCAGCGCTCACAGCCCCCGCGCCAGCACCACCACACACCCTCTCCGCACCCACAAAAGCGCCCAAATCAATCTTCCCAGACGGAATACGCACATCCGGCCAACATGAACCCATCTACTCGCTGCTGCGCCCCTACTCTGACTTCCCTGCCCAAATCACTGGTCCAACAGCATGGAGCAAAGCGGATTACAAGGACAACCCCGAGCGCTGGACCCACGTCTTCTCGTCGTCTGAAATCGCCGAGATAAGCGAGACAGCAGACCGCTTCATTGCATCTGGCATGCCGCTGACAGGTATAACAAAGGCGTTGTTCCCGCTCCCGCAATTCTCCCAATTCCTTGATCCTTTGCGCCGCGAACTCATCGACGGCAAGGGCTTTATCCTGTTCAAGGGCCTGCCGGTGCAGGAATGGGGAAACAAGAAATCTGCTGTTGCGTACATGGGTTTGGGAACGTACTTAGGCTACTTTGTTAGTCAGAACAGCCGGGGCCATGTGTTGGGGCATGTCAAGGATTTGGGCGAAGATGCGAATGCGATCGATAAAGTGCGGATTTACCGAACGAACGCGCGGCAGTTTTTCCATGCCGATGATGCGGACTTGGTGGGGTTGCTGTGTGTGGCCAAGGCGCTGGAGGGCGGAGAGTCGGATTTGGTAAGTGTTTGGCTTAATCCTGCGGTGCGATAGTATTTACTGACTGTTATTCTAGGTCAGTAGCCATGAAGTCTGGAATGACCTGCAAAAGTACAATCCCGATGTAGCGGAGCTCCTCACACAGCCCATCTGGTACTTTGATCGCAAAGGAGAGACGAGCAAGGGGCAAAAGGAATGGATCAAGACCGCCGTGTTTTATCTTGAGACCGGCGATAATCCGAGGGTGTACAGCAAGTGAGTCTTCTGCTTCATCCAGTCCAACTCTTACAGACATGTAACTAACCATGCCCAGATGGGACCCCTACTATGTCCGCTCATTGACTCGGTTCTCTGACGCCGGCGCCATTCCACCCCTCTCGGATGCACAACAACGCGCCATCACCATTCTCGAAGAGACGTGCCAGAAGTTGGCTCTGCATATGATTCTAGAAGTAGGCGATATTCAGTTCCTCTCAAACAACCACGTCTTGCACGCAAGGACGGCGTACAAAGATTTTGCGCCGCCAGCACCCAGGAGACATTTGATGAGGTTATGGTTGAGCACACCAGAGGATGAGGGTGGTTGGAAATTGCCGTTCCACGATAGTAGAGAGAAGAAGCGAGGCGGGATTCAGGTCGACGATACAGCGCCGGTTGCCCCTGAGGATGCGGAATAATGCGCTCGTTCCGAAGTCGTCCTGCGGTTCTGTATATGTGAGTAGACATATTAGTATATAATGAAATGTTTCAAGACGAAAAAAAGGTATTCCACAGATGCTGCATTTCAATGTGGTATCATTTCTCTTTCGCACTGCAACTCCTGCACGTCTTGATATGTTAAACAACGCGCATGTTGCTCCACTGCACATATGCAGCTATCCAACTGTGACTCCGTCGCGAATCACTTGTTGGTACCTGGTGTCCGTAATGTCCACCTCTTCAGATTTTTGTATGCCTCGTGTGCACTCCGGTCGTGTGGTAGTCTTCAGGTGCGTGTATGCGCGAAAACTCCTTGGTTTGTTTTCTCCCCGACCTCTCTTCACATCTAGAAACCGCGTCCACGTCCCCTGCCACCACCTCCTCGTCCGCGACCACCACCGCCACCGCGGCCTCGGCCACCTCCTCGACCTCCACCTCGACCGCCGCGGTCAGCACCACCGACTTCCTTCCTCGCCTTGTTCTTCGGCTTTGGTGCGTCATCAATGAGTAGTGTATCGAGCGGTAATGAGTCGGGTAAGATTATGTAGCGGATAGTTGAGCCACGCACAGTCATCGTGTCGAGCGCTACGGTGTCTCGAGACTTGGGGGTGTACTTGACTGCTCGAAGTGCGACGTTCATGAGCGGCGAAACAGAGGTAATGGTACCGTTGACGATAGTGCCTATGTCCGTATAAGTTGTTGCACAAGACTTACATTATCAAAACAGGGAATAGAAAGTCTGGGTTCAGCTTGCGCGCCCTACATGACAGGACTGGACCTGCTCAACCCCCAGTTCCATCGCGACAAATTGAAACTTCCCATAAAAGCACGCAGAAACTATGAGAATGGACTTACCATTCTTCAGCTCGACCGTGACCGTCTCATTCTGGCATTTCATAAGAAACCTGCGCGTCGTTAGCTGTTGTTCTGTGCGAATGGTAGGTCTGCTTTACCTGACGAGCTTCATGATTGCTTGTTTGACGACGTGCAACTTGCGACGTGCGACTGACGATATGGCGTGTTTGAGTACTATATCGTGTGTACAGTGTACCTCGTCGTGGTGTTGCTGCAATGTGAGACAGACTCGCGGGGGAGCTTGGACATGGAAATTGCGATGGAGCTCAAGGCACCACGGGCCGCGGATTTTTCCGGGCATGGGTCACGTGCACGGTACCTTTACCTAAGGCTCCTAGGGGTCAGAACAGACACTATAGGTATCTACAATAATACTGTTAGGTTTTGAGTCCTTTCTTATCTCCATATCGTTTCGCTAAATAGATAGCCGATTCGCCCATTTATAACATGCATACACCTAGGTAACATGAAATACTTGACAGCGACAGCGTGGATAAATCTCTCGATTATGTTTCTAAGAGGCATATCTGGCGCCTAAAAAGATTTCTGTATACTAGGCTGTCAAGTATTGTGTGTCACCCAGGTGCATACATTGCTTCCAAATGTTCTTTCACTCTAGTATGACTACTCCTAGCACGAGGTAGAGGAGTTTCTCATATCAATCAAAAAAAACCTTGGGGCCATCGTTTGTCTTATGTGCCGCTACCAAACTTGACTTCCATGTCCACGAGGGCTGTCTTCCCACCCATCTTCCTAAGCATTTCCATCGCCTGAATGCCCATTTCCTGCTCCAATTGCTGTGTCGTCGGTCTCTCACTTGAAAAGAAACTGAGACACTGCATCATCCAGTCATTTAGCTCGTCGCTGTATTCATGGTATTCCGGACCTATGCCTTGGGCGCGCTGCTCCTCCATGGACAGCCAAAGACCTCGCTGAGCAAGATCATCCTTGTTGAGATTGATTGGGATGATGCGTCGAGGGGCATGAGCGTCGTAGTAGGAGTCTACGTTGTTGTATTGTCCAGCCAAGAACGGATGCTGATTGTTGTTGGCGCGATACTGTGCAGCAGCATAGGCCCTGCTGTGCTCGGTTGTCACTGGTGACTTTCCAGTCGCAAGGAAGTGTATACAGGCACCCAGTGCCCATACATCTGCGGCTGTGTTGTTGATGCCTTGCGTAGTATTCTCAGGTGGTTGCCACTTAAAGGTTCCATAGCGCGACCGTCGATTAGTCTGTCCATCCTCATAGACCGTAGCGCAGTCAAAGTCGTGCAGCTTGAATGAAGGATAAGTTGTCCCGTTGTTTACGACTAGAATGTTCATGGGCTTAATATCACAATGGATGATGCAGCCACGTTCATCTTGATCCGGACCAATCCGACCCTGGATAAAGGCTAGGGCTTGACTAATTTGCAAGAAAAATCGCCAGATGAAGCTCTCTGGTACTGGTTTCCGGTTCTTATTGTCAAATAGATGGAGTTTCCAGTACTTGAGATCACCCATCGGATAGTGTTGGAAGATAACAGTGCCATGTTCAGGATCGGGATCTGCGTGACTGTAGTAGATTGGTTTCACTACCCTATTGCACTCAGGCAGAAGGGCGAGGATAGTGACCTCTAGTGGTTGCGCACGCCCACCAACGTAGAGAACTTTCTTGACGACCAGCAGCTTTGCATTCGTACGGCTAGCCATCAGCAATACCTTTTGTGTCATGGTTTGCTTGAGAGTCCAGGCGTTTGGTTTCCAAAGGAAGGTTCCCGCTGTTTGAGTACGTTTCTCACGTTTACCAGTGCCGATTGTGGCAGTTGCGTTCAGGTTGGTCATTATTGCGCAAAGGTTGAGGGTGTAGAGATGGTTGGGATTTGTAGAAGGAGTTGAGAGCAAGAGCGATGTGGTGTAAGTGATATATGCGTACAGCACACACTAGTTTTCCGATCTGGGGCGCCAAGCACTCTAAGTACACGGTGAAAGAATATTCCTGTATTTGTCTCATACCTGCTGATCACTGCACACGGTGAGACCCTTTGCCCTTAGGCCCACAAAACCAACCAAGATCTCGACGTTTCGATCCTATAACTCTGTCACTTCTATCCATCAGCACCATTTATACAGCCAAATAATATGCCTCTATCCTATCGCTACCATATAGCCTACAACCTGTACCTTATTCCGCTTCTCTCCATATCCTTACAATTACCAACTTCTCCCAGCCAGCTTTCTTGCCACTGGACCCTACTGTCTCAGCCATCCAACCTGGACCCCATTCTCTTATCTGCTGCTTGACCAACTCGGGCTTGTTCTGTGCACATAGTAGTACATATGCGACTCCTCGATCCTTGCTTAGTATATCCGATATCTGGTCCAGCATCCTGTTCGTCACTACCATGCCATCTTCACCTCCAGCGTACGACAACTCTAGGAGATACGAGTCTTGCTCGAAAGACGTCGTATCCTTTCCTTCCGGAATTACGTTGTACTTTTTGTGATTTGATGGGTCTGGCAACTCTGCGGGTACATACGGCGGGTTGAAAATAAAGACGTCGACAGAGTGTGGTCGAATCGCACTCGCTAAGTCGCCGTTTACGATATCCACAAAAACGGAACGGCTTTTTTCACGCTCTTCAATTGCACCCCATACCGTTTGAGCAGCAGCTTTACAGGCGAAGCTATTGATATCCACCCCAAGCGCCAGTACGTCGTGTCGGCCAAATATGGTGTCGGCATTTGCAGCAACAAAAGCCAACACGACGCCTGATCCTACGCCCACTTCGAGGACCAATGGTGGGATTGACGACGCATCTCCAAAGCGATCTTGTAGATATGCAGTTTCAGAAGCCGAAGAAAGCGTGTCAAGTAACAGATAGGAATCTTCGGCCGGTTCGTACACGCGGTCGAAACAGACGTGGGATGTCGATGGAGTAGGTAGCATGTTTGTGGATTTGCAGGGAGATCGGAAGTGTTGGTGTGACCAATTGGAGCGGAAGGAGCTCTGGAGCACCCTAGTCTAGCAAGCCCAGGCTGAGGTCATCACTTCGCAAATGCATCACAATTTCTCTACCACGTTCTCTTCATCCCAATTCATTGATGCAAAATGAGAGTCTTTTCGCGACTGCTAGCTACAGCGACAGATGCGGGTGCATCGAGACCGTTCAAACCGGCACCCGCTGCTTTGTTGCCGCCAATACCACTCTATCGACGTTTGCTCCGCTCACATCGGAAGAGGCTGGGTGTAGAGGAGCGTTTACTTGGCGACATGTATGTGAAGGCTGAGTTCAGAGCGCATAGAGACGTAGAAAACCCCGTGCAGATTGTCAGTCAGACCCATCTCTGCGTTGTACATGATGGTGTTCACAACATCTAACATTCACAGATTGGATTTCTGTCAGAATGGCAAACCTACTGTCAAATGCTTGAGGGTGACTCCTGGAAAGAGGCTAAGATGGACAAGGCGAAGATTGATAAAATGAGCGGTAGGGTTTACTGATCACGCCTTGGATTGGCGCTGACAATATCACAGATCAACAGATCGGGCAACTATACGAGCTCATGCAGCAGATCAAAACCCAAGCGAAGGAAGATGCTGATGCCGAGGAAGCGCGTGTGGTCGACTTGCTTGACAAGAAGCCACCGACAGAAAAGTGATGGCAGCATACGTGAATCACGACAGTCAGTCAACTTCATTCGAGCGCAAACATGGCCAGGCTTCACACTTGACGATGAATGTGAAGCCACGACAAACCTGGATACTTCACATGCTGCACAAAGATTTACTATATACATCAGCAATGCCACATTGTCTCCTTCTTCCGCCACCTCAGCACTCCTTGATCGCTCTGCAAGTCTCTGGGATCAAGTCCTTTCCGACATACGGCACCCTTCACTACTTAAATCAAACTTCTACTAGCTGCCTCAACCTTAACGTTTCTGACTCTTCACTAAGAGTGGCAGTATATCGTCAACAAAAAGACTATCATATTCAGCATAAAGGCTCTTCTCATCCAGGATGTGCGGCTGTACCCTCTATGACTCCCCCACATGCGGCCATTCCTGGATTTCTATGAGCCAGCCATGTGGATATCTCGCTGACCTCCTCAATTGCCCCTACCGACAAACTTACCAAACTCTGGTCGCACCACCTTACACATGTCCTATATGCAACTGTGGCTTCGCAGACCAGGAAACGATCGAGATGGTTCAGGGACCTTGGGGTTGTAATCAGTTGATTCGGAACCAGGTCGGAGGCCACCATGCTATACCCGGTCACTGGGGGCGATGGGAAGGACCTGCCCTCACTTCAAGCGCTCTGTCTGGTGCTATGGTTCCCATGAATCTTCTGAATCAGGGCTTTACTTATGACCACCGGCTTACAGGTCCGCACGGCCCTCCGGGAATGGTTGCCCAAGCTCCGATGATTATGAATGGGCCGGTGATGGCCAGTCCAGCAATGATAACGGACAGTCCGATGGTCTGGGACGATGAGTACGTGGATAGGTACGACAGGTACGACAGGTACGACAGGTACGACAGGTGCTATGATGGCAGGCACAGGAGGAGAAGACATAAGAGCCGTTACAGGCACACGTATACGGAGACCAACTGCACGGTGATGTGAGCTAGTGGCACGGCGAGTGGATGATATGAGGGGTATTACGGCTTTCGGCTTTGGAAATTGCCCTGTAGAATGAATATGATTCTATGCAATAGAAGCACAGTCTGTAGTTTAAGCATAACTGTGAAGTCTATACCTAGGTATCTTCCGAATGGTAGCCGAATATGTGAGAGCATGCGAAAGTGAAGCAACCACGCCCCTGGTAGCGAAATGCCGGCACGCTAAAATTTAGGGCAAGACCCTGCGTCGACAACGGTCAGAACGTCTCTGCGCAATCGAGTGAGGCGGCGAGATTGTGCGGCTGAACAGTCATCAATGCTGAAATAGTTATATCAATTGCTTCGATTGCATACAAAGGAGATTGCGCAGATGGTGTAGGCGATATTTATCTTTGGTCTTTGCTCCTGCTTTCTTTGAACGGGCAATTGTCGGCTACGTCACTTGTCACGGGTTCTAAGCTCCCTGCATGTGCTGCCCAAAACATTACCACGACTTCTCCTAACCTCTACGCCATCCGCAAAGAATACCAATAACAAGAGTTCTAACCACAACACTCTCTCACAATGACAACCAATGCGCCTACGCTGATCAACTTGCCGCCGCCGCCATCCGGAGAAGAGACTCCTGGAGACGCCCCGTAAGGCATATGCACTGGGTGGGGTTGATTGAAATGGTCGACTAACGCTGTACGTATAGGGGCACGCCCAACTCGGTGACGACCACCATGTCTGAGCTCTCCACGGTGGCTATCAAGGACGGTCACCGGGGTCACTTTCCTCACCATCGCAATCCGGCCGAAGCGGAGCGTGCTGACCGCATCTCGCGCCTTGCGGGCCTCGAGCGCGTTGCAGTATCGGGTCGTACGCCTCAAGGACTCAACCCAGGCACGGCAGCCAATGCCCCGCCAGGTTACTTTGACGCAAACAACCAGCCCCAGCTCTTCCGTGAGCGCAGCACCGTCGGCAGCGCCAGCGCAACTGGCTCTGTTGGCGGTCGCACGACGTGGGCCAGTGGAAGCGACTTGTACGAGCCAGACCGCATGAGCGAGGATCAGGACATGGACACGTCAAGCATTGGCGGCTTCAGTGACGAAGCGGCTTCCTTGGTCGGCTTCGGTGAGGGTGCAAGGACTCCAGCCCGACAGCACAGCCAGCTTGGTAGCCCTGCTGTTAGCAAGGCAAGTGCAGTGCCTGGCTACCTGAGGGACGGGGCGCCTGCAAGTCCATTGATGGGTGTCAGTGTACCTTCGACTTCATCGACGCAGACCATGTCTAGCACTGAGCAGCAAAAGAAGGAGGCGCGCATGATGAACGGCATGACGTACGATGAGAACGTGGTGGATACTACCAGTCGTGCGCCTCCTGCCAGTGGCCGCGACGGAGACTCGACTTCGGGAGACGCCATTCGTGAGCGCATGGCACAGCGTCAGGCCGATCAAGACGCCATGGATGTTGAGCAGCGGAAGCAGGCTTAGGCAAACCTTTGGTCATTGTCTCGGATCATGTTTTAAGACAGGCGTTGGGGGTAAAGTGTTATGGCCACTGAAGGCTACAAGTTTATGATTGTTCACGAATAATCACGAGTTTTTACACGTACAATGCAATGCAATATCAGTCTTGAAAAGTACATATTTGTCGAAACTCACTACAAGTAGGTACCCAAAACACTGGAGCCCCCCCTGTGACAGCGGCTGCCGCTTAACGGCTAACGGGCCCCTAAGCGATTGGCGTCTTCCCCCAGCAAGGCCGAGTATGACGTTTGAAGGCGCGTTGAATGACCTACGCCTCCCTGCAAGGCTGCGTAGACCATCCGTGGGGCAAATGGGAGCATAGTCGTCGTTGGTGTTGACGGTCATGGCAAGCCGTCGATCTGGAGGTGGCAGTGGCAGCGAATAGCAGCACCCCGCATTTTGCCTGCAGCTTGCGGCCCAAGTGCCCTGGCATCTGCGGACAGTCGCTCCCCACCTTGTCCTGCTTCACATGTCTGTGTCGCGTATATCTCCTGATACATTGATGCCTCGCTGCTTCCCAACTAACTGACTGGTCCCTTGTCAAAGCACGACAGGGCACTTGTATACATCACTACAGTCTATTGTCCAAATCAAGTCACCCCCAACCCCGCATCTCGCGGATACGTGCCTGTCGCCGCCATGGCAGATCACGCTGATGCTGGGGACGTCAAGAGCACTTCCCTCAGCAGTTCCGTGTCTTCAATAGGCCGAACGCCGCCGCCTGCACTCAAGATGGGCAGTCCGAGCCCGCACTCTTCACACCGTTCGAGCTTCGTTGAACACATGCGGGGGACCCCCACTTCACCGCGCGCATCACGCCAGCCTTCCCTCACACAGCAAGCCCTACAAGATCTTTTGAACAACCCGCCGACAAAAGGTGGAGACCCCAAGTTCCAAGGGCGCGATTGGAAGTCAGTCCGACTGGGCGAAATTGTCGACCCAGAGCAGGTCAGATTTGTCGAATACGAAACCAGCGTCGAAGAAGCTACAAATGTGAGCACCTTCACTTCTCACTACAACCATAAGACTGACTTGTATAGCTACTAGTCAAACATGGGGCTCCCAACGTGGTCCTACTCCGCGAAAACGCAAACACACGACATGCAACAGGCACCTTCGATTACAGTGACCTAAACGCGTACCTTCTCCTAGTAGTCGGCCTTGCACACCCAGAAGAAGGAGATATTGCTTCATTTGACGAACTCGCCAAGAAGGGAAGAGAGGGCAAACCCATCCCGCTCCGAGATGTGAAGGAAGTCGGTGGCAGGAAGGAACCACTGATTACACTCGACGAGACAACAGATCTGTCCAAAGCCATGGAGGTCTTCGGAAGTGGCGTACACAGAGTACTGGTAGCCGAAGAAGGCACTTCAAACGTCATTGGAATACTTACACAATTGAGATTGGTCCGATTCTTCTGGGAGAACCGATCGAGCTTTCCAGCCGTAAATCAGCTATACCCGCAGCTGATCAAAGATCTAAGTCTTGGATCGAAGACTGTTCTAGCTATCAAGTGAGTGTTGTATTTGCTTCGCGGTAGACTGTCGCTAATCAAACGTGTAGTGGTGACAAGCCTTTGGCCGCAGCTCTTGAGCTCATGAACAACGAGGGCGTTTCGTCTCTGCCAGTCCTTGACGCGCAAAACAACGTCATCGGCAACATCTCACATGCCGACGTTCGAGTAAGTTCCTAAACCTTTGATCTGATGCTGTGTCACTGACAAAGTTGTTGCAGCTCCTAACAAAGTCTACTTCTCTCCCACTACTTCGGTCATCCTGCATCCATTTCATCTCTGTCATCTTATCTGAACGTGGCGTAAATGACGGAAAAGACTCTTTTCCCGTCTTCCACGTCAACCCCTACAGTACTCTTGCGCACACGGTAGCGAAATTGGTTGCTACCAGTTCGCACCGCATGTGGGTCGTCGATGCTCCCTCTCCCGCATCTTCAGGGCCTCCAACCCCGGCAATGACCCCAGCCGTCATTGTGCCACCTTCGCCAATTACACCCCTACCGGGAATGGCAGGCCCTATACCGGTAAACTCTACAGCGCCTACGCACCTGGCTGCTACCGGTGCCGTTGCACCAGCTATCTCCGCATCGGCGATTTCGGCCATGCCGGGCGCCAGCTTGTCAGGCAGGCTCAGTGGCGTCATCAGCCTTACCGATGTGCTTAATCTATTTGCGCGAGCAAGTGGACTGCATCCTCACGACCCTGACGAAGCGAGACGTGCTAGGCGCAGGTCGAGCTCTAGCAGTATGAGGCATAGCATGGACAGCTCGCGTAGCGAGAGTGTGTCAGGTATTGCAGGGCGCCGAAGCAGCGTGAGCAAGAGGGAGGAAAGTGGCCCAACACTTCAGGGTTTAGGTATTTCTAGAGGTCGCGGTTCGTGATAGACGATTGGTTCGAGCAAGGATTGGAAGAATGCCCTGCTCGAGTGAAATGGACACTGCTTTTTTGCTTTTTGACGTTAACAGGCGTTTATATTAGCTTTGCCATGTCACCCAATCGAATTGAGTGTTCGGGGATGTGGGTGCGTCGAAGCTGACCCGGGTGTCATAAGATACTTGACATACTAGTGTAAAAAAGCCACTGTAGTCGCCAGACACGTCTATTGGGTGCTTGCCCACATTGTCCAGTATTTTATATTACCCAGGTGTTAGCAGAGGAGGGGTTTCTTTTCTTCTTTCAGTCATGGGCATTTCCAGCCCAGCTTTTGCTTACGTCAGCATGAATGTAGAAAGCGATTACGAGCGTTTAATCCAAAACTATATTGTGGTAAAGTTACTTGGCAAAGTCTTGGTCTACATGGTCACGATGAGCAGCATGGTGAACAAGTGCAATAAGAAAAGAAACCCCGATGTTGCTGCATGGCAAAGTAGCGGTGAAGAGTCGAGGGGACCATGGCAAAGTTGGTTGTAGTAGACAAAAGGAAGAAGCAGAAAAGAAAAGAAAGA